AACAGCTAACATTTGCGACAGCGTCCGTCGCCGATGGTCTTTAGGGACAACTTCGATTACCGACCCGCGTAATGGGTTGTATATGACCCTAGCCGCCTGTAATCCGATCACGACACTAACGCTCTTCAGATCGTCGGTTACATAAGCTTTTAAAATCATGCAACAATACTAAGTCTAAGACTACTGAATCTTGTTAACCACTTGGGTAATATGTAATTGAAAATATTGTGTTCATTTTTTTATCGAGGGGTGACCGACCGCCGGATCATAATACTCACCAACCGTTGTGGACTGATTTTGGGTAAAGGGGTATTGTCTATACGTAACAATCCTTGTTATAGGACACCTGTATAGGACTGTGAATGAGCGTTAGCGTTATTGGCAATCATTCGTTCTTATAACTTACTAATTACTTACTCAGCACTGTTTTTGATATTTCAACGCGGCGGTTTCGTAGTTCAATATGATGATTTCTTTTTATCTTTGTACCTTCGAACACCATGTTCTTTTGCATCGTCGTCTGCAACTCCGAGTACCACGGGTCCCCAAGGGAATGGCATTCTGAATCCAAACGATGTCGCGATTCCTATGACCCATGAGGCCTCTTGATGTACCCGCTCCTTGCGTCCGCACCCGCGACATGTGACGTTTTTAAACCTCAAAGTAAAGCAAAGTAGGCTTAATGCTTTTTAGCGGTAGGACATTGATATTAGTTTTATCGTCATAGGTCGCTACGGTCTGATACTGAGTATAACTTGGCGTGTCATTAACGGTATAAGAAGTTGAAAACATTGCCTATGCTTTTTATAGTTCAAATTTTGTGTTATTGCTAACTTCTGCAGTGCGGTTGTATGATTTAAACCCGAGTATTCATTTTGTCACGCAACAATCCATGGCTCATCCACTCTTTAGTCTTTTGTAGTCCCACCTGCTATATAACTATTAGTTACATTAAAATTTACTGAAATCTGTTCATAGTTTATTCACAAAAGACACATAACTTCGCCGTACCCACGAAGGCTTAAGTACCCCTTTTTCAGCTTTTGCTTTTACTTTTGTTTTTATATGATTTTATGCTCTCGAGTTGTTGACTTTCCATAACTGCCTCGTTTGAGTGATCGATCGCGAAGCTTGAAATCGTGGTTTTTGCCACCGTACGGCCCAAATATTTTTATTGAAGTCAACTTAACCCATACGCCTACCGCGTGATGCGACAAAAATCGTGATATAACATGTATTGTAAAATAAAAATTCTGCTATTTTACTTTGAATTTACAGTAATCATTTCAATCTGTAATGTCGAATACAGCAATGTCGATTGTTGTTACTTTTTCAATCGTGGTATGCAACAAATATCATTCTGAATATTTCGTTTATACTTGGTCGTTCCAGATCTAAACTAATGGTTTTATTTTTTAATTTTTTCTACCCCATTACATTAAAACGTAATGTATAGTTTTCGTTTAAACACTTTACAATTCATCTCAATTGATAGTGTAGTTACTTCAACACAAAAAAAACGAGAAGCTTAAGTGACCAAAACGATAGAGACGATGAAAGTTTATAGAGATTAGTATCAAATTCGTTTTATGACATTTTATATGAATAAACGATCGGCTTTGGCACTTATGCTTAGATTAGCTTGTCGAGTTGAATTTGCTATCTGATCGGATCGTGTGTGATACTTAACATGTTATGTCGAAGAATAGTGATCATGGGTTCGATTTTCATTCACTCTCCGTCTCCACAATCAATTATCACCAAACATTTTGTTTGGGGTGATTCGTATTTACACGTAGTACTTACTAGTGGAAAATTAGAGCGAATGAATTTTATTTATAGTTTTAAATATATTAACAGCTTAAACTCGTATTTATTAGGAGATGCGCAAAATTCATTAATATTCTACCGTTGTGCATATGCAATAGGCTGATAAATTACTATGCAATATTATTCAATTTGTTGAGTTTGTTGATATTGTATATTGCGTAACTTTCGTAACAAAATACAGATGTTTTGAAGACATTTTAATAAGAATAAAAAGACTTGACTAACAACACCAACTCCTAGCCAACGAATTAAAATTCCCATCTCAGATAATTGTCATATCAAAACAAGTTTGATCGAACTATAACTCTAGTTATTAAGTTTGAGTTTGAGGTTAACCAATCATGATCAAAACAAATCTTTGTAAAAAAAAAATCATATGCTAATTTGATGGTGAATATTATATTAACGAGTGTCTCCTGTCAGCATATGCCTGTTGTTTATCAATGTGATCTATTATCTTGATAAAGATTAAAATCATTTCGTTGGTTTTATATCTTATCATTGTTATCTCTTGCGTCACCATCAGTTTCATCGTGTTCTTTTGATCCGTCCAGTATGTGGAAACGTGTTGTTAATTTTGTGATCTGTTTATGTTTGTTATTTAGCAAATTGCCACCTGTGAAAAGAAAATTATAGGGTAAAAGGATTCAAGTGCCACTGTCTCATATCTTGATACAATGTAAAGCCATCATGTAAAACATTTACACTTTGCTCTTACTTTATATTGATTGGGAAATTTTACTTATTACGCATTACTTATCAATTGATATTTCTGCACCCCGAATACTCATTTTTAATGTTGTGCAATCCATATTTCTATTAGACGTCTTTTAGTTATGGTCAAGGCTGGATCATCACCTCGTCCAAAAGTTTAATTTATATCATGGACTCACAAAACAATGCTTTCTTAAGTATCAGAGACACTCCCTTTGGAGGCATACGTATGAAACACTTGACACAAATTCTGTTACATTTTACTGCTTAAGTTACTTGCAAGTGTTTCAGACAGGTGTTAGGCTCAACGCGAGATTCAAAACTTCTCAATTCGTGTAATTTCTCGTTTTCACTTTCTACTCATCCCCTCCAAGAATACAATTAGTTTATTTGAGTAATATTGTCACATTAATGTGTTTTTTCACATGACAAGCATGACATGTGAAGTCGTCAATCACATTCAAAGCTCCAAACAAACAAAATTTTATTTTTGTGTGAATTAAGTGAAAGTAAAAAGAGGAAATGAAGAGAATATTTGATTTTCCCATGGATAAGAAAATGGGAATATTTCAATATTGAATGAAAAACTTACTTGTGTGTATAACTCTCCCACGTATCTTCAGTGGGACATTCTTATGACGATTTGGGGTGTAATCGCTCAAATAGGAGAAAATAAATGAGCCTTCAAAATAGAGAATCACTGTAAGTTGCGCTTGTCAGTGTGGCAACTACTAGGCAAACAAGCTTTTGAAACATTTAATTTACAGTAATTGCTTTTCGCGGTATTATGAACAACATAATACAACATAATTGAAAAGTTGTTGCTTCCCAAGCACAAATGCCAATATCTGTTGTGATAGTCGAATTCGAGCTGGAGGAGGCAACCAAAGTTTTTTTGTAAGTTTGGGCCGAACCACGATTTTATTAAAACAACTGAACCTGAAATTTCAAATATCCTAATTAAATAAATAATGTTCCTTATCATTGGAAGCGTATGTGATATGTTATATAAAGTTTGAATTTAATGTGTAACAAAATTACGATTCGCCGATCTGAAACTTACACTGGGCCCGATCCAAAATTCTGAAAAGTAGTGTGTGTGAGCTGGCAGGTTATAGTTGCAGTTTCGTCACTCTGCTGTAGGCTAATGTCAACCCACATAACCGCAAAATAATATCATTTTTTATTTGTTTACGAGATCCTTTAAGTATTTGACGGTAAACCGGTGAATTGCCCGAAGCGCCGGATTCGCCTTTTATGTGTCGTTGATATGTATGTGCAGACTCGACATCGCAACATCGTAAAAAAACAACTTAAAAAGTTTAACGATGTCGGCTACCATTTTAAATAAATATATCCTAATGTGCATATACATTAGCTTAGGATATCCGTTCACACTTATTAGATATTCATCGTTTATAACATATTTCTCACATTATCATGTATAAAAAACTTTGCCATGGGGGAGTATATAAAAAATATTTGTATTGTATAAATACAGTATTGTAGTTTAAAACGAACAAAATTAAAGATTACGGATAATTCCAGAATTAATTCCATACTATAAGAATATAGACGTCGCAAGGGTGGGTTTATACCATAAATATTTCATACGTTTTGCTGCCATAGCATACAATGTATATGAGTGACGTTTTGCGTTGCATTACCGATGAAAGATACCAGTGAAACTATTTATCGTACACGACATAATCTTTTTATCTGCCCAGCTTTTCACCTGTGGCATAACTAAGAATGCGGGTGGAACTTCGGTGTGGTAACACAGGAATTATTAAACAGAAATGATTTTAATGAACTTGACTTTACCACAATACTATCACTGTTTAGGACCGACCCATCGTATTTTCGTGGTAGTTTGGTTTTCTACAGAGTGGTGATCGGAAAATATTGTTGGATTGACAAAATACAGATATATTCTAGTTGCCATATTTAGTGTCAAAGTCAAAAAAAATCTTGGGGATTGCAGCATCGCAGTTGTGACATATACGTTAGATAACGTATGCCAGGTTGTGGAATTTGATGCCACGGAGTAATGTCTCGCAAAAAGTTCCTTCTACAGGTCCAATCGAACATATCATCTTTAATCCGGAAATAAAAGTGGTTTCTTTGCGATCATCGCAGCACCAATCTCGGTTAAACGATATAAAGAGGGAATTATGAGCTAAGTTTATCATGAAACTTTATTCAAATTGTCGCTATATATGCTGTCATGTCTTCAGGGCATAATTTCGCCCGTTGTCAGCTAGGAAAGGCAATTTGGTTACCGCCGTTTGTGTACAATCACATTCCAGTCACCTACTTGTCATTTTACTCGTTTTCAAAGTTTTAATAAATGTCAAAAACATTAATTATGAATCATTATTTCGACCCAAATGAGAAAATTAACTTTAAAAATGTTAAAAAAATATCGTTAATGTTGTATTTCTCGTTCTTTACAGGTCATCAGTGAGGTGGCAGCGAAACCTGGTTTTAACTTGAGTCTGGGATATCGATTATTGGCAATATGTTCAGCTAATCGAGAAAAGTTTTCACAAAAGTCGTCAAGTGAGTACACATTTCATAATTGCCTTGGATTGTTTTACAAATGACCACAACTAGATCTTTATATTCACAGATTTGAGCAATGTCCGACTGTCTGATTTGAATAAAAAACACTAATTTAATAGCAAGTGGATTGGTCTCGGCATTCATACTTTCAAGAATACGGACAATAACTTAATTGATAATATTATTTCTTAATTTCAACGTTGTAATAAAACAGACAAGTACACAGAATTAGGTTTTCAAGATACACATAGCTTTTAAAATATGACAACTCTTTATAATATTAACGACTGTACGATATTTAACATGGGGTGCAAGGTTAGTTTCGCTAATACGTCAGGCACAAATTAAGCCATCGTCTACCTCAATAGTGTCTTCAAGATGGTTATGTCCTTTGAACTATAAGTGTCGTATTCTATGCTTGGATCTCTCCTTGTGTGTATTAGTACTCATTTGATGTTGCTTGCGTATCGATTTTTCCAAACAATCGATTTTCAACTCGGCTTCATGTTAAATGACATATTCGCAAAAACTTTGGTATCGATCGATAGTAGGTGGATATAATATATTATGAAAATTAGATATGGCGAACAAACATCGATGTTGAATATTACTCAATATGATATTAGTCTCCATTAGGGTATAAGAGCTTTTAGACGAAAATGACATGAATATGGGAAGTACTTTCCGTGAATAAATATGCCGGAGAAATATTTGATTAAATTTTGCAATCATCTTACTTATCCTGATATAAGAAAATATTTTCTGATTATCAGCTAAGCTAAGCCTTTGACCAGTTTAGCAACATGAATGCGAGTGTTTAGGCGATTTGATTTAAAAAATTTGCGATATTACTACGGTAGAAAACACGCACTATCATTAATCTGTTCTTACTCGAAGTCTGGGAATTTCATATTAGAGAATCATTTAATTTACATATTTTGTAAAAATTGCTGTATTTTAGATTAGAGCAATGTAATATTACGAAATTGAAAATAAATTTTTAACCCCCTACTGTTTTAATATACACAACCCCGATAACATTGTGTTCTATGTTCTATTTCAATGTTAAAAGATTTGTATATTTGTTCACATCAGATATGTTACATTATTGGTGTGAAGAACTCGGTAGATCATTACTGCTTCAGCACCAAAAAACCCGACCAAACGATGGAATGAAACCGGCAGGAAGCCCAGCCCCAGGATCTAACATGCGGCGACGTACCTGTTATTCTCGTGGCGCCAGTATGGGTCCTAGAATGGGGTGAGCATTTTTGAATTTAAATTTCGATGCTACAAACAGAGCTGTTGAACTAATATTTTATATTATTGTACTTCTATCGTCTGGAAATGTGATTAGCGTCTCGGCTCAAATTCACCGTTGATTTCCTAGTTGTGTTGACTTGAACTGTTTGAGTATCGCTTCAATCGCTTCTTACCAACGCGTTTTGTAATGTACCGCAATAATTTCAGTGACTTTTGGCACACGACGACAAAAACACCGCTTAGATATCAGTGTTTAAAAAATTTATTCTGGGGAAAAACTTGCCCAACTTTAGTTTCCGTGCATTTCATACGTTTTTACAATATAGTAAATCAATTACTGTGTTAAAAAAGTTTGTGGGCGAGAGTGTAATAATTTTGATATGCTGTATCTGATAAAAAGAAATACCGACAGGCTTTAAGTCGCTAAATTCATTTTTAGTTATGCAGACTCGCCTGGTTGGAACACTGGTGATCCCGGTCTAAACTCCGGTGCGATGCCTGGACCAATGCCACAAAGGCCTCAACACCATAGCGTTTCCGTGACGACCACCGTATGGGGTGTGACAAACACTACACAGACCCCGCCCATAAGAGGTCAATCACACCCACCTATCAATCAATATCCTATGGGACCTGGATCTGTTCCCCATTCGCGTCCTCAAAACTCTGGTTACCATTACCACTCTCAACAGAAGGCGGGACCTTATGGTGGTCCTGCAGCATACCAGAGACCCGACTATGGGACGCCTATGAATGGCCCGCATCGTGGAATGCCGGGACCTGGTTATGGCCCGAATACAGGGACTCATCAAGGACACCACATGGGACCCGATACGGTAACTAAACACACCTATTTGTTAATGAATAATGGTTAGTGATGGCTGAAACCAATTATAATTCAATGTTAATAAAATTAAAGTCGAGTTTTCGATCATTCAGTGTTGCTGTAGCCTAAACGGTTCGTGTTTAACAACTTTTTCCATTTTGCAGGGCGATTATCCTCCAGCCGCTGCCGCCGCTGCAGCGGCAGTTGCGGCCGCAGCAGCGACCGCTACTGCCACCGCTACCGCGACACTGATGGTCAACGATCAACAACAACAAAATGATATGTATGATCAGGTTAGAGACATTTATCTACTCGATTAACAAATATATCATATATTATCATATATTTTCCAAGAACAATCATATGGACTAAATTAATATTTAGTATAATTAAATTATTACTATTTTTTGTTGTTGTTGATAAATTGACCATTTCTTTATCAATGTTATAGATATCGTTGAATAACGAAAAAATAATGTATATTTTCCATTTTTTCCTGTTAACATTAGTTTGTTTATCTAAATATAATTGCCCTATTACCCATTTTTTTTTTAATCTTTGGGCCTTCCGCGTTGACGTAATTTCTCCCACAATGACGTGTTCAGATCACCCATGTTGTGATAGGAAAGTAAACAATGTCAAAACGCTGACTCACAAAAAATATGGGAAAATTCTAGACAAAGTGAACTAAAAATGTCTGGTAGTTCTTTCGGCCATTTTCAATTTCTAAAGTCTTGCGTAATTTACCCTATTATTGATTTTAATTGTGAAAGCATATGACTAGCGATTATCCTTAGTTGAGAATAATAATAAAACAAGGAAGCAAAACGCGTTGTCCGCTTGCTCTATATATCGCAATCTTAAATCATTGCCATTACATAATTATTGGTCACAAAGTGTGCAGATGGATCATTTTGTTCTTGTTGTTGATTGTGGGGTTTTACAAGTTGTTGGAAAATACCGCTTTTTTCTGCAACTAACGCTTTCAAATTATTAGTGCTTACAGTCGCCAGACGGCCATCATTTTTATATATATTTTTTTTTTCAAATTCTCTTCGAGTCCGATATTCCACCCGAAATATTGCTGCTTTATTTTAATCAAAGGCCGACCGCCTCCGTATTGTTTGATTGTCTTCTGCATACTCGGTGCTTTCGGTTAATACCGTATCGGTATCGATTCGCGCGACTTTCGTATCCATTTATTTGAGCATCGTTCTCATATTCTGTTCGAAATTTGATGACATGTAGCTGATAAATAATGTTATTATCATCAATTAGTAAGATAGTTTGAAATCATTGCTCCAGTGAGCACAATTCTTACTAGTATCGTGAGGGTAGGCGCAATGGAGTCGCATCTCTCATTTAAAATTGTCATGTTATTGTAAGCTTCGAGCTGAATTCCAGAAACTCCGTTTCAAATTTCACTTTCAATATCCTTTTTTGGGGTGACATCACTCATGTTTATTCGTGGGATACGATGACCCACGTCTTGTCTTTTTACCCCGCTGGGCACGCATCAGGGTATGAATCACGAATTCTCTTTGTGATCCACGACTAACTCTTTTGGAATTTCTGTTTTGAATACAAAAAGATTGGTAAAGTTAAGTTGGGTTTCACGGTGATTGTTTCATATATCGGTATTTACGAAACGTCCCACACTTTATATGCTATGTTTCCTTAATCTACAGCAAAGTTCGTTCCACAATTGTGTTCCCAACAAGCTAGGTAACCGCACGAAAACCGACTTACAGTCCTAATAAACTATAACTTTACTATTCGAAGAATAAATAAACTTTAGGATCAAATGACACGATAACATTTTTTAAGAATACATATCTTTTGGGGAATTCAGTAGTTTGCTACTTCAATTAAATTAACAGTAATGTCATAGTGTTGTAATACACTTACTGTAAATTGATTGTTTTATTCTTTATGGTCTTCCCCTTTTGTTTCTTTATCATTTTGTTTGTTTGTGTCGTGTTACATGATGGAAACGCGAAAAGAAACAATTGCGCTCAAATACGTTTAACTTCAACGATATTCCGTCTATGGATATGCTATATGGTTTATACAATAAGCGATAGCAAAATTGGAAACATCGCTAAATAAATAGCCCGATAGCCTTAAAGGTAGTCTCGTAACCTCTTGAGTTATGTTAATTATATGGAACAGAAACGGGCGTTAACTATAAGGCATTAATTTTAGGTTATTATATCGACTTATAATGGCATTTTTCTGTCGACGTATTTTTATCGTTTTCGACAAAAACGTTAAACGGTAATTTGTCGCTGAATATCTCGAACTGAACCTCAGGCAAAATTTAACCATGTATGGCCCATGCATACCAGGCAGATACCTATACCATATAAGAATGAAACTAGACCTATATGAAAAGCTATGAAATTGCTTTAAATTTAAAATATGCATAAAAAAATCAAGTTTAAGAAATAACCTTTTAAATAATTCCTATCAAGAACAAGGAGTAGGCTATTCGAATGGCGATTGAGAATATATTATATTCAACCCTACTCCGTACGTCGTATACAAAAACGGCAAGTTCGTTCTAAGGATCCCGTACCTTCGAGGTCCTTGATCCTTGTTTGGGAAAATAAATCATTTCATAGTCCCATGCAGTCTAATACCAATGTTTAATTTTTGAAGAAATAATATGAAAAATTCAATTTTTACTTTTGTAAAATCGTTGATAGGTCACGCATTTTTGCGTAAATAGTTAATGATCACATACGCGTCTTATGAATTATAATAATTTAGATTTCTTGATCAGATAAAATCAGATTATCTAAGATAACTTTGACTAGAATCTTTTGGTTATAGGTTACGATTAAAGAGTTGGTTTTATAATTTCTAATAATTTGAACATTTTGATATGATTATCGTTAATTTGCATAATAAATGGTCAAGCGTGCTGAAATTTTATTAATTAATCACGCAAGAATGTACTGTTGCCGCGTCGTAAGCGGTTCATTTAATGGTAGCGAACCAAGTCCTTATGAGATTCAAGCGCTGAAACAATATATTCATTTGATTATTTGTGTACAAAATAAAAATATATTAGTTGTACAATACAAATCTTTGCGAGCCAGCAAATCCTGAAAATCCGTTCGAGACAAAGTCAGATTTCCACGCTAAATCAATATCCTTTAAACCAACTATCCATTTATAAGTACTGTTCCAATTTGATTTCCACTATCCTTGTAATTGGACTTGAGAAAGTGATTTTAAATCCATCATTGTTTGTACATATTTATATTATTATTATTTCATATTTCATATTATTTTTTATATTTCTTTATGTATTATTTTTCTATAAAGGTATTAAAAAAGGATAAAGTGGTTTATTTTGAAAATTAGGAATGTTAAACTATGCGTTTGTCACGTACCAGAATTAAATTAAATATGGCTTATTTTTAATTGAATTGCTCCTTATTCCAATATTCTATTATGTAAATTTATTACATAAAATAAAATATAATAAAATTATTATTATTATGTATGTTTATGGTCAAAATAGTAAATGTCATAAAAAGTGCATTTTGCTAAATTCATAATACAAATAATGGCATTTTGGAATTCGAATAGCAGGTTTTAGGGATGCAATTTTTTGATTAAAAAATACCATTTAACCCAAAATTGCAAGTCTGCAATATACTTGTGTTTACTGTAAACTTGATAGGGAAGGCAAATCACGTCGCGAGTTTCCAAGGATTGACATAACATTATTTGACGAGATTTTGGCCTTTGATATATGAGTTGTGACTCATACGGTACTTGGCAAAATATGCGACGTAGTCTTGCTCCCATCGGCTTTAAATGTAACCGCACTTATGAATCAAAAATCGACTTCATATATCTTGGTAACTTTCTCATGAATATACTTTTTGGGGCTAATTTTGACCAAGCTTGAGATATATATCAATCAAGATCTTTTCGGGGACCATACTTGGTTTGATACATACATACTTGGCCTGGGAACAAATAATATCCTAGTCCTTATTTGGTGTTTACTTATATCTTCTGGATGATGAGTGATACGTCATTGGTGACGTAATAAATAATGTTTTAATGTCCTTATTTCAGATGGGTCCTCATCGGAATATGCACCCTATGGATCCGAGTGGTAACAACATACCAGTTGGCATGATGCGGGATGGCGGCGGACCTCAAAGTGGCGCGATGGGACCTGGTGGTGCACGAGGGGGGATGCGACCTGGCATGATAGATCAATATGGCCAACCAGGAAAAACTATGGGGCCTGGACCCCATCCGATGAATCACCCGGCCAGCTCTCCCATCGGTGGACCCACGCATGGTCCAGGAGGTTATAACGGCATGAATTCACAATACAGACCTCCGTATAGACAAAATTCGGTAAGTATAGATATTAAAATATAACCCCCGTTTTAATTCATTTTTGACAAAAAACATGATCGCCAAGTCTCAGTTCAACTTGGAACACACCATTTTTCCTACTATAGATATATGTAAGGAAGCATTCCTTACGATTAAAAAACGATATAACTAATGCTTTTTAATTATACCTTGTCATTGTCAAGTCTTTGTGTGTTTCTCACAACAATGTAATAAAACGCGATTTAAGACGGTTAATTACATTTTCCGGATGAGGTTTTTGCTCGATCTCCTGACTTGAAAAATTTAACATTTGACTCTTCTACCGAATTGATATGCGTAATAGAAATAAATTGCTTAAAGAATCGTTATTCTGAGAATTTGAGAATTGTTTGTACGTTGGGCTTTTCAAAATAAAGATAATCAGCAAATACAGCTACAATAGGTTGTCAAAATCATTAATCTAACATGACCGGTCCATGGATACAAACCTACGTGACATATGGTTACAAAAATGTCACAGGATTTTTTTTATCTGTTCCTCCAAAGCCAAAGGTAAATCGCTGTCGCGCTCTTTCCGCAGTATTATTTTAAATATCTTTAAGTGATCTAAAACTTATTTGACCCACTGCCAAAACTGAGCCGGTTTAATTGCGGCTTTATGTAATGAGAACCGTGTAATTATTTCGCAGTTTTGCTAAAATTGCAGGTTTTTATTTTAAATATCTTTTTTAGAGGATTTTGAATTTGAACGATTTTATTGTTCGCACAAAATCTTCCAATGTCGTGACTTGAGATGACTTGTACATTGTTCTGTTAAATTAATGCTATATTAGTATTGAATAGTATGGAACTTGTTTTTTACTGCGAAGTTGCAAAATCGGCATTTTTTTTTCGTGGATTTTGCTGCAGAATCTAGTGTTTTTCTGGTTGGGCCAGTATCTCCTTTTTCACTAAAATTTTTTTTTGTCACAAATTCGTAATGAAGGATATTTTACATTATGTATAAATTTTTGATAATTATTATCGAGGCACTTATATAGAATTTTTTTCTCTGGCGAAAAAAAGCATAAATTATGCGAAGTTTTGAAGAAAGAGTATTCCAATCACACTTTTATTTTTTGGCCATAACTTACATTATTTAACTGTTTATTTTAACAGGGTTCATACGGTCCAACCTCACCATACGATCCTGTTCCTCCACATCAGTTCAAATCACCGCCATTAACGGGTCATCCAAGTACGCCAACTGGTGGTTTCAGTCCTCGAATACCCACACCGTCCTCCCACACACCGGGTCCTCTCCTCACTGCTACCCCTGGTCTATATCCGTCTGTATCATCAGCGGGTAGCGTCCCTCAATATTACCCCAATTCCCATTCAACCCCCAATTCCGGGGTACCTACGCCGGGACCGATGGGTGCTGGATACTCTTCACAACGACCACCCTTCAATCAATATGGTCCGACAATGGTAAGTACTTCTGGTTTTGTTTTAGCTCTAATGCAAATCCTATTGTATTGTCGTCATCTATGATTTGAATATTTATAATTTGCGGTGAACGTTTTTTTGCTTTTTCCTGTGCAGATGAAACATTTCGATAACCAGTATACACAGCTGCTCCGCATGTTTTGTACGCTCAGGGTTATTATGAAATTGAAATATAATAATACAATATATGAAATATACAATGAAAATAAATTCATATCCTTATACATGATAATGTAGGTACAGTCGTACATGTCATAGTGTAAACACGGCATAAACATGCTACATACGCTCATTATAAACGTTTTTTTCACTTTTTCACAGTATCGAGGGCATCCTCAACACCAGCCGCCGAACCCCATGCCTGGGAATCCCACGCCACCTATTACTCCTGGCAGCGCACACAACGTTCCACCGTACCCAGGACCAGACGTGAAGCCTAATATAATGGACTTAAAGCCAATCATCTCAAACCCGGCTGGACTTCCACCCATGGAAGAACCAATGCCGCCTAACCAGGGAGCGGGACCGATGAGTAAGTCTAATAAAATTTTACATATTTTGTATACACACGGACACAAATGCGCTCTACATAGTATTAAGATTTGTTTGAAACCTACTACACATTTTATTCATGATTCTAAAAAGATTTGTTGAGATTTTTTATTATATCTTCACTATACCTAACAATGTGAAAAATTCGACATTTTTCGATTTTTATCGATAGCAAATTGTTACCACTTATGAACGTTTTAAAAATATATATGCAATCCACTTTGACAAATTATATATACCATAATATAAAATGCAAAACACTATTAGCTACAAGACGTAATGGCAATCGAAGGATTGTGAATAAAATCCGAACAATATACAAAATTCAATTCTTGCTTTGTCTCAGATCATGACGAAATGAGAATGACGTTTCCTGTCAGAGATGGCATCGTGCTAGAACCTTTTAGACTAGAACACAATCGATCCGTCAGTACACACGCCTTCCATTTAAGACATCCAGCCTATCAAACGTTAATGTGGAGGTATGTACAAATGTTGTCTATAAACTTATTATTTTGACAGGTCTTCCTTTGTCAGCTTGTTTGTTTGTGTGTCGCAAGGTGCTTTTTGTTTATTCAATCACGCCCGTATCTGTTATACAAGAAAAGGTCTTCTTCCCGTTGTTCTTAGATTAACCGCGTCTGGGTGGTGCGTTTTATCAATAACCCACAACAGAACAGACTATTTAGAAAATATAAAGATTTTATGATATTTATAAATAGTAGTAAATGTATTAACATTGTAAAAATTTAATGGCCTGAAAATGAATCAAGATCAAACGCAAATTGAACATTAGGTAAATAATAATATCTTATACATCGTCCGTTCTCAATTCTAGTAAACCAGAAAAACGAATTCAATTCAGACCTTTGCATAGCAAATATACAAACCGCGTACTTTCGATATGTACCAATATGATTCATCGGTAGAAGTGTATTAAAGCCTAACAGAAAAAATCAGAAATTATTAACTTTTATTTAATTTTCACGGGGCGCCTTGTACGTTCAATCCAAACAGATCATCGGTCAGGCAACTAATTAGAAAGCTGACAAGAATTTTTCACAATTCGTAATTCAAACAAATCTCCCTTTAGATTAGAGCCGACTTCAGCCTCCGCTAGTCAGGTTATTACAATTCATTGCTATATGTAATGTATTGTAATTCATCACTATTTATCACATCTTAATCTGAAGCTATTTGATAGAAACGAAAAGAACAAGTATTGACATAACACACCACACTTGTCTGACTGTATACCAGCCATTCACGGAGGAAGCCATTCAAATGGCGATTGGAATTTTTTAACCATCCCCACTCCTAAATGTAATAGTTATCGAATGCTTTTTAGATCCGATCTCGAACTTCAATTCAAGTGTTATCATCACGACGATAAAATGCAATATACAAATTGGCCACATTCCGTACAGGTACATTGCAATTATTATTTAAAATTATGTTTATATTTAGTATTTACCCTCAGGAGATCAGAATTCATGTATTTTGTCAAATTTTGATTTATTTGACGTAACAAATTGCCCAATTACGATTTTTAATAAATTATGTAACATTTCATTCACTTTTTAAAATTTTTAACTTTGTTTTATATTTTCATGATTATTTGGAAGAAGATTTGTATTTGGCCAAGCATGTATTGTAAATAGATAAAAAAAACTTTCTTTCATATTGTGCTGTATGTAAGATTGGCCACGTTTTATCTTTAACTAAATTTCTAAAAATTAGCGTCCTTGATAGTTTTGCTCGCTCTGCATAAGAGTTCAAATATTATCTCGATCATCTAATATTAATTCGAGCAAGGGTTCTCGAGGATGTTGTGTAAATATATTGTTGATATCAAATTCGTGCTCGCGCTCATTTCATTATTTATTTTTAATTCTACCAGGTTACCGTCAACAACACAAAAATGAACATTCCTCGTCACCCAGCCTGTAAACCACTATATTTGCGCGATGTTTGTCAACCTGGAAAAAATACAATTGAAATCACAGTGTCGACGTGTTGTTGTGTGAGTATCTTTTTCAACTAAGGCGCAGAATATTTTTGAGTTTAGAAATGAAAATATTAAATTTAAACGTACTTGATTTTATGATGTTTTATACTTAACTTTGCATATCAATTCAATGTTTTATAACAAAATCATTTTCAAAACACGTAATTAATGGTGTCAATTACTATCGCCCGCAGCGCTAACTATATCGTTCGAAGTTACCGCAATTTCATACCATACAATCTTTGCAAAGTACTACAAGTAGGCATCTAATTCCATCTATATAGGTGGGCCGGTGTAGTATGTAATGCTATAGTGTAGAAGGTTTCTAAGTAGATTTAATTTGCTTTGTGAATATATATATATATATAGATAATTCAATACTGTATAATTGAAACAATTTTTGACGTGATTCTCGTAACATTTTGTCACGTTCCAATAATTTTATGTTGATGAATGACGTAAGTGTGACGCAATATTTAATTTTTGATAATTAACTTATTTCTTTTTTTTTTCAGTCACATTTGTTCGTACTGCAGCTGGTCCATCGACCTATCATTAGATCTGTGCTCATGGGACTCTTACAAAAAAGAATGTTGCCAGCTACACACTGCGTTACTAAAAGTAAATATAATATTTCTTCATTGTTCACTATTCAACTAACTAATACAATCTGGCATCTCTTATACGTCTGTATTATATGACATATGTTAACCACAAACTACCATGATGGCCAAACTACGTAATAATAGAATTAATTGGCAACAGCGGGTGGGAAAAATCGAAGTTTTTTTTCTTGCCGGGACGGTTAGTATCCCAAGCTCGGCTCGTTCAAAATGCAATTGAAATCAATTTCTTCGAATTTCGGAAGAATTTCTCAATCCTATTCAATTATTATCCGAAATTGATAAATATTTATTTCAAATATTATTTCGCTTTTCACCAATAATTGTCATTATGATGAATATCTTGAATTCCCACCAATCGCACTGATTTTTCACTCTCTACTTCCCCAATCAACAATTCAACGAATAAACGATCCGTAGTTCCTCTCGCTCGACAAAACAATTTAGTCATCATTGATTTCACAATTCCTGTTCTGTCCGCGTTGTTGCAGATATTTTTGAAATGCTTACCATGAAGTGACACATTTAAATACCCATGGGAGCTGTCTCTAGTGACGAAACCCAAGTTCGTGTGCGTCAATGACCAGTGTACAGTTCAGTATTAATTATTGTTGACATCCCTTTGGTATTGGCCGGCAATTGATCTGCGGGGATGGTTTGTGATATTTTTTAAAAAATTTCTCAACTCTTTAAAGTTATTTTTACCGACTAATTTCGAACTTTTATTATGTCAATGTCGTTACGTGACCTGTGGGAGTGATTATGCAAGCGTGAATCACGCACATTCTGACGCAATCATTAACCGCAATCCTTGAAACCAGACGCAAAAAAATGATATAAAAGTACTAATGACTTTATTATTGTGTTTTTCTTTTAGTAAAACGATATTTCAGTAGCGGAGTTATTAACGGGAATAAGGGGATGCTTGGTAGCCCAATGGGAAATGGGGCCAACGAGGACCCAAATTCTACTGTTGTGTCACTACGATGCCCCATCACTTACAGAAGAATAAATTTACCAGCAAGGGGAAACGAATGTAAACATATACAGGTATGCAATTATAAAGATAAGGTTTTCTTCAAAAAATACAGCGTTCGGTTTTGTCTTTGTCTTTCAATGTAATATGTTTAATATCTTGTTTTCTCGCCACTTACCTAGAAATATAGATTATACGAACGAATTTTTTGATAATGTAGCGTGCATAACGCATTATTTTGCTTGGTCTGCCGAGTTCGCGCTTGTGGGGATTCATAAAATACCTTAGTTTTTAAACAGACTACTTAAACTGCCGACTATTTGTTTCCAGGATTTTTTAAAACAATCTTTACACAAATTTTAAAAAATCTATCACTATTTTTATTTAGCCTTGAGAAATTTGATCTCATTTATTTGAAAATCTTTCATACCTAAAAGTCTGCACTAGATTGACAGTACACATCTTTTCTGTCTATACAGAAGCACAGTAGTAGCTGTTTAAATACAGATGAGAATCATATTATGCATTTCTCTTTTTAACTGTAACCAAAAGCTCCAAAATGGCGAATTAGAAAAACCTTTTTTGGTTTCCAACTTTTGCAATACACATTAGTGATTTTTCGATTGACGCAATGTGGTTGATTTTGTCAAAACACACGACTTATATTGATCGAAACTTCACCGAGTTCACTGCTTCTCTACGCGTTGGTGGGATTTTCTACGTTATCCATGATATTTATAATCTTTCAATTGAAGTTTAAACTCTTGAGTTCATATTAAACGACGAAACAAGTCATTCCTGTAAGTCGTAAGAGATAACTCAAAAGTAGCTGTGGTTACCTTTACCTGTCGTCTTAGTCTATCTAAAGTACGAAAACCATATTTAGATAACCACAAGTCCGGCTGTTCTAATTCCATTTTGGATATGAATATCAAAAAATGCACGTTCACTTTTATAAAAATCATATTAAAAATCTAAGAGCGTCATTTGGTGCAGATGTGGGTGCATATTGGGCAAATGGGGTAAATCATATTGAATATCAGTATTTCATTTGGAGTAGATATATATATTACGAGAATTTTGCGAATCCGGTAAATCACAATATCAAATCCTAATTATCATTTGGATACATACAGTGGGACATTTTCCAGATAACTCGACATATTATTTGGATATGGAAATTTTCGGCTCACCTTTGGTGTACATTATTACCGTCTTGCGATTATTAATCTTCGCCGAGTAAACGACGCAACATAAAACCAATATTTTCGCACGGAACAAAAATCGATTGTTTTTGTCTCGACAGACAGCAAAGCAAATTTTAATTTTTGTTTTAATCCGCGTTTTTAGATAATCTACCATGTATATCTCGAAGATAAATCGCGTATTCGTAGTATTAATTATCAATATTCCATGCTTGTTACATGGTTATTTAATTGCCACGTCCACCTTTCCACAGCCTGTGTTAAATGAACGGGTTAATGATCTTGCTTTTTTGCGACTAATGCATATTAGGAACAGGCTCTTTCTTATAAATAATTTAATGCACGGTATTCAACGCAAGATAGATTATACGGTTTACTACACGTTTGATCACGTATACGTCCAAGTTATGTCTTTGAAACAGAAACTCAAGCTAAGCGACACGCTTGATCATGATCTGATTATAACAAGATTGAAAGATATTTTGGCGCATTTGATTTGATAAATTTATATATATTTTTCAATTGAAACGGTCAATATTCGCGTATCAAGCATGGCTATATAGTGGGTTTCTTGAATATAAACGTTTGGACTATTATAATATATTTTTATCACTGGTTTACAGAAATCAATAATTGGTATTTTTACGGGAAGTCGTAGCATTGATTTTGTAAGAACAAATCTGTGTGCCAGGGCAGTTGTTGAAATATTGTATCTGCCAAGTAAACTCTGGTTGACCCCAACTTTCCAATGGCAGCTGAATATGCCTTCCACAGAAGAGGCCGTTCTAATAACGACTGAGACCGTACAACTATCCTTACATAGAGCTAATGTAATAATGCAGATTTATTCTTGAATTCTTCAACTTTGACTGATGATCGCCTGGTTGAACTAGGAAAATGAAACGGTCGAAATCTGTCATTTCTCTAATTTTAATCAAATGAAACTATTTAGATCATTCATTAATATCAAAATAATAATAAAAATTTTTTTTTACAGTGTTTTGACTTGGAAGCATATCTACAGCTTAATTCAGATAAGCGGACGTGGAGATGCCCAATATGCAAGTGAGTGAATTAAATATTGAAAAAACATATACTTTAGTAGTTTAGTGGATTCCGACATTATCGCCTTACAACAATGGTTCCCAAAATTTCTTGGTCTTTGACCCTCTGAATCTCAACATTTGTGGTATCTGCTCGGTCTGAAAACACCTAGTTTTTCTTTTAACGCGTTTCCACCAGATATTTTATGCGCCACATTCAATAATAAAAAGCAAAAAGACGAAAGTAACGAATGAATACATAACAGCCAAAGAGTTAACCACCAAATCTCAGTGAGTTTACCTTAAATTAATGGGTGCTCCCGTGGTAGTGCATCAAGATGGCGCACAACCTGAACATGGTTCAGGTTGTGTGGCATATTGGTGCACATACTACGTAAGCGCCAATTAATGTTGTCATCGCAAGTCACAATTGCGGTAAGTCCGTTAATTTCGTTTGGTATCAAATACAAGTGGGTAACAGCCAGTGTATAGAAATGTGTCTTATTTGTAGCCTCTTTGCGAGAAAATTTATCGAAGAACTTTTTTGATTTTGCAGGAAAAGTGCATTACTAGAAGGTCTGGAAGTCGATCAGTATATTTGGGGAATATTAAAGCAATCTCATCCTGAAGATATGGAAGTTATCATTGATCAAGCATGTAACTGGAAACCGGCTCTATCGATCAAGAGAGAACCTTCATTTAACGTAGACGATGAGGGGCCACCGAGTATGTTGCTCTATTATACTCAGTTTTGATGTTGTTTGGAATTTGAGTAAAATTTGGTAACATGTGTATACCATGTCTATGTGTGTATTTATGCTTACATTCTGTAATTGTTAGTACATTAATTATTCTTTTTAACTGTTCACACATGGGAGCAGTTTTATAAGTCTAATGTCATAGGGTTCCCACGAATTGAAAGAAAACAGCGAAATCTTGGGAGAAATATCGGATCGTAGACTTTCAGCGACTCCTTAGCATCAATATATTGACTTCAAATATAATTTTTTTTTACATATAATTTTAGATAAAAGATTCAGAAGTACTGGAATGTCGCCTGCTACAATGTTCAATCACCTACCAAGTCCCGGAAGTTATGTGCCACAAATGACACCACTTCCGCCTACAAGACTCACAATGACCCCGGACATGCAACCTTCAGGTATTGTGTATTCGCTTTCGTAATATCATCTTTAGATTTGTAAAAATTGCTTTATAACTAAATATCGAATTAGATTAATAAAGTGTATATCTACTAGGTATCTAATATACATTTTGTTATTTATCCATTAGGTTCTGGTTTTCCTCAATCTGTTGGTGGGTGCGGTTACCATAACAACGGTAGCAATGGATACATGAGTTCTGGTCCTGGTATGTCAAGTACACCGGGGCCCATGATGAACGGGGGAATGGTATCAGGCATGGGCCATACTAACGTTATGTCCCCAGGAAACTCTATGGGAATGCCTCACATGAACAACCATGGTGGTACCCTGCATCGAGCGAATCCATTACAATTGGAAAACATAGCAGCGGATGACATGGTGACGATTGAGAAAAGACTGAACCACGCAATCGCAAACAACAACAGAAATTCACCTAATGTAAGTTATTTGCCTAAATCAGAAATATTCTATCGAACACGGTATCGTTGTATAATGGGTGCTAATAGTTCATACTTTAGTTTATTATGGTCTCCGACAAAAGAACACAAATATAAAAGGAAAAATGTGAAAGTAACGGGAAATTTGAAGATATTCTGTAACTAGGTTATAAAACTTGGTATGCCTACTGCTTTAACGCGACGGAAAGTCTCAGTTTCACGTCTTCCAATCACTCGTAATCTAATCCCGGATTTAACTCTTGACTCCGATTTGGAAAAACTTGGATTCTAATTCTAGCTTGGATTGAAAAATATCGACTCCGATTACAGCTACCGACTTTTATCCCCTAATAATTTTCTGAAGGTTCTTTGCACAGACATGGTTTATTCAATATTCTCCCTATTTGTAATTTTTAGATTCCGCGACCTATGAGCAATCAACCAACCAATTCTGACAATAACAATACATTGGTGAGATCAAATAGTAACAGTCAACTTCCACAACACTCCGGTGGATTTTCTAATCAACGAGGACCTACACCTGATCAACAACGATTGCGTAACACAATGTCGGCTCCTTCCAACACAGCACCTACCACACCCGGTAATCCAACAACTCCGGGAAATGGTATCGAACTATTGTCCCCACAAGGAGGACCTAATAATACCACGAACTCAATGGCCGGTGGGTCGTCGACAACAAATCCATCTTCCAGTATGACATCGGCAAACGCAATAGGAGGCTCTGAATTGTCGTTCGATCCAGCCGCTGTTATAAATGGATCTGGAATCGGTGAAAATGATGACAAGATACCGTCTCTAGATGTAAGTATGAGCCACTCACAATTCAGATTCAGTCGATACGTATCGTTTTGGGCTTAATAGCGTTGCATTGCACTCTAAAGGTTATTTGGTTCAGCTTTATACCCGATGCCAATCATCTATCTCTATATTCCGAGTATCTAAACATAGTCGCTTCTGTTGCATGAACGTTTACTTGTATACAGTTTTAAAAAGAGATGGTTTAGAATATTGGATTAGTCGAAATAAAGCATTCTAACACATTTGTTTATCGATGTAATAATGATATTTCTCATAACTGCTAACAGAATATTTTTAAAGTTCATCAGTGAGTCTGTTTTGTTTGCTTATTTCATTACTTCTTGTAATTTTTCTGGCCAATTACTAAGTTTACATGTTACAAATACGCCGAATTATGCAACTCAAATAATTTCCAATTTCAGATTTTGCCTCCCAACACTGACACCAATGATCTGTTCGACTATTTGGGCGTGAATGACGTGGGAGAACCTAACGAAGACGATATATTTTCATTATTCGATAACTGAACGTCTACAAATGGATGATTCGTCAAAACGATAGAATAAATCTGAAGATCGTCTGTTGTCAAAACGAGGGAGATACAAAGTTGAAAACCGAGATAGAGACTGGGCAGAGACTACAAACACTGCGCCGAGTCTATAAACATGGTACGCTAATGGCGCCAAATTTGAAACAAATGAAACAATCCTCAAAAACAAAATAAAAATGACAATGCAGTGCGAAATAAAGCGCAACTATATTTCACACAAAGGCACATCCAACTTTTCTCCAATGTTTAGTTTGAGTGTAATAGTGCGTTAAACACCATTATCTGTTTCCTGGCATATTGACTATTATCCGTTCCGAAATGGCCAGCTGCATAAGCAGTACACATGGCCCACGCTGATTAGAATTGTTTTTGACATTTTTTACTTTGAAACAAATTGTTGCACTTATTGTAACATTTTTTATGAACTCATTGCACTATTAAAATAAATGTTAACATCACTGACAATTTGAAGTAATTAAAATAAAATGTTAGTTTTCAATGTAAGTATGATGCAGAACTGGCGCACATTTATTCAGCCAATCAAATTTAAGATATTTTAGTTAATTTTACGTAATTTTCTATCAGTGTCATTAGTTACTACATTTTTAATTTTGTAGCTTGAACTCTCTTTTGATGAGTATTTATTATTCTTATTCTCTTTTTAATTTTATTCCTAATTTTTTCATTTTTCTTGAACTTCTGCTGTACGTTTCCATCCACAGTATTTATTTTTGTCCGTCTGGTGAGTTTCTGAACCCAAATTTATCTTAAATCCGTCGATGGCAGTTATTTTATGTTTTCATTGAATTCAGATAATTCCGTTACCAGATAGATTGGTTCTATACTCTTTAGTAATATAATGAATTACATGAATGAGTTCTTCTAATGTTCTACAAAGAGCTGATCAGTGATTATTAAAAAAACATGGAGGTTTCTTGCAAATTCTATGATATACAGTTGTTTAGTTTTCGTTCACTCATAGTTGCAAAATCTACTTAAATATCTCTTATTGTAGTCAATTTTACAATTTTTTTTAGATGTATCCTACACAAAAAATTGTTGACATTCAAAACACTCAATTAGTGTTTAGTTAAGTTGATTTTGATAAAAATTTCACTATTATTTTTCAAATTTCCGATGAATAAATCATTTTATGGTTGAAAATAATGAAAATCAAGCTAAATCCTCTTTTGTATTTGGCGACTGTTAATTATTTGTTGTTAATAACTTAATAAAAGAAAGAACTATTAAATATCATAATATGGACCTTTCATATCACATGTAAAACGAAAGAGTCAAACGTAACCCAAAAGCTGTTTACATACAAAAAATTCGATAGTTGATCTCAAATCTAATTCGCCATATTTTGTTTTTTACTTTGAAAGTTCCACTTTTCTATTTTTTTGTTGTTGTTTCATCGACTATAACCAGACGTTTTTATTTTCACAATGTTATGTATTCTGAAAGTGGCACAATTTTTTCTCATTTTTTGCCAAAACAGTTTACTCAAGTTAGGTAATTTACACTTGTCAAAAGCATACAAATTTCAAGGATTACACTTTAATCCATATTTTTGAAAGTACCAGTAGTCGCCGCTCATGAATTATTGCTTGGACTTTAAAAAAAAGTACCAACAAATACCTTTTCATCTAAAATCAAAACACGTTTCTTCCGAATTACTAAAGGTTTTCCCCTGTTCCTACCTCATAGAAAATTATGAAAATGAAATGATCACTTCAAAACTTGGTTTTTTGAGATCATCCAATAAATAGCGAGAGATGATGTCAAACTCATTAACTTGATTTAAATCAAATCCACAACCAAACCATCATTCACAATCAAGTACGTGCATGAAACACCTGCAATCTATCTCGTTTTTGGGCAACTTAGTCTGTACTCAATGAACTCATTTTTATTTTCAGCTTCAGCATTTTTCTGTATTTTCGGAAGTATTTAAGGTGCTAATAGATATTTCTTATTTCATGCCATGAATTTTTGGTTAATTCAGCTCGTTTTTTTTTAATGATCCAGTTATATTCCAACATACTATCACAACGTCTTCGTCAATAATTTTGGAGTTAAATTACAATTTCAACTTTTTTCTTTCAAGATATCTAGTATTATAATTCCCGTTTTGAAAAAGTTATTCTGTCTGACATACTTGACTGTTGAATTTATAATGATAATGGAATTAACTCTGATTAATTTTTCCACATTTTTCTCTTATTTTTATTTTTCATCAATAAAGCGTTTTAGCTTATTTTTGATATACATGCCCCATAACATCTTTGATTTTTCTCTCCTTTTTTACTTTTTCTATTATTTTCGAGCTTTTTCAATCTCTACTCCTTCAAAGATCGAGAGTGCTTTTTCGAAATAGGAGAGAAAATAATATGAGAGAACGACAAAGTCGATATTTCTCTCTTTTTTCGTATTTCACTGCATTCTCACTTTGGTATTTATATTATTCGTTCTTTTACTTATTATTATTTTGTCTGATATATTTAGGATTCTAATTAATATTATTATTATTGTCAATTTAGCGCAATATCATGCGCTTTTCGTCGCCTGGTACAACATGCTTTGGTATAAATAAAATTGGAAATAATCATATTTATGGGTGGTTGACTTTTTCTCGTTTGTGGAAAACATGCTCTTTGTCCTCTGTGACGTCATAATATCTTATGGTAAACCGGTTTTCTAGAAGTTCCAATTCGAGTTAAACTGTACAATCGAGAGTATAAGATGTGATGAAATTTGTACGCGAAAGGCCATACTCCAGTACAATATGTTGTGGAATCCTGGGGTTCGTGGCTATGAGTTTAGCCATCGTGGCATTCCGTGAAAATAGCTGGGCCAAATGGCGAAAAAAATCAGGTGGGCAAAAGATACGGATTTGTATTTATAACTTTGTTGTCTAACATATTTCGATTAGTATTCTTTTTTTGCAATATGTTTAACGCGAGGTGTCGAGATTTACACTCTCTGAAAATATCAAAACTGGGCAAAAATGTTAACAAAAATGGTATCTTGGCATACAATACCATATTAGTTCACTTTGCTTATTTTATTACCGCTGGACTTGCTGGCCAGTCTATATCACTTAAGAAAGGTTAATGGCATATAAACGCCTATAGTTTTTATTCATTCACTGTAAATATGGTCGCTTTTTTGGGAAATTTCTATGCCAAAAGTTTTTCAATAACCTTAGTTCATGGATTTCACATCCACTCGGCATGCATTCCTGGTGGCGTCAACCGATATCTACTGGCGACAAATCTATAATTGTTGATTATTCACCTCTTTCTATTGAAGGATGTTTCGAGATTGATAGTTCGACACCGCTACTCACTAAAATGTCATTTATTGAAATCTAGGACATAGTCTTTGTTTTTGTTTACTATATATATGTACCACAGCAATGATGGAATGTCTTCCCCTACCACCTCCACTTGGATGCTCAGACCAATCCTCCACAGCTGAAGTATTAAAAGACGATGAAACTGATTTTGCTTGGTTAACTTTTATCAGTATTTTCCCATCCTGTTGTCATGTGATATCATGCTTCTTATCTACGAGAGATCATGATTTAAAATCAGCTATCGTAAAGGAATTGGTATCGAGCAGATCTCAATCTCGTTTGATGCTTGCTACAGGTAAGTGACTTGATAGCAAACAAGATTTCGAAAATAATAACTTAATAATAAATAACGTTTTATTCAGGCATTCTCAATATTCTATGCTGCATGATTGCAATGCTTCGGATCAATGTTATCAGTGCCATACGGAGGAACCAGAGTTTCTATCAATTTTCTGATATGAATGCTGTTTATTCCTCGTCATATTATTGCAGCATGCTATCATCTACTAGTGCCTTCATTTCTTCAGTTTGCCATAAATATATTTCGCAAGATATTTCGCAAGATATCTTTCGTATGGCAAAAACCATAAAGCAAGTAAGAACATTTTTATCATATTTTTTCATTTCCGTAAATAAGCGATGTGAATTGAGTTCGATAAATGAAATAGGTGAGTTATAAACTGAGGGAATTCTTACCATGTTCAGACATATTTTTTTCTACGTAGAAAAGCGATTTTGGAATAAGTTGGAGACCAAAGCTTACTGTGGGCGAAGGAACAATTGTTGCTGTGTCCTAAAAAGGCCATATTTATGAAGTATTGACACTTTGAAAACTAGTGCAAAATAATATTTATAGCTATAAACGAAAATATTGGGCTATAGATTTCAAAATGATAAAAATAAATTTAGAATGAAGAGGAATAAACGAGGTTCACTGTTTTCCGAAGTGGCATCAAACCAATACAAATAACCTTTTTTTGCCAATGTATCAGCACTGATAAACCGAATTTTACCAGCGTTGAAGAAGTGAATAAATTGCTGTGCCGACTTCGTTATACATAGGTAGAGAATGTTTGGTAAATTAATCAAGTGTAAAATATTTTTAAGCACTTGGCTAGAAACCTCATGTATCCAGACAATAAAAGAACAACGAAAATGGTGACGTTTTCTAGTATGAATCCAGAAATGGAAGAAGCAGCAACTGAAATTGCTGTTAGAGCTGTGATGCAATATAAATTAGAAGAGGACATTGCTGAAAATGTCAAACAGGTGTGCAAGTTTGTTGAAATAACCACATTATTCTCACTGTTACAATATTCAGTATTTTCGTCAAAATTATCGCTGTTTTAGCAGCACACGCATTACATGAAATATAGATGACGAAATATAACATGTCTCTTCGAATTATAAATTTGAATTATTCAGGCTGATGGGATGTTCGAAAATTCAAAATGGTGACTAGATTTGGCTTATTAAAAAATAAACGAGGAATAATTTAACAATTTTTACATTGCAATTTTATTTGTATGCACGATTCCACAGAAAACAGGGCGAATGTGAATAAATTTGAATAAACAAACACGCTGGATGCTATATACGCCCGGAGAATTACCACACCCCTCTCTGTGCCACTATTTTGATCATAGGCTGTCAAAAATGCTCACAAATTTTTTTTGTTCACAATCAGACGTTCGAGGCCAAATTTGGTCCAACGTGGCATTGTGCTGCTGGAAGTGAATTTGGTAGTGCCGTACATCACCGAGCTCACGAATATATCGAAATCGCAACGCCACAGATATCAGTTTTGCTCTTCCGATGTGATGAACCTAAGCAAGCAGAGCTGAATACACAATCTACTGTTGGGGAATCCGGATCATTAGACTCCTTAGACTTGCGATGAAATGATACACTATTTTATATTCCGTTATTACATGGTGTCCTGGGCAATTTTGTAGCTTTATTTCACTGGATGCGTCTGTTGTAAGTTTACCTATAGTAAGAAAAGAACAAGAACCGGTCCGAGTCATAGGATAAATATAAACGTGGGATCCGTGTTCAAATGTCGATACTAAAACCAGATGAATAATATGGCTAACGGTTTACCGAATGTCTATAAAATGGTAAACTACTTGCATCGAATTCCATATGAAGAAGTTCCATGATTATTTAAAAAAAAAAAATGTGACCTTTTGCATCAGTAAACCACTCGAAATTTTAAATCTATTGGCCCAATAGTTACAGAGGAAAGCTTTTTAAATTGCTGCAAGCAACGAGTTATACACTTATATTAGCCAGGCCCAGTAAGCCTCATTGATTAAGACCAACTCGGCACAAGGAAAAGATATCCATGATAAAGTATTATGAATGAATTGTCTCATATGTGATGACATGGAAATACGACCATAATCATCACGGAATTACACAAAATGAATATTTTGATTGAAAACATGTTTATTTTAACTTAAAGCAGCACCTATACTGATTTATGTAAATGAATTTGAAAAAAAGTTCGCGGTAGTGTTTAGTTTCAATTATTCAACTTTTGAATCGCATGTTTTCAAAACATGTTTCTTATTAAATCAATGTTAGACTGGTAACAACGGAACATGTTCTTTGTTGTATAGAACTCACTAACAACAGGTTCTCTTTTTTCCGAAAATGTATCAATGCCACTGCGTAAGCTACAATAACATTAAACGCGTTACATAAATCCAATATATACTTAAAATTTCGAAAAGCCAAAAAATGGTCAGCTGCGGTGCACGAAACTCAGTAGATTGGGTTAGAGACATGGTTTTGATTATCTTTTCATGGTTTAAAAGAGTTTGAAAATGAATTCCACTCGGCTTTCATCTGCCTTGAACTTACGATTTCAAAAACACTGTGACAGCGTTGCACCTGTCTGCTACCCGTTTGCTGCACACCGGCGTGCTAAAATAAACCATGTCTAATACGTTAGGTTCCGCAGGACCCTACACAAATTGCCGCGAGTGACGGTTGCATCACCAGGCCGGTACCAGGCAAGGGTCACCAAAAAAATGTAGTGGTTCATTTTGTAAACCTCACGTCAGTGGTTTGCTTCCTCTGCTATTAAACTGATAAAGTGCCATTTCAGTAAATGAAAGTACTAACATCCAGAACCCCACTGTTGGGTTTCTATATTTTGCTTTCCAAACAGCGCTGTATGCGTGGAAGAGATATAGGACAATGCAGCACCTGGTTCCCGGATGCTATAAAAGCATTCTGTGGGTTAACTACTGGATGATGCATTTCCAAAAGGGAATCGCTGTAATCAATAAAACAATTGCTCCGAATAGATGCCAGCCTTTAGAAGTTGTTAGAAATGAACAGATGTCTTGAATATTGTGAAAGCGTTGTTGTTAGTTGCTGCTTACCAGTAGGCTATACATTATTAAATCACATATTGTAAAATTAAATTGAGCATATTCTTATTATAACGTTTTTATCCCTTAAATGCTACTATGATTTTACATAATATCGTGTCTTGAGACGCAACCAGAAACGTGGTGCGCTATCTCTCCTTTAAAACCAGAGTGGTATGTCAGGAAATAAAATCTCCCTAGTCGCTATCTTTCCGAGAATCGTACGGGTATATGTCTAATAGGTCTAATTGACTTGGGTGACAGCTTGCGCCACCAATGCGGGGTATTGGTAATAGTTTTCAACTAGCAATAATCGCACCTCGGATGAACCTCATTGGTTTCGATACTGCCACTGCGAAAAGCTGATGACGAAACGGAAAAAAAAGATCCCGTCGTATTATGGATCAATTATACCAGTTGTGGTGATTCGATTTGCAGATATAAACATTTTTAAAATAATCTAATATCGAGGTTCATTATTTTTTGGTTTGTTCATTTCTTATTCTTATGGAAGCAAAAGCTGATAAATTCAATCTGTTACCATGCAGCTAATGCAGTTTTCACCATTTCTGACCGACTCCCAAGCACTTCTATCCCTTTGAACATGGTTTGGAATTTCGCAAAGAGAATTTTGCTAAGAAGAGTTTCACGGTAAGTGATTTATTATGAATGTTTCCCAGACCTTTGATCCCAGGTAAATCATTCCTATACTTTACCGTTGAAGATTTCTGATGCTTATTCGAAACTTGAAAGTTGAAACAACCAAAGTCGTTGAACGCGACAATCCACAGTTACAACTTTACCGAAAGATGGCGGTCTTGAGCAATAATATTTTGATTGACCGAACCGGTGTTTGTCGTCATTGGAAACGTAGGATCGCTCGTTCCGTTTAGCGTTATTTAGCATCATCAGGTCTTCTGTACCGTTCCTGTGGGTTCGTGTGTCGGTTGTTAGAGCGGCAATATTCGAAGCAAAATGGAGGAGTACCGGTACCGGTATACTATGAATAACACGGATTTGGATCTTGACATGGACGAGGAATCTGGTAAGTTCTGCAGTCATCGAAACTGTACCAGCAACCAGTGTACAGTGTTAGCCCAGAAGTCACAATTTGTTGGGGTTCTTGGTTTCAGGATGGATAACTTTTGTTATTATGTTAGTAGATATGTATGCGTACCGGTATGTATTTAAATGCCTTAATTTTGTAGTTTGGTAAGGTATGTAAGTTTTTCTTGCAATATCGTTTTTGCCTCCGACCGTCGCCGGGTGCGGACGTGTCAGCTTGAAAAGACTACGCGTTGTATGTTTCGGTATCTGTAATCTACCGCACCTGTATTTTGTTTGTAACACAAGTCAGACGCCCGAACGCTGGAACTATAACCTGTTCGTGTTTTTATCTTTTTTTTGTAATATGTTTGTGAGTGTAATATCATGGGTGAACAGGCACATTGTAAAAGATCATAGTGGTGGACACCTTTTTATATGACTCTTATTTGCATTGTTCGCTTCAATTGATGTTCTCTCCAAATACCCACTGATATCTAGCCAATATCAAGGATCATAATCTTTTTGGTCCGGGATTGCAAACAAAGTCGACATCTTTAACCATAACACCATCTTGCCTGATTTGGAAACAGCATTGTATTATTAGTGAATATTTCCACCAGAAGATTTCAATGCTAACAGACAAGCTTCATTGCTTTGTCATCAGGTTTGATTTGATCTGTGAATTGTATATCCAAATGATGGTGTAGTTGTTGATTTTGTTAGACCTAACAATGATGGTATCTCACTCACAGGGTGAAAGTTCAAATCCCATGTCCACCATCTCACCCAAGGTGTAATAAATTGGGAAGACAATGACGAACCGGGAAGATCTCAGTACTTTCCATAAAAGTAGCTTCTTTCATATCAATGACTGCTTGTGCATACCCTTGTTTAGAGCAAGTAGCCTATTAAAAATTATTCTTATTACATTTTCAGAGTCAAATTTTGACATTGATGCGGAATTTGCAGATTTGTTCAGCGAACCAGAAGAGGAATATTTTACAGATGGTTTATATACTGAAGATAATGAAGGTATGTTTATTAACTATGCATTACCACTTTTTTACCTTCACAATGGGTCTTCAAACCTTTTTCATTATGTCATGCTTGGCAAGGCCAAATATTTTTGCCAGCCCCGGGAACTAGAATAAAAATAAAGTAATTATGCAGAAAATTATAGAATAAATAAATAAAATTGACAATACTTTTATGAGCCTGATGTGCTTTATATTGCGCACAAAATATCCTGAGAGTCTTGGCAATGGATAATGGAAGTTTGAGAACTGCAAAACTAGAATAAACTATAGTATGGCTAGAATTCTTTGTTCTGAAAGAATATTCGGTTGGATGAGAGACATTTTGTGACTTTCTCAAACGTCTACTTTCCACTTCTACTTAGTACATTGCACTGATGGTAGAGTACAATATGACAATAGCAAAAAGTAGGCTAGGTATTGAATACAAACTAAGTGCTGTAGAATTTTCAGTGGTTGAAGATTATTGTTATTGCTAGAAGGCTATTTCTTTAATTTGTGCCTGGCCAATTCCATGTCAGACAAGACAAAAAAATTTGAAAAGTCCACCCACTATCACAGATTTTATTTATGCTTTGCATATATCCAGAATAACTTCCTACAAGCAAAATAAAAAAAATTTGAACAAATTTCGTCAAGTATTAGAGAAGTTAGAGCATTTTGAATATTGCCAATATTTATGAACGAGACAATCTTTTGAAAGTTTTTTAAAATCAATTATTAAACATTTGTGAGCTTTTTTTAGATTATTTTTTCATTATTATACCCAATTTTTGGTGCTGTTGAAGAAAATACAATTGCGAATCAGGAGGGTAAAAAAAAAATTTTTTTCACTTTCCGAACCTCCTGAAATTCCTGATTTAAACTCAAAACAGCCTTCAGAATCAGTCATGCGCGACGAAGACTTCATCTTCAAATTACAAAAATGGGTAAGTTTTGTTTTTGATAAAATGGATATTTTCTGAAAGCTTGGTAACAATGCAAGTCTGTGTAAAAATTTCATTTTGTATTTTAAAAAATACAACCTATTTTTGCTCTGTCAAAGTCGTGTTCAAATTCTAGATCAAAATGTTATATAAAGTGATATTTTCTCTATGACGTCATAATGGTGAAAAGTGATAACACAATAAACATAACACATTTATGAATCAGATGCCCAATCAATTGGAACTGAACATAGTTTTTTATTAAATAACATTTAATAACACGCAATAATTAATTGACAATCACAAACAGTTGGGAATATGAACAAGGAATACCCAAATAACTGCTGGGCTTAAAAAACATACATGTTTTATTACCATCCAATAATACAATTTAATTAACATTTTAAAATAAAATTTTAACATAAGAAAGAAAGAATTTACTATTAGTTACACACATCTTGCTTCATCCACCAGCTCAAAATGCATGAAACAGTGTCAAACATTTAAATTATTCCATCTTTCATGCCAAACAGTTGATATAAGGGAAGACGATTGTTCTGTTAGTTGATACTGTCCCCTAGTTGTTTGTAATATGGAGCATTCTATTGGGCAGATCACATTTTCAAAGGGAACCCAGCATCTGTCATTATTGGTTGGCCAGTAAAATGAAACAGCCGGCCCAGCTGGATGGAAAAAATCGACATTCAAATCACCTTGGGTTTCATCCACCTCTGAAACTATTCCTATATACCATTTTTTCATAATCATTACTAATCCTTTTCATTCCTATTTGATAATTTGAGAGTGGTGTAAAATTGTGGAATGTTCTGGTTCCTTTGATGGTCGAAGCCCTGATCCGAGTTTGCAGTTAGGACCTCGATAATTTTAAATCTTCAGAAGGTGAAAAAAGTGAATCGATGGCATGTGTTTTTTACAGAATTCCATCATTTTAGAAACATCATCAATCTGATGTTCTGGTTCGCTTCTGATATTTTTTAAAGCAGTTGTGCGTTTGATGGTACCACCAAGACCAAAAAAATGATTTTGTGTACAATGACCTGTATTTCATTTTTGTGACAGCTTTGTTTTGTCTAATATCTAATTCCTGCTTTTAGTGCAAACCTTTTTGTGGGTTCACAGCAAATACGTATTTTCTCGACTATACGCCTATCACGCGGATAAGCCGACTCCCAAATAACAGCTTCGAAATAGTGAATTTATGAAAATTCGCATATACGCCGTTTCCACAAATCGCAACACGGCGCACGCATCTATTACAGTCAATGATGTTCAATTCAAATTTAATATTCAAATATCCCGATTCGCTACCTTCTTGTATATGGCACACACATTCTAGCGCCGCTGTCCACATTTTGATTAAAACAATTTTCGATTATTATATTTTCTGTTTTATCGTAATGGAAGACAGCACTTTGCGGCGCAACTAAATTACTGCCAACATGAAAGGAATTAAATCAGCGCCGACTTGAAGTACCAAACGTATAACATGAGAACATTTTTGATTGAAAATATTTTACAATCATTATTTTATATTAAGGTAGTCGAGATATCCTGAGCGGACACGGCAATAAATTTGGTCTGAGCGGACACCGCAATAAATTTGGTTATTTTTCGCAAGTCTTCTCAAACATGATTTGTGTGAGCTTCATGTATGGGCTGATATATTTTATAATGTATGCCAAAGTGTCTGCCGATTGTTTAATTGACTTTGTATACCAGCTGTTATTTGTATTAATCCTAAAAACAAAAACGTGGCCGGTGCAATGAAGCACTCCCTGCCCGATAACGGCACTTCAGAAAGAAACGGCTACCACGAAATAAAGTGATTGATTTATGACCCTTCCGTTTTGCTGATTCAGGAAAAAACGGAAAACACAGCTGTTGCCTAACCCATGGACGTACAGCACAGTGTTTATCACATATTCATATGTTATTTCAACCTTTCATGCATAATGTGCAATTGTGACATAACAAGAACCTAATTTACAAAGTGAACCATTGTTTACATCACAATGCTTCACAACTGGTGTCATCTTCTAATTTAAAGCTTGAAATTTTGGACTTCTTATATTTGTGCAAGACCAAAATTATTTTCTGGACAATGACAACAGGCAGTTGTAGCTTGGGGGATATTTTAAATGAGGAATGTAATATCAAGACCTATAGCAAGGATTTTGGGATAGCACAAATTAGTGATTTCAATGAGAATGAAAGAAACCTTCTGACTTGCAGAACAGGAGTGGAAGTGTCAAATTTTGCTACGATTTGCAATCACCATAGGGCCAAATATATATCAAAGTATGAATTTTTGCAGCCAAAAAAGTGCTGTAATCCTTTTAATAGTCACAAAAGGCCTGTAACAAATGGTTTAAGAAGCATAAATTGGAGTATCCATAACATCCTAAAGAGCCAGAATATTTTCATCGCCCCTGGTAAAAGAATCTGTACGAATTGCCATGTCAAAACTTTTACAATAGAAAATAAAGAACCCCATCAAATTTTAGCTGATGAAACTCCTGGATTCACTGCAACTGCCTGCAAAGAAGCTGTAAATGCTAGTTTAATATCTATTGGAGAATCGCCTCTAAAATTGCATAGTCTTTCACAGAAAAGTCGTTTGAAATATGGAAAGAGGAAACTGGAAAAGGTGGAATCAAAATTCAGGAAAAAATTGTCATTCACACTTACAGGATGCGAAGGAAGTATTCCGAATCCAGATAGAGATATGCATACCCTTACCACAATGGAAAAAGACTATTATAGACTTCTCGACGAAATAAAAGAAAAAATTGGAGATGCAATAACTCGATCAGAAAAATTAAGACTTTTGACTTTGGCCCCTAAAAGCTGGTCTCGCACTAAGATTTCAAATTATTTTAATGTTAATCAAAGTTTGGTCAAATCAGCCAAAGCTTTAGTGAAAAAAGAAGGAATTTTAGCTGTTCCACCTAAGTCAAGTGGTAAAAAGCTGCCAGTAGAAGTGATCAAGCATGTTGAGGATTTTTTTCAAGATGATGAATTCACGCGTTTGCTTCCTGGTACTAAAGATAAAGTTAGTATAGCAAAAAATAGTTATATGCAAAAAAGATTAATTTTATGTACGCTAAAAGAGTTGTATATCGCTTTTAAAGACAAGTATCCACAATTGAAAATTGGCTTTTCCACATTCTGTACCCTTCGTCCTAAATGGTGTATGTCCGTATCATCTCCTGGTATGCACAGAGTGTGTGTATGCACCATACACCAAAATGTCATCCTGTTATTACGTGCCGCACAGATTAAAGAAACATATTCGGATATAATTAAAATGACAGTATGCAGTCTCAGTAACAGGCAGTGTATGTTGGGGCAATGTGACAAGTGTCCGAAAGAAAGTAATTTAGTTGAATGGTTGGAAGAAAGACTCCAGTGTCAAGAGGAAGTGCGTTTCAAACAGTGGGTTAACACAGATAGAACAGACCTTATTGATAATACCCTCAATGTAGAAGAATTCATCGAATATTTAGTGGAAAAAATTTTGGCTCTAGCACCTCACTCATACATTTCGAAGGCCCAATCAAATTATTTCAAAAACCGAAAATTAAATATGGAACAAACAACAGCTCTCATACTGATGGATTTCAGCGAAAATTATCGTTTTCGATTTCAAAATGAAGCGCAAGGATATCACTGGACACAAAATCATTGCACCGTTCATCCAGTGGTGTGTTACTACAAAGATGAGATACCGAAACATATCAGTATGTGCTTTATTTCTGAAGACCTCCAACATGATGTTGGTATGGTGTACCTTATTCAAAAAAAATCAATCGAATTCTTAAAAGATAAAATACCCAACCTCTCTTCAGTTGAGTATTTTAGTGATGGGTGTGCTGCCCAGTATAAAAACTGCAAAAATTTTTTTAATTTGTGCCAACATCACAAAGATTTTAACATCAAAGCCTCATGGTCTTTTTTTGCCACTAGTCATGGTAAGTCCGCTTGTGATGGTCTTGGTGGTACCATCAAACGCACAACTGCTTTGAAAAATATCAGAAGCGAACCAGAACATCAGATTGATGATGTTTCTAAAATGATGGAATTCTGTAAAAAACATATGCCATCGATTCACTTTTTTCACCTTCCTTCTGAAGATTTAAAATTATCAAGGTCCAAACTGCAAACTCGGATTGGGGCTTCGACCATCAAAGGAACCAGAACATTCCACAATTTTACACCACTCTCAAATTATCAAATAGGAATGAAAAGGATTAGTAATGATTATGAATACAGCTTAATTTGGAACTTTAACAAAAATGTAACACCTAGAAACAACTTTGATGTTGGGAAATATGTATGTTGTGTTTATGAGAGAAAATGGTATATAGGAATGGTTTCAGAGGTGGATGAAGCCCAAGGTGATTTGAATGTCGATTTTTTCCATCCAGCTGGGCCGGCTGTTTCATTCTACTGGCCAACCAATAATGACAGATGCTGGGTTCCCTTTGAAAATGTGATCTGCCCAATAGAATGCCCCATATTACAAACAACTAGGGGACAGTATCAACTAACAGAACAATCGGCTTCCCTTATATCATCTGTTTGGAATGAAAGATTCCCATAAAAACAACCCAACAGAGAATAATTTAAATGTTTTACACTGTTTCATTACACTGTTTCATGCAGTTATTTGGGTATTCCTTGTTTGTGATTCTCAATTAATTATTGCCTGTTATTAAATGTTATTTAATGTGTTAATATGTTTATTATGTTATTTAATAAAAAACTATGTTCAGTTCCAATTGATTGGGCATCTGATTCATAAATGTGTTATGTTTATTGTGTTATCACTTATTCACCATTATGACGTCATAGAGAAAATATCACTTTATATAACATTTTGACCTAGAATTTGAACACGACTTTGACAGAGCAAAAATAAGTTGTCTTTTTTAAAATACAAAATGAAATTTTTACACAGACTTGCATTGTTACCAAGCTTTCAGAAAATATCCATTTTATCAAAAACAAAACTTACCCATTTTTGTAATTTGAAGATGAAGTCTTCGTCGCGCATGACTGATTCTGAAGGCTGTTTTGAGTTTAAATCAGGAATTTCGGGAGGTTCGGAAAGTGAAAAAATAATTTTTTTTTACCCTCCTGAGGCGCAATTGTATTTTCTTCAACAGCACCAAAAATTGGGTATAATAATTAAAAAATAATCTAAAAAAAGCACATAAATGTTTAAAAATTGATTTTATAAAACCTCCAAAAGATTGTCTCGTTCATAAATATTGGCAATCTTCAAAATGCTCTAACTTCTCTAATACTTGACGAAATTTGTTCAAATTTTTTTTATTTTGCTTGTAGGAAGTTATTCTGGATATATGCAAAGTATAAATAAAATCTGTGATAGTGGGTGGAATGGCTTGGAGATCTGACAAGGAATTGGCCGCCTATATTTTCTATTAATCCCTCGATATTTCAGTGTTTAATTTTTACTCATGGGTACACAGCTTTTATTATCCCAAGCGTGACGTGTTTTGCTTCACGAAAGTGGAAGGTTTTTTGGTAGCGGTACGATAAGTTATTTTGTGTCCATATATTCGAGCATTGCTCTCTTGTTTTAAAAATAATACTCAATTAAATGAGAGACAATTTTTTCTACGATGAACTCGTGTGAACCACCGAAAAATTATAGCAGATTTTTAAGGTATCCACATTATTATTTTTTTGTAGAAAATTCAGGTGTCAGTGATATCCAAGCAGAAAGGTCGCAACTACTCTTGCTTCGTCGTCATCTTGATATGCTGCAAGAAAAAATGAAAAACCAAGAGTTTCAAGTGTTAAAAGCGAGGTGCATATTCTTGACGAAATATTTAAATGTTAAAAAATTGAATGCGAATTAGTAACTCTTGCTAATTTAATTTTATGTTGATATGTTGGTCATATAGCCTAATTTAGCTGAAATTTGGAATTGCAGAAAATTTAGGAAAGTTGAGTTTGTTTTTAATTTGATTGTTATTAATCATTATTCTTTATTTTACTAGTATTCTTTATCTCTAGTATTCAGTTATCTCAAATTTGTCGATGTAAAATGCAGATTTTCAGAATTAACCAAGTATTGAGTACACTCACAGTTATTTATATTCAATATCATTGATTCTGTACAATTGTTTTCCGATGTTCAGACCATACCAGAAAATTTTTCATAAATGTAGGAAGCAAATGATTAAATGGCCTATCTTAACATTTCTACAATATAAAAATCAATCTCTATGAATACAATTTCTGTATTGAACATGTTCCATTCTAGAATATTCCATTTGAAAATAATATTTTAGAATGTATTTGCAAGAAGTAACTAACAATTAACTTTTGTTCATTCGGGTTTAAAATTTAAATTTAAAACCATATTATATTTAATTCTGCACCTGAATAGGTTTAAATCAAAATATTATTATCAGGGTTTTTCAAACTGTTCCCAGGGCTCATTTAGGGGGCCATGGATCGTTTCTCTGGGGGCCGCATGCAGAAGCCTTCACTTGACCACAATAATTTAAAGTAAATTGACTAATTTGTTAAATTGTTTGTCCATAATGCATTTATTTTTTTTATTTTTAGTTGCTGGCTTTTATTATTAACTTGGAAGATAAGATAACTGATGGAAACCTCTGAGCAACAGAACTAATTTTTTTATTGAAAATCGGGGGGCCACAAAGTGTTGAGAGTCTTTGAAAGAGGGCCACAGTTTCAAAATCAAATACATTTTAACTAGAATCTATGTTCAATATTTGATTTTGATTTTAGAGAGGAACTGAATGCATGTCGTACTAAGATACATGCCTTAACTGAAGAACAATTGAATGTGAAGGAAGAAATGGAAACCATGAAATCTATTGGAAACAATGCTTCCTATTTTCGCTTGTTGTCACAGATTGAAAAACTGTCGACTGAAATATTAAATGAAAAAGATGTTGAAACAATTGTTAAGGCTAATTTACAAGCTGCTGAGTGAGTATACTATTCCATGTTTTAAGTGTTTCACAAAACAAATTTGAGATGTGGAAATATTTGGTTTTATGCTTTCATATCATATAGAAAAACCTCTTTAACACACTAAATCAGTAGTTCTATTCCCAAATGTTTCACAATTTTGTTCTGAGGAAAGTTCTGCGGTAACAGCCATTATTAAAAAAAGGGTGCTATCAAACTCACAATTCAATTTTCTCGGTTTTGCGAATTTGTGGGTGCAATGAGCTGGCATAGCTGTTTGAGCATTAGTCTTGACTGCGTTGTCATTGCAGGTTTCCAGGTCAGCCCGGGTTCGTAACCCATGCCATCATCTCACCCAGTGTGTGATTAAATTGTGCTGGTCCTTCAAAAAATGATAGCCCCATACCTATCAGTGGATATCTGTTGGCTGCTTGTAAAATGCATTGTTCCGAGCAAAAAGCACAAATAGGTGACATTTAAAATTTTTTTTTATACCCTGGTCGATGTGTAGTGTATGAATCAGAAGCTTAACCAGAGGGGAACGGGGGAGGGGATATTGGGGGTCGGAACCCCCTCTTTTGAAATGAAAAAACCCCACTAGCTGTTACACGATCTAACTTGTCAATTAGAAATTTCTGAACCCTGATGTGAAAGAATTACAATCAGGGCTGAGAAGCCAGAGCCGTGGTGTCCTGTTGGAGCTGGAGCCAAGCTTACCGTAATAGCTGGAGCCAGAGATACCAAAAATTTAAGCTTTATTTGACCACTCATTTTTAATTGCAAACCTTCAATATACCTTCAGGCTTGCTCTATCGGAGGTAGCTTTAGAACAACGTCATTATATGGATTTGGGTGAAAAAGTACAAGAACAAGAAAAAAAAGTCAACGATCATAAGCAGATGATGGCACAGTATAGATTGTTGAAGGAAAATGATGGATTGATGCAGCAGAGAAAATTGTGGAGAAACACTGAGAGGTATGACAACTTTAGAGCAGTATTTTCCAAACCTCGGGCCTATTACGACCTATGTAACGATTTAATATCGCCCACCAAACTCAGATGAAATAGTTTGACACTTTAGGTTTTTACCTTTTGCGTCATAGATACAGCCAATTGTTACGTATTATCACACTTTAAATTCATCACAATTCAATTATACCCGTATCTTAGTTATTCGTACCGGTTTCGATCCATTGCGGGCGTTCTCTTCCGAACCTCGCAAATATCTTCCCGCTTCTAATTTTGGCCCTCAATCTATCAAATTTGGTAGCCACTGCTTTAGATGAATATATTTCATACAATAAATCAATTATACAATCAGAGGTACTGGGTTATGAAATGAGTGATAGATACATCATGGTTCAGAATACATTTTTTAATCAGTTGGTGAAAAAATTCAAAATTTACATTATTTTTAGCATCTCAGATTTAAAATGACATGAAATATTATTCCAGAAATACAACTACATTATGAATTTATTTCCGAGGCTAATGAGTGCAGTCATCAAATCAAAACTCATTTAAATGGCTATATTATGCTCTTTGATTGGGTTATTTTGAAGCAAGTAATGTACGTTAGTTATAACAATGTTCAAATTTATCAATTGCAAAAATGAAGTACTATAATTGAGATGCATATTACTTTAGTCCAGGAGTTCCCAATCTTTTGGTGTTATGGAGTCTGTGGAGAGGTTGACTCTTATTTACAAAGACCCACAATGAACTTATAAAAAACATAAAACACATTGTCATCCACTGATTAATGTTCCTGAGTAAATTGAAATATTTATTCACTTTATTTGATGACCCGGATGTATTTGCTGCTTAGTGCTTTGTGTTTGCTGTTGTCAAATTTTGTTAATGTCTATAATGCTTTTTTAGACAGTTGCAAAATGAGCCATGTCAGTATTTTAATAAGTAAACGAATAGCTTGCGGAGCCCCTAGGTTTCTCTCACAGAGCCCTGGGGCTTCGTATGGAGCACTTTGGAAACAAATGATATAGGTCATCCGAGTTTCAAATAGAGCTAGGTCTCACGGGCAGTTGATAATGAGTCTGAGTCATTCCATTTAGATGACTCGAGTAACTTTAAGTTTTTGATAGAAGATGACTCGCATTCAACTCGAGTCAAGTTCCTGGCTCAAGCCTTCTCAACGCTGTTGAATACTACATTAAATATTGATTTTATTTGCTTTCAGATTATACAACCAACAAATACAAGATGCTCAAGTGGCGTATAATGAAAAAATGCAAGATGCTCTTATTAACAATGCCAAGGCTAGACAGTTTCTGCAGGTAGGATTTTTGTTGTAGACTTTGTAGGCAAATTGTAGTACAATAAACCTGTCTGTATATTGAAACAACGTACAGAGCTATAACTGACAATGGAATAAATATTAGAAATGTTGGAAACAAACCGGCTCTTAAATTAAAACAATTTGATTCAACACTACCAGGTAACAATTAGGGTTTCTTCTCACTTATTTTAAATCCAACTAATTTAATACTAAATATTTTTCAGTTTAACAACAAAAAAACATTTTAAGTAACTGAATTGTTACGTAGCAAATTTGGCCGACACATTGTTTAATGGTTTTGTTTTCGATTTGAAACATTAATAATTTTTAGTTAATTTGGAATTGGACCACTTTGTCTACCCTAATTAAAGTTGCAATGACTTTACTTTTACTTTAAACAGCATTCATTAGAAAAGATAAAACGTAAACAAAATGTTCAAGATTATGCCGCACAACAATTTATGGAGAAAAAAATGAAAAGTATAATGGAATTGAAGAAAAGTATTTCATCAACACATGAGAACTTGAAAGCATTACAGGTAATGTCAGTCCTAATTTAAATTTAACTTATACATCTACTAATGGGTTTTCTTGCAACATCATTATATTTAAATTTGACTAAAGGTATTGTTATTTTTCAACAAATGTTGTAGGATGAACCAAGGGTTAAGCATATTTTTCCTGGGGTGTCTGGTCGTATTTTCAAACTCGTCGGATTTTTGTTCGAAATTTTGATGGAATTTAAATTTTATTGGTGTCAGAATTGGTAGTGATAGAAAAAAATATTTTTACGGATAATTAAAAAAAATTAGGTTCTTAACGTTATATTAAAGGAGGCTTGCATATGCCGAAGAAAATTTAATTTTCTCAGGGCTTGGAGTTGTTGCCAGAGTTGTAATTTTTGACAATACAGAGCCTGAGTCAAATTCCTTCTACTTAACTAGAGTTGTAATAAATTTAGCAGGATATGCTGATATGAAAGGAGTGACATACTTTTAATAAGTGGGTACTCCACGTTTAAGTATATGCTTGTCTTGGGCCATACTAGCAGAGCTGATTTTTTTGTCTGTTTTCAACTAAGTAACTAACGATTGATTGTTATTACGGTAGATAAAAATTCCTTCAGATTTTTTTTTATTACATTTTATTTGTCTTCGTCTTCCATCTCTCAGTGATTTTTTTTGAATTTGAAATACTTTTTTGCCAATGTTACCTTGTTGTAGGCGAGAGACAGAGCTCGACGACGTGAAAAGAAGTTGGCCGAAGATAAAGAGAGATTACATGTTTTAAATGAAGGTGGAAATCCTGATCAAGTCATTCTACAAAGAAAAAAATTGATTGAACAGGAAGCTGCAGCAAAGTTAGTTTGTATTTAATATGTATCAATAAAAATATTGTTCTAAGTAAAAATGCTACAAAAATTAGTTTTCATGAAAATTGACATTCATGTGTTATGTGAGAAAGTTTAATTTTTTTTTTCGGCGAGCTCATTCTGTGAATATTTTTTAGAAGCAGTGAATTGAATATGAACTTTTTGTTTGTGTATTCCTCTGTGGGCGTGAAGGCCTAGAGCAGGGGTCCCAATCCTGTTATGGTTGGTGGCCTTCTTTCCAAGGCTGTTAGCCACCCTGTCGACCATTCCCAAAATACGAAGAATGAAAGCATCACGCACACTCTACTTTTACTTTAGCAAAGCTGATGGCAACACAATTGGCGTCTCAGTGTTGTTTCTTGGGACTATTAGAAACAACAATACCAACTTCTAATTGTTACTGATTACACCCAGGGCTTTTGCAGAGAAACAGAACAATGCACACATTCGTATTGCTGAAAAAATTCTGATGGAAGAAAATCGAATCAAACAGAGAAAAAAGCAACAGGTTTATAACATAAACAGTTTAAATAAAATTCATACTCGATCAAAGCAAATTTATCTTGACTGAATAATAATGATTGTTCCCGTTTGTAATATTTGAAATGATATCATCAATAAATAGGAAAAATAAATTCTTTTCCATGAAATAGCATGTATATTTGGGAACTTCCGTTACACCATAGTCTTACTTATTCAGACAAAACAAAATATAACTGCAAAGATAATCATAAGATTATAATAATTGTTGAATCACCTTACTATTATGAAATTTGAAAAATGCAGGGCTGGAAATTTTTGGCCTGTCTCACCTTGACTATATAAGCCAATTGATATGGTTTGATTTTGGATATCAAACCAGAACGCAAATATAGCCTACTTGCTATTTTGTGAAAAAAGATATTGTTATTCTCATTTATCACTCCAATACTATCTCATTCAAGCATCTTTGTTGCGAAAGTCACATGTGAATATGAAGTAGACAATTCTTATTTCCATCTTCTCTAGCCACAGCTATGGTCAACACCGCGGAAAGAAAAACATAAAGAGCTTGGACCTTTGAAAAAGAGACCGGTTACTAACAGAATTCAACTTGATAAAAATGATAAACCTGTATTTCTTGATGAAATAAGGGAAACTGAATCTCATCATGCCAGCACAAGATCTACGATGGTTTGTTAGATTGTTAATCAAACTAATTCTAGATATCTTTCACTTTGAGTGTTAACATCGAATCAAGTCATCTCATTTACTAATTTTTGATTCAAAATTTGGCTTGTCAGTTGAAACAAAATATGAAATGGATTCTTTCGAATGATTTATATTTTGAAATCGCCTTTTTTTTAAATTTTTGCACCAAATTCATGATTTTCAAGGACTCCGACCCAAAATGATGAAACTCTAGAAAATGAGAAAAAATTAGATTTTAATATTCAAACATCTGTAAATTTATATTGCTGTGATATACTTTGGTAAATATTGCCTTAATCCATGATTATATAACAGTTTAAAGCGCACCTTTTTCTTTGTATTATTTTCAAAATAAACTTTTTTTGAAATTTCAAAGTCCACCCTTTTGTCTTCAAACCTTTGGTATGTCGAATTGTAAGTAGTGAAATCTGTCATATATCACCAATTTTTCTGCAAATTAGATATATTCAAAATATTCATAATATATAAAATAATCTCTACATGGAATTTTAACTATTATGCTTGAATAGTCAAATACGAAAATCTCAAAAAATATAGCGAGAATGATATTCAAATTGATTCGACTATGTCTAGAACTATTCGAAATTTTTAGAGTTGAATGATTCGGTTCAGTTGTATTTGAATCAAATCATGTGATCATATTTTGATTCTTCCACTTCAATCTTTGTTTATGTAAATATTGATTCATTAACAATTGAATAAAAACTCTTCCAGAATACTCAGGTTGACTGGACTTATGCTTGCTGAATACATGTAGCATTTTATTAAATGTTATCCATCACAAAAAATATCACAATGAAAATTCTCAGACAATTTATTAAAATTTATTTCATAAATAGTTTTATAAAATATAAAAATACGAAATTTGTTAGACCATCTAAATATCATTAATATTTGGATAGTATTCACTTTTGCATGTTGTAGGATTCAAATGATTTAATATTTGAAAAATTGAGATTAATTATTTTTGTCTCATGTCTAGCCTGTATTAGAATAGTCATCAATCATATAAGGTGATAGTTTGTAATTTTGATTGACGAAAATTACAATTCAGCATGATCATACAATTGATTTTACTAACGAAGATGATGATTCAGAATTAACATCAAAATCAAATACTTTATCTAGTCCAACTTCTCTCAATGAAAGATTACAGGTATTATTGCTGTTTTTTACACCTTTCAATGTTTATATTCGATCTTTACATTATATACTTTAACGGACCATAAGGCGCACTGTCAATGAATTGCTTAGTTTAGGGTTTTGTTCGTACATGAGGCACGCCTTTAAGACGCAACTGGCACTGGTACTGATTTGGAACGTAGGCAATGAAGCATAAAGCACTACCTGGTCCATACATAAGTCGCAACGGCTTGTAAAACATACGATAGATCTTGAAGAAAAAAAGGATTTAAAGTGGTTCGTAAAAGAGAGTAATATCATTTAAAATAGAATTGGAGGAAAATTTACACTTTTACCAACTCTTGACTTAATTCTGTTGACAAAATTGCAAGCCGTTAATTGTCTGTTGAAAACACTTAATGCTTTGTGGCGGAAATTATCATCGTTAGAAGCAGGGTGGTGTCAGGGTCAGAATTTTTCATAGCTTGAAACCTTGGCTTTTAGACCCCCAAGACTCTTAAAAAGCCACGTTTTCCGGTCAGACCACTAGCTGATACGTCCTAACTTGGCAATTAGAAATTTCCGAACCAGAAGCCCCGACCCTCTTTGAAAATTCCTGATTACGTCACTGATTGGAAGTCTAGAATTCTGACTTCAACTCCGAAGAATTCAAACTCAGACTGTTTTATTTCCTAATCATCTTCATATAATATTAATTAAGCTGGTGATGACTAATATTAACTTTATTGCTTGACTGTTGATTATTATGTTCTTCCGATAAATTATTGTTTGAGATCATGAATATTATTTTTAACAACTGAATGATTAATCGATTCTGATTTCATGATTACATTCTTTCTAAAGCGATGTTTATATTTCACTAGTTTGGAATTTTCTGGACAGTTTTAAAATTCATACACAATTTCAATAACGTAATAAGCCAACATTGATTGTTATTGAATTTGCATTTTGATGTCAAGTATTTCCAGTTTATTGTTTTAAAATATCTAATTATTTTTAAGTCATTAGCTGCTACAAGAACAGATCACGGAAAGGGTGAAGGCCTAGCAAGACCAGAGTTTCAAGGTTTATGGACAAAGAAACACAAGAACTATAAGGTAGCTACTAGTCAAATAGTAAGTTACTAGTAACCAGCCAATCACATTTACAATGAAATTTTTTTATTATAAAAATTGCATTTGAACTATTGTCATTTCTTCAAAATGAACAGGTGGGATCATATGGCAGACACTTGCCTCTAATTTAGTTACTGATTCAGGTTATAGATATAATAATCTTAGTGCAGATGTATAAATTGGCAACGTTAACTGTCTTTAGCTCACGAAGATAACAGAATTCTCTCTCATATAGTGACCAATAACATGCTTAAAGCCAGACAGGAGGCAAATGATTGGTGTATTTTTATGCTCAGTGCAATAAGCGAAAAGACAAGCAACACACTCATTCGGATCGAGAAACTTTGACAGTTTGTTTGCACTATAGAATGACTTTTTATACTCATTCTTGGCTGCACAACAATCACACCCTGTTTTTTGGGAATATGAAGTGCATTTATAGATCATTTTGCTAAATTATTGTTGTACCTAAATGGGTTTGTTAATAAAAATTTCAAAGGTTCCGAACGATGATGCCGTTGTTCCTAAACCAGTTGGTGGAAGTAAAATGGAGAAAGCTATCCTTAAGAAAACATTGGATAAACATCGTGCCGGCATCACTGTAAAACAAGTAGCTGCAGGAAGAGAATTTGTTGGTCAACCATTTTATAGCAAACCTGATGTTATTCATTTTAAGGTTTGAAGGTTTTTACTTGATGATGAATTGAAATTTGGATATGCAAGCCCATTAATTTGGAAATATTGGATGTAATTTAACAAGGAAATTTCGAATGCATTTGTTTTAAATGGGGTTGGAATCTGGTTTGAAATCACAAAAGCTCCTGCTCCATATCTCGAGCCACAGTATATTTAAACTGCTGCTTCAGCTCTGAAACTAGAGATTCATTTATTACCTCAGAGCTGGGGTCCAAATTTTGGCTCCAGCCATTGAGGTTTTTGGTATGACCACTACTATCAGTCCAAATGCACTTTTGCTAAAGCATGACCCAACTATTAATTATGAAAGAGAGGTTCAATATTTCAAATTCAACTTTAAACTTTAAAAGTATACAAGTTCAACTTGAAACATTTAAATCATTATCAGAAATTGAATTCAAATAAAAAGCATGAAAAGTGTAAAAGAAAAAGATGATGAAAATAATTTTATTTGTATGAAGTATGAAAAAATAATTAGATGGTTATGAGCTGGAGCCACTAAAATGTATGGTAGTTTCGGCTTCTTGTTTGTGAACTCAACTCTTTATAGCCTTATTTATGCATGCACATTTAGTAACTCTATTAACTTTATTATCGCAGGATTTTGATGTTGGTAAGACATATCAAAAAAGAATTGTGATCACCAATGTATCTTACACAATGAATTTCTGCAAATTCAGTGGAATTTCTGAACATCTGAAGGACTTCATTAATGTGGAGTATGTTTTTTGTTATGTTTTATCTAATACCGCATCATGTCCAATTTCAATTTACCTCTGCATTCAAATACGTTTTAAATGATTTGATTAAAGGTGAATTCATCACAAACATTGATAAATTCTACTCCTATATCAGGAAAATTCTATTTGTATTTTAGATTCAAACCTCCAGGACAAATGTCAGCAGGAATGTCATGTGATATGAATGTGACTTTCACACCAATGGTAAGACTTTAAACTTTTAATATTAAACTTCAACTTGGATTTCATCTTAACTGAAAGTTGTGATGACCTTAAGACTTATTATATAAACAAGGCTGTACTCTAGGATTTTATTAGCTCAAACATCGACTAAGTGTTTTGACATCGCACTACTCAAATGATGGATTGAAATGATTTTATTTGCTTCTTCTTCACGCTGTTGGCCCTGTGGCTCTGCACAAACAGCTACTAATATCTAATGATGTGTAAGGAGCTACTATTTGTTACCATGAGAAACCATGAGAACGAGTTTGCAACCTAAATTTGTGCCTAAATGCCTAAAAATTTGTCTGAGTGAAGAAGTTGTTACGTCACCTTTGACCCTTTCAATATCAGCCAATGTTGTGGCAATGTAACAAGAAAGTCGAAGTTCGGAAAAACATCCATGGTTAGTTTAGTCCTAAAAATACTTACAGGTTTTCAATTTCATTTTCGACTTTTTATTTTTATTCAGATAAATGAAGATTTGGAAGGTGAAGTACAGTTTTTAGCTCAGACTGGTCCATTTTCAATTCCACTGAAATGTTCGACGAAGAAATGTGATGTAGGTTACAACCATAAAAAATTAAAGCAAAAAATAATAAATTTTACTGCTAAATTAATGGTATTAGCAGGATGTCATTCATTGTCTTTATATTACAATGTTGTACAACTATATTAGACTTTATTTCCATTATTCCCATGATTATTTCTATATGTTTTTCTTATGCAGCTCTGCCTCGATGTTGACTTTATTGATTTTGGTTCACAAGTAGTTGGAGAAACAATATGTAGATCTGTCAATTTGATAAATAAAGGAGCCCTTGGAACCAGATTTGAATTTTTTAAAGTGCCAGATAAACCTGCAACGACATATACAACTGAAACTTCATTGGGACGTCTGGTAAGTTTCCAAATCTCATTCATGTAGGATTCTTGACTCCTGTCACAATGAAAAAGGAAATAATAATCGAAACAATGTTTATCTCAAACATTCTGCATCACCAAGTTTCGTTTAAATTTCTCAGATGAAACTGACCCATTTTGGAATACATCAGAAATTATTTTTCAGAATGTATTCAGAATAGTAAATTATTTGGCTTTGGTCATGTCTGCTTAGCAGCTGATAGGATCCATGCTGACCATATCTCTATTCAGGATAGGATAGGTAATTGGGTAATTGTTCTACACGGTATTTGTATGTGTAAACTCGCAAACAGTAATCATAGGTGTAATTGCAAGCCTGCTCCAGAAACTGATTCGACACACACTGACCATTAAGCAGCATTTTGGCAATTCTCCTAGATATTCATTTTTTTTATTTCTATTCATTGATAATATGTTGCATCCAATTGAATATAGACAACAGCGGAGACGGCAGCAATGACTCCAGTTGATGAATCAGAATTTGCAAAGACAGCAACAACTATGCCGCAGGATCCGCAATCAAAACAACGAAGGCAAACTACAAAGGAGGGAACAGTTGGTATGTCAACCGCTCCTACTGCAGGTATTTGAATGTTTATTTGAAAAGTCTACAACACTGTGTAGGAAAATTGTTTATTTATTCATGATTTTTTGAAAAAACATAAAAAAGCTGAAGGTTGTTCTTATGGGTACAGAATGTGCATTAAAGTTTTTATTGAGCTTGCTGGGAATATAAAGATCAGATATGTCTGAATTCAAAAGATTTTGGTTTTTTAAATGTCTTTTCTCAAATTTTATTCTCAAGTATTCTTTATTACTCCATTCTACTCACAAATTTTAAGATTTTTGGAGAATTGACTCTAGTAATGATTAGGCTGCAAGCCTACAACAATGGGAAATATTTTATAAATGGTGTTAAAAACATTTTCTGAATACTGTTGCTCATAATTTTTTACACAAAAATTTTTCGATTTTGTAGGGCATGCCTATTTTTTATTAAAGATACATAATGTAATTTCAGTGAAGTTTGAACATTTGTGTTTTGAAGCAAAAGTCACATTTTATTAATGAGATATAGCTATGTGATCAACATACTTCTTCATAAACCTTTCTTATTTTTTGATATTCTCAGCACAAACTGCCGATTCATTTCCTGCACCTTTTACTGGAGAAAATGAAAGAATCCAAAATGTTGACATTATTGAAGAGACTTCATTTGCAGACAGAGGTAATGTTTAATTTGCGGTAAAGGAATACACTACAAAAACTTGTTTTCTAATCTCCATGACTCATGACCCCCTTTCGAAAGCTGTCAAAACTAGTGGCCCTCCTGCTTCTATATTAAATATTAAGCAGCTAAATTTTCTCTTACACTGTGATGGGCTTATAGATTTGAACTCAGGGTCTGGCTTCTGATGCCAACATACAAACCACTGTGCCATAATATCCACAAAGTTATTTTTATAATCCAGATATGTTGAGAAGTGAAGGTGATGAAATCAAATTTGCATCAACTGTTACTGATTATTCTATGTTACCAGAAGAAATTAAAGTTGGCCAGGTAAAGTAATTTCATTAATTTTGTACAGTAGTATTGGAGAAACATTTTGTTTGTTATGATAAATTCCAACTTATGTCCGACTGCCAAACCTGACTTCACCTTATTTATAGGTCTTTTGCTTCTAACGAGGCACTAAACAAGCAGCCATACTTACGTAAGGAGCTACTATAGTTTGGAAGGATTTGAAAACTATTTGGTTTGGCATTACCTACTCAATTTATAACGCCCTAGGTGAAGAGCTGAAAATAGGATTTGAACTCGATTTTAACCTGCATTGATATCGTAATTAAGTCTAATGCTTTTTAACTGCTAGGCCATACCAAACTCATTATGCTTCAAACTTGTTGATCACCAATCTTTCACACTTCGCCATGACACCCAGCGACATTTAATCCATTGAGCCTATATGCATTACCATTTTTCCTCTTTCAGACAATGAGTGGAGAAATAGCAGCATTTTCCAGTGTCAGACTTGATGTTATTTTTGCTCCTACCATTCCTGGAATTATTAAAGCAAATTTCAGAATTGCTTTCTCTGACAAAGATTCTGAACCTGTGAGTTAATTTTTATGTTATAGTACCATTTTGAATAAAAAAAAGCTTTATTCTCATCAAGTTCCATCCACTTGCGATTACTTGCTAATTTAAAATAAGTAAAATGTGATTTTTTTTTGTCCATACTGCATATCGCGGTAAAAGTAAGTCACACATAGTAAATATTTGTTCTGAACGAGGCATTGTTATTGACTGGTCCACATACTGCATATAACGGTAAATTTTCATCTAGTTCCATCGACTTTCGATTACTCTGTTAATTTAAAATAAATTAAATGTGATTTTTTTTTGGTTCTTTGTCCATACTGCATATCACGGTAAATTTTCATCAAGTTTCATTTAAAAAAAGGTTTGCGTGCACCGATATGGACTCAAAGTAACTTTCGAAAAGAAAAATTTGTTGGTAATTTTTGTTAATTGAAATAGTTCAAATGTATTATTCCTTTCAGATAATGGTGAGAACAACTGCAAAAGCTACAGATGTTCCAGTTTGGATTGAAAAACAGGTAGGTAACAAAAATCATCAGAATCAACAAGCTAATCAATTGCTTGTCTTAGCTGTATATACAGTGAAAATTTGGGGCTCGCACAAACCTTACCAATTATGCTGAATCAAATTTTGTTTATGGGAGTTACCGGTTATCAGCTGTGTCTATTAATGTGGCTACACTGGCTAGTGTATCTTTCAAAAAAACCTCAAACGGGAACCACTACTGTTAACATGAATTCAACTTTCAAATCTTCCTGGAACCATATGATGAAATGTTTTTTTCTATCCTAACTGAAAACACAATTGTAAAAGATTGGTTACCCATGCTGGGATAGAAAAATTCTGATACACTCACAAGTATTATCTTCTTATATCTGTCTCCCGCTCTGGGTGTAACTAGTGGTGCCTTGATAAGCGTCTCTCAAAAAAATATTAACAGAATACTTAAAGCTAATTATAGTTCAAGTACTGACTGTATCCAACATAAACCTTTATCGAATAGTAAGTTTAAATTTCTTCAAAGCTCTGCCAACTACTCCATATATTATTACTTACACATTTCCATTATTTTATAGACTGTTGATCTTCAGATATGCATGTATGATAGACTCTATCAAGACCAGCTTATTGTCAGAAACAGGTATGCTCATTCATGTATCATCACTAATATATAGTTTCACCCAGGGCTGTTCACCGGAGTCGAAACCAGAGTCGAAATATCAAATTTCCCAGAGTCATGAGGCGAAGTGGAAATTCTGAAGTTCAGGGGTTGGATTCGCAATTGCAGTCTTTGAATGATGATAAATTAAGTCAAAACTTCATACTAAAACTAAGAAAGTAATAATTTTACTAAGATATTTCAACAATGTATTTAAACAAGGCTCGCATATGCCAAGGTTTTGTCATCAAAATTTGAGGATATGGTTGCACAAAGCTGGAATCGGAGTCAAAATTTCTTGTAATTTGCAGTCGGGCCAACATTTTTCCTACTCGGTGATAGGAGTCAGCATCAGTTGTAAATTTTTCCCCAACCACAGATTCGGTTTAATCCCACTTACATGTCTTGCATCCTTTTAATCCATTTTACTTTTCAAACTTCGCTCAAATCAGTCGATGCATCATTTGATTAGTACTTTCCACATAATTTGAAATTGCCAGTAAACTCGATCCAAAATTCATGAACATAGGATTTTGTATAGTCACAAGCTCAATTCTATTACTAAAATACATTGATGAATTGTTAAATTACCTCTTTTCACAAGAGCTACAACTGCACTTCGATTGAATTTTGAAGTTCCGAAAGAATTGAGAAATCATGTTGAACTCTTGCCTAAGACTGGATATGTACAAGCACAATCTACATTCACTGCTCAGCTCAAATTTTTACCAAGGTGTGTTTGAAAATATATAAATAATAATGTAAATTTGACCGTTCAGTTCATTGTAATGTAGATATATTCAACAAAAGATACACAACTGCATCTCAAGCAACTATAGTATGGAAGTTTTATATTTATCCTGGGGGAGCAAAAACATGATAAGACAGATTAATCATACGACGAACTACAGCCTATCATCCATGTATGGTATGGTAATAGTCAGAAGCAGGGACTTGATGGTGGAGGAAGCTGTAACCAATCTAATCAAACTACACCGGAGAGGAGTCTAGCAGTCGTCAGACACACAATTATCCAACAAGCAGTTCGAGCCTTCAAACCTTCGCAGGGTAATCAGGGCACGGATTTGATGGTGGAGGAAACTAACCTAATCAACCTACTTCGGAGAGGAGTCCAGCAGTTGTCAGACACATAATTATCCACCAATGGATTCGAGCCTACAAACTTCATAGTGTAAGCAGGGGTGCGCTGGCAAGCGTAATTCTTACGCTTAGCACGATGCGCTAATCTCTGAAATATTTAGGATAGACTAGATATCCAACCTCACCAAAATGTTTAAAATTGGATGGGGCAAACAGAAAATATTTGGTTTTCTTTTACTAAACTGAATTTTTAAATTGAAAAACCATCATGATTTATATTTTATTTTTATAACAATTCAATCTATTATTTAAGAAAAAACTTAGCTGAAGAGGCGGCTGGCTTATTCGATCCTGAAACTGGGATATTAGAAGCACCGATGGTCATACATGTTGCTGATCAAACTCGGCCAGTACCTTTTGTTGTTACTGCCATCGTTACATCATCGGATTTAGAATTTGAACAAGATGAAATAAATTTTGGTGATTGTGGGATTTATGAATCCGTTACTTCTACAATACGGTTAACGAATCATTCTATTTTGCCACAAAAGTTTGGATTTGTGGATGTTCCAGATGTAAGTTTAGTTTTACTGTTTATGAAGAAGTTGGAAATTTAATTTACACATTTATCAAACAGATGTCTGTTTATATATAGACACTTCTCCAATTTATTTCTTGTTTTTGAGAGAGCAGAGCCAGAAGCAAAAACAGTAACAAAAAGTACTTTGTAATACTTGGCTGTCGCTGCTTGATAACCAGCTTTGGTTCCCTGCGGCTTCCCTTCCCCAGTGAAATGTGTTTTCAATATTATTTATTCGTCTTAATTTTGCACGTTAACTTTTTTTACTGGATGGAAAAAATAAACTTGACTATGACTATACAGATTGCTGGTAACAATGCAAGTGTTTCGTGATAGTCAGTTAACACCCAATTTGTATGGTCAAAATGAAAAAAACAAACGTTTGAAAGCTTGATGATACATATATAAGGATTCAATCGGGGTGACTGAATCATTAGTGCTTTCGATCCCTTCCTATAGGGTTGAGACAGTTCTATGGGGGCATTGGCAAAAACTTTCACTAAATACTATTTGCAATGGCTACATTGATTTAAAGAAAATTACCTGTTATTTGTTTAATTTTGATTTATCTTTTTACTTTCGTTTGTTGAAAAGAAAATTTTTTTCATTGAAGAGCATGGCCACAGAGTGTTGAGAGTCTTTGAAAGCTGGCTATGGATCATGAAGTCCATAAACCACTGGGTCCTAAATTGTGGATTGTGCTTTTTTTACTATTTTCGATTTTACAGCGATTATCAGGAACCCAGTTTCAAAAACCAAAACATGACGTTTTATTCCCCACTCATAAATATTGACCTAACTTTGATAACTTATTTTTTGCATCAGTATGCAGAGGTGCAACCAAACGATGGATTTGGAACAATACTACCATTGGAAACAATTGAACTGGATGTTATTATAAGTATCAGTAAAGCAAAAAATTATGATTTTAAGCTTACATGTAAAAACAGTATTGGAAGATCATTTGTTATCCGATGTAAAGCTGTAGGAGTTCATCCACCATTGGAATTAACAACCCAGGTACGACCAAAATTTGGGGCTGTTTGAGATTGGGTATTTTCGATATTTTGAATTCCTAGTTTCAGGAAAAATTTAAAATAGTTTCATTCCAAAAATCACTAGGTTGACCATTTGGCATTTGTGGATCAAGATAAAAAATAAACTTCTTCAAAAAAATTCTGACGCTGTAAAAATACAAAATAAACAATACCACGTTTGTTTCAACTTTCTTGCAATATCAAATTCATTTTCTATAATTTACATTTATTTGTGTTGTTAATATATCTATAAAACTTGGCCTAATTTGTAAAATTTTGTGTTCCACTTTTACTCGCAATTTTGGATGTTATTGTTTTTGAAAAAAATAAATTTAACTATGACTACTATAAATGGTAATTTCTTGCCTTCTCTTGTTTTTATTACTTGAGACACTTACTTGCCCATTTTCAGGTTTTAAATTTTGCTGCTACTGCTCTGGGTGATACATCTTGCGGTTATTTTCATGTTGTGAATTCTCATGTTTCTGCTAATGAGTTTACTCATCCTGTACCTAGAATAGGTGAGTGTCATTTCGTACTGTATGAGCGGGTTTGGTAAAGTTTTCGCGTGGATTTTCATAAAGAGAGTTAATAGATCGTGTATAAACATCACAATAATATGTATTGAATAATTTAAAAGTTTTGATGTTTTGAAGTGCTGATCAAAAAGTCAGTTGAAAATCCAACGATATAAATCATGCCAAAGGAAGTTAAAGTACAGTTGAACAAAGCGACAAAGCAACTGTTTGTCCTATACTTCATGACAGTTAGTTATTAATTTTTTTTCACTTGGAGCAAAATTTGTTCTTCTGGTCATTTTGTAACTTTGAATCACTCTTGGCTCATTCGATTTCACTATCTGTACCATACTATAAAAAAAGAGAAGCACTTTTAATTAAAATCCTTCAACTATTGTTCATATCTGAAAACATTTAGATGTTGGGTATCAACGACTTTCTAATCAAAAACTATTTTAAATCCTTATGTCAAGTTTTATCTGCTCGTATTGTCCTAAGATCCTAAGAAATTTTTTTCTGTAATGAAAAACTGTTCAAAAAGATGTATGTTTTAATCTAACATTGAACTTCAATAATAATTGAATTAATATTCAGGCAAAGGAGAGATTGTACCAGTTGGCCCAACATCTTTTGAATTTGCCATACCCGACCATGCACCTATATCAATCACACCGACCGTGGGAACTGTAATGCCAGGAGAAGTAAATATTTTCTAAATGTCTTGTTTTGAGTTTATAATGAAATAAAGAAAATTAGCAATTTAGCCGAGGCTAATATATAGAGCTCGACCGATATTGCGTGTATGCCGATATATCATATTTAGTTTTGATAGAAAATGGTGGTTCATGAGTAGTATTGATTTGAAGCTTGTAAGTTAGTAATCGAAGAAACATGGTACAGGTAGCTCAAAGCAATATTGTCATCAAAGTAGTTTCAAATTTGTGATCTTCCCAAATTAAATTTTTGATTTCTGGAGTAACAGTTTTATCAATATTGATGGTTGTTTATCATTTTGCTGAGAATTACACAAAAAATCTTAATCCATTATATTTGACTAAATAAGGTATTGAGAGAGTTATTACAAATTTTACATGTAACTGCACAATATCGAAGGAGTTTATCATTATCTCGATTCACTTCAAAATATATCAATTTATAATTTTCCAATACCCTTAACATATGCCCACGGCCACAGTTATATTTAAAAACGCCAGATTAACAATTCATTTTCCTGGAGGCTAGACTGATTTTGAAGTCTTATGATAATGAAGGGAAGTTTACAGAATAACATCTGTTCATGCATTACCTGACGTTAGTTGAATAAAAATCTTACTGTAATGATAATAAATATCAAAATGAAACTACAAACTTACATGGTACATAATAAAAGCCCATTTTGTTGCTCAGAATATGATTTATATTAATATCGGCATATCGGCCGCTAGTTGGCCAAACATCGATATCGGTCGAGCTCTACTACCGTAATATATAACTAATATATTCTTTCTAGTTTTTTCAAATATCTCTTTATTATCACTACCGTATATACTAATAGTTTATATATAAATTGCACTTTGTATATCTTCACCGTTATCCCACATTGTAACTTTGTGCATATCAATGGCTTATACTAAGCCTCTTTGGAGCGAAACTTCAAACACTGCTGTAAAGGATCAGCTACCATAATTTGAGAAGTATTTTCAATTTCTTCGTCCACTGTTATTGGGAACTTTTTTTAATGTTACTTCAGTCAAATGTCAATCAATTACTTAGTTGAAAAACAAAACTGAAAAAACTATTGATTATTCGATTGGATTTGAAATTTGTGTATCTGCTTTCTGTTTAGAGATGTCACATCACTGTTCACTTCAGTCCAACTTTACTTGAAAATGTAATCCGAGAAGAAGCAGTTCATGTGTTTCAAGTACAACGTGAGGAAGAGAAGAAGAAAGAAGCAGAGAGACAAGCTATGGAACAAGCTCTTGCAGCAACAAAAGTTGAAGAAGATAAAAGTGTACGATTTTTTTTACAATTTTCTAAATTATTAGGATGGAGTTTTGCAGACATTGATAGTATAGACAAAGTGTTTAGTTCAATTTCAATTATATGTTCTTGATCAATTAATATTTTTCTATTTTCCACCCATCCAAAAGAATAAAAATACATTGTTCCTAATCACAAAATTGTTGAATTTAGGTTACAAATGTCAGGTTCAAATCCCATGCACACCAAGTCACCCAGGGTGATCAATGCCTAAGTGCCATGATATCGGACTTTCCCAACTATTGTAGCCTCTTACCCAGCATTGGCTGCTTGTGAAGAGCCTTGTTTAGGGAACAAGAGAGCTGTGCTCAAATATATGGACACGTCACAAGGTGTCGCTATTTTTTATTCTGACACATAAAAAACGAATCTCTTGAAGTCGACAGAAATTTTTGAAATAAGTAAAAGTAATAGCTTTCTGGCAAAAAAAATCAATCTTTAACCACTAAAAATTTCAAAGCAATTGATCCAGTATTCGAAGAGAAAAGCGATTTCATCATGACGAAAGAAAAGAATACTAACAATACCAACAACATAATATTGAAACTATCGTTATGTACACTGACGTGTCCAAAAATGCATATAAATACGTTGTACACAAAATCAAATCTTTACACAGGGCAAAGGTAAGAAATCCAAAACACCAGCTCGAAGTAAAACAACAGAATCAGGACATCCGAAATCTGGTAAAAGTGATGGAGGAAGAAAATCAACGTCATCAAATGATGAACAAGTGATTCCAACACCTGATCAGATTGAAAAAGAGTAAGTTGCTTCATCATGAGTCGGTAGTATAAATAAAAATCAAATTGAAACTATCCTCATTGTCAAACATGCATAAATGAGGGAATACACCATATTATATTGCAAATGTTATGTTACTTATGGCCAAGTCGTTCTCAAACTTTTACAAAGGTGGCCCCTTTCCCCTCTGAAAACTTGTGAAAGTATCTGGTTTTGTTTTTGACAGATTTCCATCAGTTATTCTATTTGTCACGTTTTAATATTGAAGAAACGAACAAGCGAAAGTAAAGAATAAATGCATTACAGCCAAACAGTTAAAACAAATCACAATAAATTGAAGTAGTCACCACAAATGTACCAAGCGAAGGCCTGTGCTTGTGGCCCTCAGAGAACTGCTCTGTGGCCCCCGAGAAACCGTGTCCATTTATTAATTTGATGATATTCCAGAACTTTTAAAATAAATTATTCAATTTCAAAGATTTAAATTTTTTATTACCGAGCAAAAATTTACCGTAATTCAAAATTTAAATTGATTTTTTTTTTTTGATAAATGATTTTTGAAATTATATACTCGAAACTTGAACTCTTTTTTTCAGTTCAATTGCATACAAAGCAGCTGCAGCCGCATTAACGCGGTCACATACTGGTTCGTTCGAATCTTTCAAGATTCCTTGCTTCGTAGCAACAGGAAGATGTGATGATATCAAAAATCCTCCTTCTAAAACTTATCAGTAAGTTGGGTGAACTAATGACGAAATATCGCAATGCACTTAACAATTTTTGATATATTTGATATTATTTATTATGCATGATATATTTACCTTCATCCTGAGGTTTGCACATTCGGCCTGAATATTTTATTGTCAAAGATAGAAGATTTTTAGTTTAAACCCCATGTTGCGACTTCAATTCAGTTTGTTATACGGGGCCAAAACAATTAAGAGCTTCTCAAAAATATAGTAACTCACAATATATTAGTGGGTGCTAATTCAGAAGATTTTGAGGTCAAATCTCATCATAGATAAAATAGATCACTGCAGTAGTTTACATACATAAGGTTCACTTCAAATTATTTTTATTTATTATTTCCATTTCAATTTATTATTTTCTTGGATGTGGATGGGTATTATGCTTTATTGCCTACACTTAAAATCAGTATCGTTATTGCTTTGAAAACTTTTGCGTCTTATAGCTTGATGCACCTCATGTATTAATAAAAACCCAATCTATGTGTTTTATTCATAGTGCCTTAGGCCTTACGGTCTGTTAAATATGGTATATATTAGTGGGTGCTTATTCAGAAGATTTTGTGTTCAAAGCCCACTTCAACTGGAAATCAAAATAAAGTGAAAATATAGAAAATAAAACAAAAAATGTCGATCAACCTGCCAATTGAGTTGTCCTCCATTTGTCGAATACTATAACACAAAAACAATACGCTTGTTTTCAGTCCAGCTGATATTCTGTACCTGGATGTACATTGTCCAACAGTGAAACCACCAGTTGTTGTTATATCGAATCACGGACAGAATCTGACTGAATTCGGACAAGTATCAATTGGTCAGAATACAATCAAACCTATTAGTATTCAGAATATATCTGACCATTCTGTGGATGTAAGTATATTGTAATATCATCTATATTGGTTTTCCTTTTGGATTTTTTTTAGTTTCGTGTTCGAATGGAATATAAATTTTTTTTTTTTTCAAATTTTAAACTGAAAGTTGAAAAATGCTGATAGGTGGGTTGCAAGCAACTGCTATTCTCAGAGCTATATAATGTTTATTTATCTTTACGAAGATGTGCAGTAAATAATAGTTGACACTAACTTGAAATATTTCAAATCAACTCGTCAACGAAATCATCTAGGCCATGGTTTTCCAAACTTTTTGTGCCGCTAACCCCTGTTTGTAAAACCTACTTTTTACGGAACCCAATCCTATGCCATTTCAATTTACGTACCTAACCAACGAGGAAGGATAATGTTTCATTTACTACACAACAACACAAACGACATTATTATGATAGATGTAGTTGCTTTTCACCGCACAATTTATCAATTCTCGGCGCAATTTGTGACAAGCAAACTCATAGACTTGCATCTCCTTTGGCGAAATAAAACTCATGAAGTCTGAATCAATACATACTAACGTTAAATACTGGTAGGCTAACGACAATTCAATAAGATCATGATCTATTTGAACCCCGATATTCGGACTTCGGTACTAATTGAACACATGGAACTGATTTAATTGTGTATAACTAGTATAGTCTCACACAATAAAATTCGTTTCATGGCTCTTCCTTGCAGCAGCGCTAACGGGCCCAAATAACCTTGGCAAAGTCGCACAAGTTTTCGACCGGTGATAACTCAATCCCACATTCAATCAATTATTACCGACGATGTAGCTCTGTGACGGAGGTCTACCTCACAGACGCTAGAGGCAAGGATCTTTCTACAGCAACATTTTCACTCCCATTGTTAAGGTTTCGTAACAATTGCGGTTTGCGATTGCATGAACTTATGGCTTTATCTCGTTTACGAATCTTTGTGTAACAGTGGATATACCTTCAAATGAAAAGAGGACACGAGGATATGTTTCAGACTCTTTTAATATCGTTGCTGACCCCCTGTGCAGTCATCACGGACCCCAGTTTGGGGAAAACCTGCTTTGACTTACTTAATCACCACTGCCCCCTAATTGCCACAGCCTTACATCATAGGTTCTCAAAGTGCTCCGTACGGAGCCCCAGGGCTCCGCGAGAGAAACCCAGGGGCTCCGTGAGGTATTCGATTACTCTTCAAAATACTGAAGCTTTGATAAAATCTGACAACAATATAGCCTCGAAATATGGCAAAGAGGCGGAATTAAAAAATGACATTATTTATAAGCAGGAGCGCAGCCAGGATTCTTAGGAGGGAGGTGGTTCAAAATTGGGATTGGAAATTTCCGCGCAACATTCTTCGCGATTAAAAAAATGCGAGCATTTAACGTGTCTCTTCGTTATAATGTAATTGTGCTCATCGTTACTCACGTTTGATTCAAGATTACTATTAGGATTACTAAAATGAAAGAATACTATTCTAAAATAACATAAAATATGTGATAAACTGCCAACTAGAAATAAATTGGAGTCGTATTTTTGCGATCTTGGGATTTGTCAAACTTGATTTGTTCTTTCGCACACTCACAATGTCTGGGCAAAATACGAACAATTGAATATTATTTTATTGCATTAGGCTCCGTCGGTAGTTTCAGAATGAAAAAAAGGTACATAGCGGATCGCGCGCACAATTGATTGCGTGTGGGTCCGTCGGTAGTTTCAGAATAGGAAAAGAGGTACATCGCGCGCACAATTGACTGTGTTTCGATTTCGCAGTTACTACGACGAAAACCTAACATAACACCAAATTTTGTGATTTACAATGTCTATAAAAGCGTTTTCAATCTGAGGTGAGTCTGCTAAAACCAAACGTGTGATCTTCCATTTTAAGTTTCAGTTTTAAATTTTAAAATGCCGTTTTTCAATCAAGGAATTTGAGTTGCGGATTTACCTCCTTATTAATTATTATTTTTAGCATTTCGTCGCCGATGACTATAATATGGTAACATGTTTTTTACATTGAACTCATAATTCCCCACGAGAACAAAAAAGCAATTAACGTCGTTATTGTGTAACATTACGTGTATATGCCGGGGGAAATTTTTGAATTAGGGAGAATAAACACCGGTGTAAAGATGATTGTTTTTAACACGCCATGCTGACAAAAAATATCGGCGATTGTAACAAAATGAAATTGCGCACGTTATTAGCGGCCTTTTAAGTCTTCCAAAAATGTCAAAAGAGAAAAGATTCGACCCCTAATTTATTAATATGTTCGTCAAGTGTCAAATTTACAGCTTTAGTATAAAATTTAGATTTATTTATGGCTTGTGTTAACCCTATCAAAAAAGGTTCAGCATTTAAAATAAGTAAAGTACTTTTAACTTGCTCAGGAATATTAATCTGAAAGTAACAATTTTAACATTTATTTTGGGGCTCCGCGAATAATATTCAACCTTTCAAAGGCTCCGCAACAACAAAAGTTTGAGAACCCCTGCCTTACATAATCGTCAAAACATATTTATTCACTGAATGCCTCAACTTACTTAATCGGCAAAAACATGTTTAATCGCTAAATGCTAACCTTACTTGATCGCCACTACCTCGCTTAATCACTAAATGCCTTACCATACTTAGCCGCCACTGCCTCACTTAATCGCTAAATGCCTTAACTTACATAATCGCCACCGCCTTACTTAATCGCTAAATGCCTTAACTTACATAATCGGCAAAAATATATTCAATCGCTAAATGCTTATCTTACATAATCGCCACTGCTTACATAATCTCCAAAGACATATTTAATTGATAAAATAATGCTAAATGCCTCAACTTACTCAATCGCCAAAAACCTATTCAGTCACTAAATGCGTCAACTTACTTGATCGCTAAAAACATATTTAATTGCTAAATGCCTAGGTACCTTACTTAATCGGCGCTGCCTCGTTTAATCGCCAAATGCCTTACCTTACTTAATCGCCAATAACATATTTAATTGCTAAATACCTCTCCAAAATTTTTGGGTCGCAGACCCATGTTTGTGAATCTTATTTTTGATGGACCCCCATCCTATGTCGAATCATTTTTTGTGCCCATCCGACGAGGAAATAAAACTCATGAAAGTCTGAATCATTACATATCAACGTCGAATACTGGCAGACTAACAGTAATTCGTTAGGAATATGATCTATCTGTATATGTTTCAGATTCTTTTCATATTGTTGCGGACCGCTGTGCGGTCATCACCGACTCCCAAGGGTCCACAGACCCCAGTTCGGTTCGCGAAACCCTGATCTAGGCGATATTTGAGAATCATTAGCGTCTAAGCCAGTGTTCTTCAACCTTTTTTTACCGTGGTATACCTTTTACAGTTTTTCGAGAACTTCGTATACCTTACAAATACCAATGTTTATTTCAAGCTAAAATGAACATTAAATGTTAGGCACATATTGAAAAAAACTAAAACTAGGTAGCGGGGCGAGTCATTATGAATGCTTCTTTTAGTTTTTACTCACATATGCAATTAATTTAACACCCAAATGTGTAAAAAATGTAAAGACAATGTTAATTTAGTTCCAGTGGTTTCTTTGTTCTTGTATAGTTTCGGCAATTCGTTTATAACAGGGTTTTAGTTCCTTTTCAATTGCTCCCCGCATTAGTGAATCAATATCAAGTATTGAGTTTCGCTTTTTCGGCTTGATTTCAACAAGACTGGAAACCCCTTCTTCACACAAATAAGTTGTAGGCATCTGTACCAGAAGAGCAACGGCCTTTTCTGCCAGATTTTTGTGATCGGCAAATTTAAAAAGAGAAACCCAAAACTCCCGAGTAATCCATTTCGCGGAATAAAATATTTTGATTTAAATCCTCCCGGAGTTCCAACAATTCTTCGTCTTCTGTTGGTTCACTAGTAAATGGCTGCGTTATCCACGAGTTTTCTTCCAGGCGTCTGTTATTATCTTAGGGAAAGTACAACGCCAATTTATCACCCAGTACGTTCAAATGACCAACAATTAGGGTAGACATGGTATTTGTCGTTGAAACGTCCTCAAACTCCCACCCAGACGATTTCAAATATTGATTTAAAAGAGGAAAGTCAATAAAGTTTTGTGAAGAGGCATTGTTTTTCCAGAGTTGAATTTTCATCTTCAGAGCATTGATTTCGCTAGTTGATCAAAATATATCACCTCCTTTCCCTTCAGGACTGACAGTCACTTGATTAAAACGATCAAAAATCGACGCCATGTACGCTAATTTTGCAACCCAATATATATTACGAAACTTGGTGGCTTTTTGGTCTCCTTTGAAAGCTTTTTCTTCACACAGTTTCGAGAAAATTCTCGCTTGTTTTGAACTTTTCTTAATCGTATTCACAAAATATACGACTTCCCGTAGAACATCGTGTAATTCATTTTCTTTCCGCAGATCAAGCGATCTGCATTATCTACATAATTTGTGATGTAACAATGTGCTCAAGTCGGTTGATTGCGTGAATGACATTTTATGTTTCATGTGCGTAGCGTTTGCATTGTTGTCTCTAATTGAATATTTTATAATTTATTGTATTAGAGCTTACAATTCCTGATTTAGGCTTTACACCCTTCGTATACCCTTTATCAGTTGTACACCCTTCGTATACCCATTATCAGTTGTATACCCTACGAATGGTCTGGTATACACTTAGGTATACAGTATACCCGGTTGAAGAGCACTGGTCTAAGCAATAGAACCTTTTTTCTCCAACTTCATTATATGACCTGTTTAACCTTAGTCTATACTCTATAGTATTTTATATTATTGCACAGAGGTTTGCAAACTTTTCAAACTCAGAATCATGCACTTTCTGTAATACAAATCATAACTCAATTAAAAAAAAAAAGCTTCGAAATTTTTGCAAAAAAGAGTTTATCATATATAATGCATCTAAATGTCAGATGTCAGCAGTCATACTTCTCCTCAAACCAGTGGTTTCCAACCTTTTTCGTTAAATCCTCTATTTTGGAACTCTTCATTCCTTCCTCTCTATGCAAGACTACTTCATTTATTTCATCTTCAATGGATTCTTAGTTAGTGCTTCGGGCTAGTCGCACTGCCGTTTTTGGACTGTTCAAGTTTTTAAATGTGTGCATAAATAAGTATGAAGTACCAAAAATATTATCAATACTACTTCAAATACAAGCAAAATTTCCCTGCAAGAATAACAAAATCACAATCTAGGTTAAAATTCGTCCCCGGTTGAAAAAGGTGGCCTTAAACCTAAACATAAACTAGAACTGACTTTATCATTTTATGACTAGTTCTAAATGATGGCAGATAGTAAGTACGGTAATTTTCAAGGAAATGGATTGATAATTGCCACATGAAATTGTCAAGTGCATCTTGATGTGCAGTTTGGTTCCCACTGTTCTAACTAACTTTCTTTTTCTGTTCAGTTGACGCTATCCTCACTTGATACAAATGGACCATTCCAAGTATTAAATGCATTGCGAACATTAGAACCTGAGGAAACACATACTTTACTTGTGTCTTTCACTCCTAATGCAGGAAAATTGGTAAGACGATTGATTACTGGTATCTGTTTGGTAAGGTGACCGTACATTTGAACCCATGTACATTTGAACCCATGCGTATATCCACGGGTTCAATCTATATGCGGGTGCTAAAACCCATGGGTTAGGGTTAGTATGGGTTTAACTATCCGTGAAACAAAAAAAATTCCATAGGTGCAATAGCATACAGGTGCAATTGTCATGGGTTCAAATGTGCGTGGGTTCAAATGTAATGGAACCGTTTGGTAACATTGCATCCAAAGGCTAAAAGTTTTGTGTTTAGTAATGATAGTTTTACACCTACTACCTACACATAATTTTCTTTTACTGCTCTCCTCAGTTCTTCCTTAAAGAATATATAAGATAATATTATTTTGCTTCACTCATGCTGCTTTAACAATTAGACCTATGGCAGTTTGTAATTGGTGCTCAGCACTTCCCTATGATCAAAGTTATTGTCAACCACGAAAATTCTGGGAGCTACTGAAATAACTGCAAGCAATAATATATTTGTAATTTGAATTTAACAGGTTAATATGTTTTTAATAATTCAATTTTGAATGTATTTGAATGTCTAAGTCATTTTGTGAGTTATTATTTGCTACAAATCTGATCCTATTTTTTTCAGTCTTATGAAGTATTGAGGATAATCAGTGCAACCTCAGTACTTAGCGTACCACTGACTGGTGAAGGAGTCAGTCCTATAATTAATGTATCTGTTGAAGATGGAATTTTGAATCTAGGTGATGTACTACAGGGTGAATCTCAAACTTCAACTTTTACTGTAAGTATTCTATTTATTTGAGATAGGATTTATGGATAAGACCTTCCTTAAGTATACTAATCCAGATATTGGGTAAAAAAACCTTTTTAATTTTTTGCTCCTCCTTGCCTTGCCGCCTTAGGGGTGATTCACATAACCGTTGGTCTGTGCATCTGAAAACGAAATACCTGGCTATCTATTCCCATACCCGAAATAGACTGGAAGCATGATGAGAGGCACTGGTTCACCATATGATTAAGACGTATTATCGGTTTTATTTTTACTCCAGAGCGAATTCTTTGGTACATCAGGCCACTTCGACATACCTCATCTTGAATTTTTTTCTATTACTGTATATATTGATTGATTTAATCCTTCACGTAACCGCTGGCCTTTAACAAAGGTATCATTGCACAATAACCCTGCACTCTGAGATGCCATTTTACATTTCATTTTTATACATTCAATATGTATCAGTGTCTTTTCAGTATGGGGAAAAAATATACTGATTACATACGAGCATTATTGTATAGCATCCTGCTAGTGGGTTGGTGTTTTTTTTTTCATCAATTCACAAAATTGGAATAATTGTCTTATCAGTAAATTACCAAGCACAAATTATTTATGAATTTCCTTCATAGTGTATTCTTTCAGAAGTAAAACTGTAAGTTAAATAAGTCTTAAATAAAGTCTCGAAATATTCTATTCACTCACTATCATGTGTATTCTATGTATATTTAATATTTTGGTTTTAAGCTTTCCAATTCGTCATCATTGAAAGTGAACTACAGTGTTAAACTAGATAGCTGTTCATTACTTCGACATAATTTATCTCAACAATTTCCTGATTATGTCATCAAAAATTTGGGAAAGAAACAAAGTAATAAGATGTTGGCTGGTAAGTTTTTTAAAATTTCTTTGTTACGTTTTCTTAATTTTGTGTGATTGTTGGTATCTTGATGAATTGATAACAGTTGGTAAAATGTGTAGGAGATGGTGAATGCATGGTTTTATTCTCATTAAATTACTGATGCTAAATGCTGATATTTCTCACTCAACTTTCAATTTCCTATATTTGGTTGGCGAGTCATATCGCCAACTTGTTCATATTGTTGTTGTAACAAAAATTACTTGTCTCCTGATGGGTATTAAATTTTGAAACGCTCTGTTCAAGTTGTTTATGAACGCTTATCTAATTAATCGCTTTAATTGAATATTAAAGTCTCTGAATATTTGAAGTCACCAGTTAAAAAGACCTTGGATTCAAATCTGATGCTCTTCTCCCCACCTAGTGTGTAGTAAATTGGGCAGGTAAAATTAAAATCTTTACCAAAATTATAGATTCTTATATATCAGTGACTGGTTCTTAAAAAGCCTTGTTATAAAAAAAAAACTGAAATTATATTTTCATATTACAGGACCGCAAAATTTTGATGGATCTTGTGTTTTTGATTGTGTGCCTTGTGAAGGATCTATTGCACCAACTGAATCACAAGAAATAACAGTGACATTCAATCCTGATCATGATTCAAGACATTTCTCTGACGGTGCCAGGATTGTTCTATTTAACTTGGTAAGATATGAACAGGATTGTTTGGATTTATATTTCAATGTTACCAAATTTTGTTTGCTTATTTGAGGATTTGGAAAAAAACTACATTGTTTGTTGAGTAAAAATGTACCATTTAATCACAATGTTGTATCATAATAACCTAATCCAAATGATGTTGATTATTGTTTCATATGAGTTTGTAATGCCATCGTGATCATAACCTCAGGAATAGAAATTTCATTTTTATCTTGGGGAGAGGAAAGCTTATTGGAGATGTCTTATTCAAACCACACCTTTCATTCGATTACCAGTCCAAGCCAGGTATGGGGATAGTTAACCAGTTGGTGGTGGAGGAAGCCGTTACTGATCAGTGGTGATAATACCCACCCTACGACGTTGAGGAATCCAGAAATCCACTTGAACATGTTCTATTTGCCAACCGCCAAGCCTATATTTACTTATATTTATTCGGTCAAATAGGCAAACTCCAACAATAAAGCTTTTCAAATTAAGGATTTTTTGAGAAACTGACTAAAGATGCACCAAAATTGAGTTTTTTTTTTGTTTTAAACAAGTTTAGTTTAAATATACTCGGGACTTCATCGTTACATTTTTACATTTAGGAAGAAGCACATCTTCTTCATCTCAAAGGTCGTGCCCATAAACATATGATGTTTGTTGATGGATATGATCCCCAAGATGTCAGCGTTGAGTCACTTACTGTTGAAAAGAAACCACGTGATCCCGAATCGGGTAATTTGCATGCAATGGTTATGTTTTTGTTTTTAAAACTATAGTTCAATATTTTCTGAAAAATGCCTTTCTAAAAGTCGCAAGTGAAGTCCTTCACTAGATACCATTCACATAAATTACATTAATTGAGAGAGAGAGAGTTTATTTCATTTTGTCAAACCAAGAAAACAATTTATGCACACATAAACAAATATCAAAAAAATAGTTTTCGGTATATGACTGGGGGGCAACGATACGACCTTTGGGGGTCATCAGAGTCAGTTGCCACATTTGCCACATCAGTTGCCAATTTAAAATGAATTCAATGCGATTTTTTAAATCTTTGACAGTAATGCATTTATTCTTCTGCTTCCATTTGATAGCTTTTTTATTGTTAAACGTGACACATAAAATAAATGATAAAAATCCTTATTACTCTAGGACTAGGCATTCTAGTGGTTATTCTATAGAAGAGCACAGGATATATACCAACTGACCTAACATATCCTATAAAAAATTCATTATGTGATTCCATAAAGGGACAGTTATTTTCTAATGTGATTGGTAATTATTATTGTTCCAAGTTTAGTAAACATCTCGATGGCAATGCTTTCATTCCTTGCAAATTCACTGTACTATTTTTTACACAGATGCACCAGAACCAGTCGAATCAATTCTCCTAACGTTTCGAAGTAAAATAAATGAAGTTGCTTTTCCGCCTGTTACACGTCAATTAATTATTGGATGTTTAAGAACAAACGCATTTGTTGCGAAAAAGGTGAATCATTTGATTTTTCTTCTTAATTTTATCACGTGTGAAAGTGGACTGCCTGATCTCGTCAGGTCAACGATTTTCCTGAATTAAGTTGACAGTGGAGATGGCCGAATGGTTCTTTTTTGCTCTGCGGTGTGGCGCATCGTGCTAAGAGTCAGGAATACCTTTGCCACCGGACCTCTGATTGCCATGCGTGGCTTCGCAGGTTCGAATTCCGTGGGGAATAAATATGTGCGAGAGGATTGCTGGATTCACGTAGCCGCCAGTCGTTTAAGGCTTTCTCCACCATCGAGTCCATGATTCTGAGAACAAATAACTGGTTAACTAATCTGATACGCGACATGGACTGGTAACCGACGAGAGGCTGTGTGATATGGCCATAGTATTCCCGGAATAAATATGTAATTGTAAAAATTATCCGATCCTAAAAAATTAAACCGCCGACATAGTTTAGCCCGATTCTTTAACAACTATCAAAGTTGCGCCGTTTATATGCTCTGCGCAAGCTCACGGGTTCTTATTATGTGAAGATATTTATGTGTAAGGAGATTTTTGGAATCGTCGTCCATTTGCAATCTTGTTGGAAAGGTGGAGTACTAATAAGTAAGTACTAATTTCGAGATGTCGCGTGATAATTTTTTGATAAAACTTTCATTGTCCACACGCACGAATTACATGCGGAAAAAAAAATTGTACTGTGAGTTGCATTTAGAAGTCTTCATATATGATAAAATCTAAATCGTCGAAACTATCAGCTCATTAAATGACTTTGTAATGCGATATTCTTCAGCGTGACCTGTTATTGGTTGTATCCAAAATAGAAAATTACATCAATTTTCTCAAAAACGACAAAAATAAACCTATTATTATTTTGATATTTTTATACAACTATTTTTGTAGTCATTTTCCATGCATAAAAATGAGGTCACGTTTCTTCCGCGCAGCGGAGGTAGTTTTTGTAATTTAGGGGAGCGTCGTTTTTGGTAATAGGATAACCGTGACTAAATAATATGAATGGTACGAAATAAAGATTTTTATTTTATTCAATTACCGAATTCTTTATTGATGTTGTGTCCAGTGTGAATTCTATAATTTTGCGAGTAATTTCAATGAAAAAAGAAGTTTTCATTTCAATACATGTTTTGTCATTATTTATGAAATATCAGAATTGTGTTGTTTTTGATAATGGCATTTTAGTTTTTGGTTATCTGTATTTTTAAAGATAACCAAAGATTGTTTTTATATCGTCTTAAATGAACTCAAGAGTATCCATCCTACATTCCTGAGTAAATGACCGTCCCAGCCCATATAAATTGTCTTTCTCGAGTCGAGGACTCTAACCCGAAAGGGCGGAAATTGAAAAATCAGTTTGAAAAAATGAAAATAAAAACGTGTATTTTTGATTTTTAAACTTATAGTAAATAATAGCTACATCTTGGAATGAGAATGCTGCACCCACTTCATTTTACCTTACCTCAAGTTTTTACCTCAAGTGTACGTTACTTTGGAGAATCGACGTTGGTTTTGTTGGGCATTTACATACGTAAGGCATTTACGTAAATGATGATCTTATGATTTATTAAGCTGAATTTATTACTTGGAGGTTTTGAATCGCTTATTTCACGTGTCAAAAATAACCTTGTTTACGTTAAATTGAAAAATACCCTGTAATTTCCTTTACTATGAACGTATTGTAACGTCACAACCGCGGCAAAAACCTGTTTCTCATAAAGCCTTGTTAAATTTCATTCTCGAATATCTGAAGCGTTGATAATGGAACGGTACTTCTGTTTGTCCTGCTGTCATTAAAGGTTGAGAAAGTTTAAACCGATAAATAGCAAATTAAAGTTTTTTTTTTGCGAGTGCAGCGGAAAGTTTCGACCCATAAATCCATATGCTTATACAGGCGTAAAATAGAAAATGGTAAAATACCTATGATTTCATAGGTATTATTAAATATGGTACTAAATGAACCTTTCCAAGCACGGGCGTCTATGAACAGTCTTTTTCTGTTCGAATCTGAATGCCATTTAAAAGAAATCGTTTTTAAACTTTTATGGCGAAATTAATTCGTTTATAAATTTAACGAATACCAGGCACTTTATCACAAAAAGGCGGCTTCAAATTTCTAACTTTTTTGGCACTTTTTTGTAGTAAACTTAAATACCGAATCACCAAAATCTACCAAAATAAAATGTAGGAAATTAGTAATAGTAAATCTGCATTCGTGACCGAATCATAAGCAAGGGAATCACGTCTTAGTTTTATATATACAACTCGAAATTAATTTGGAGAAATGTGTCCAATATAATAATAAAACAATTCGGCGATTCACAAATATTCACAATGACGTTGTAATTAAATTCTGTATGATGAAATACCGCTGTCGAAATGCGCAATTTTGAACCGATTCAGACGATGTACATACAGTTATAGGTAAGATTCTGCGGTCAAAATTATAAAGGGTGTTGTTGAAAATTACGTGCCAGTTTCAGCGAACTCACTGGTTATCAAATTTTCGTGAAAAGTGCGAGATCTCGGTGAGATCGTTTCAGTTCTCCTCTTAGTCACACAAAATAATCATTCTCGGGAGACTGACACATCAAATTGATGTGGTTTTCAACGATAAAAGAATTTATGAATTTCCCAAATTCATGAATATGCATGGATATGAGTAATATGGGAAAGTAACATCAGAAAAACGCAGACGCTATCTGTACTCCATGACCTCGGGGTTAACTTTTCTTTGATCAGTTTTATCACGACAACTTTCTACTTTTGAAACTTTTCAAATGTATATATGTTTCTAAATGAACTTTGATCTACAGCTTTATTTTTGATTTTCTGCAATCATTATTTTTCAATACGACGTATTTATACGCTTTTCGTTTCGAAACAAGGTTCTGTACAAACAGCCCCTTCTTTACAAGGAGCTACAAAAGTTTGAAAGTTCCTTGTTTCGAGTTGATTTATACAAAATAAGTTCCAAGTGGTTCAGGTGGGTATCTTATATTGACTGAAAGTTACGAGTACATGATTTTGATATGGTTTTCGGTAAGATTTCGATTCGTCCAATAAAATATTATTATGCAAATGAATGATTGCTTATTCAGAACCTTGTTCTGAGAGAAGAGAGCAAATAAAACTAAATTGCCCAATTTTTAGCAAGAATATTTCACTCGTTGCCTTCGAGACAAGGTTAATAACAGTAACTAACATAATGTATCAGATTTTTCTCCCGTTTGCTACTTCATATAATAAATAGCGAAATTTTAATTTACTTGAATTATTCAGTTGTTTCCCGGGATGTTTCGGGAAGTAGTTCTCGTCTTACCAAAAGGTTCCGCGCAAATAAACATTTTTGGCAATTAGAAATCCAATACTCGCAACAGTCGTTAACGAGTCTACGTTAAATTCAAAATCTTGTTGTTTCCAATTCTTACCAAAAATTCGGTGAATTTTGTTACCAAGTTGACGCATTTCCAATATTACATTCATTATATAGGAAGCAACTTCTTTGAGAAATTCACTAATGTCATACGTTGCATTTGGCCTATTCATGTGATGGTAAATTTCGACCAAATAAAATGCTATTTGGGCGCGCTGGTTTAGCAGTTAAATCGTTTGGCGTAACTATCTCAGATTAAAGTCACATGTCCATCACTTCACCCAAGAGGTAACAATTTGGGTCGGAGTCTTTCTTAAAAATAATTCCGAATCGGAACCTTTGATTCTTATTAATATTAGCTCGGTATATAGCTTTATTCGTCGTGAACATGTATTCTCACAGATAGAGTGTATCCTTCTGTACTTTCTCCTAGTCGTAACGTGAAAGTACGAATGAAAACCGATCATCTGTTTTTGGCTCTATCTTATTTGTCATATCTATTACAGCCAGACCACATATGATTTGGTTGCCGTCATTCCGAGTTGGATTCAGAAGTTATTTTGTGGCATAAATGGCCATATATTTGAATAATATATGAATTATGCTCGGTTTAACTTGGAACTATCGAAATTTTTAAATCAGTCTCCAAATTGTAGAGTTCGTAATTTCCAGTGGGAAATAATAGCCGGTATGATGATCCATCGCTCGCTTAACGAGAATTTAACTACAGATAACAGCGTTGATAACATCTCGCGGTCATATAGACGATTATCTGGAGGGCAGACACCCCGTATCTTGTCCAAAGTTTGAAATTGAGATGTATATTTCATGAACACGGCGTTAAAAATTTAACAGTCTGTTTTTCACTTCATTTCAGCTTCTCGAATTCTGAGTTTGGCGCCAATTTCAGTTTTGGTTTGCCTCTTTCTCTTTATTGAATAGAATTCATTTCTTAAATCTCATTTCTTGGTTTTGTTTATCTTTGCCAAGGATTTAATGATGTTTTTACCCTTTTCGAATATAATCTTCAACGTGCGGCCTAATTGTGGTTGAAGTTTTATATATGCAAGTACGCGCCCATTCTCGAATTGTCATCAAATAGGACGAAGAAACTCCCTCAGTCCACGGCGTTCATCCTAAACTGATGACGCCGTGATGGTGTTTTCCGCTTTGCCCGCCATTTTGATATGTCTATCCATATTTACATTCTGTATTTGAAGCAGTATTATATAAGAATTCAATGCGTCAAACGGCTGAATTTGAAGTTATTTTGAAACCTAGTATATGTGACATACAAGATACCAATCGGATATTATATATAATACTGTTATGAAGTTTGCATTTGTGGTTTCCCATGATTTCTCTGACACCGTTCGGGAAATCATTTTTCCTCGATATCTAAATAAAGGTGCATAAAAACTAGAACCAGAATGTTCGCTTCTTAACTTAGATTTCTATCTTACCACAAGTTTACTATATCCTTCTTAATATCGAAATTCCAGCAACCTAACAATTCTTTTCGTGATTTAGAATGGAGAATGGATCTTCGAAAATTTACAACACGCCCAATCTCTTGGTTTTGTGGTTGATCCTCCGAAAGGTGTCGTTGATGTTGACGGTACGAAGACGGTTGATATTACGTGGAATCCTCCAGAAGGACATAACGTAAGTTCTACCATTGAAAATATTTTTCTTCATTGAATGAAAAAGCTAATAAATAAATGTAAAGCTGATGCATAAATTTAAAACAATATCTTAACGGAAAGGAGTCCATGCAAGGAGATTAAATAGACTGCATGGGCCATGTTTCTAACAAGGCTCTGTAAAAGAAACCATTCATGGAAGAACAGTAATCCGCATTGGTATTGCCTACCCCGGGCATTGACAAACTATGCCACGCGGGCCAAATCCGGGCCGTTGGGTAATTCAATCTGATCCTGTCTGATACCGCACAACCAAACTAAAATCAAATTTTAAAATTTAGGTATAAAAATAACTCAAGGAATTTCTCGTGATTGCGATTAAATTTAGCTTTGACAGGAGTCTTATTGTTATTCACTTTTGCTTTTGTAACATTGGAAATATTGTTCATTAAATGTAAATTTTTACGTCACACTTACATGGCCCGCCAGTCTAGGTGGGCGAAATTTTTGGCCCCTGATCCAAAAACCTTGCCCAACCCTGGCTTCTACACCTAGGCAAAACACCTTATTACACCTTGAATGAACTGGTGAGTGCAGCGTTTGAATCCAAACCCGAGTGGCCATCGCGCTACAAAATACCTGCACATATCTCATAATTGGAATATTACCTTATATAACCTAATAATGAAAGCAATGAAGCGGAGTCTTGTATGTTCTGGCACCCATCATCTCGTCAGGTCGCGAAATAATTTCGAACTGACTGTTAGGCATTTGGAATAGATAATATTAAGGATTCTTCGATATGAATTATCTCCGGGATGCTTTACTGATTACTTTGGTCACAACTACCTGAATATGATGAATAATTGTTTTGTGAATTAAATCTAGAAATCATGCACCCTCGACAATCATTCGAAAATATATTATGAAGTCACTAGTCTCCTAGAACAACAATTACGTGCGTGTCGTCTTCCTAAACGATGTAATTTTTGTGCGTCATGCGTCATTTTTATGGTGTATTAGATTCATTAATAAAATTACAACACATTAATATTAATAATTCATTCCCGATTATGAAAGCACTGTTGGAATCAGCTGAAACTTTTAAAAAACGTTCTAAAAAATAAAAAGCGTAACTTTGAATAAGGGGTGAAATACTCGAAAGAGTGTTTATATTGATTTCATTTGAGTACGCCCTAAAAATTGACATAAGTCGAAATTCCAAATCATTGGTAAGATCTTTCATATCAGAATTATTGTATAATCAGCCATTCTAACAGCACACACTGTTACAGTATCAAATTAGTTTTAATTAGATTTTTCGACATCTAACCCCTAAAAATGCTCAAAGCAAAATTACTGAAACGTCCGGCATATCTCGGAGCTTGTGAACAAAACTAAAGACTATGGTTATCTCCATGTCCAGTTTCTCAGTTGCCGTCTGATAAGCAGGGGGCGATCGAACAACGGGAGTTTAGGAGTTTTGAGGGTCTAAAACGCGTTTCAAGCTACGGAAAATTGCAATGTATGCTACAGACACATGCTTTTTCTTTTACATTTCAAAAATGGTTTTGTTAATCTGAGTGAGTTGATTACACGCTCAGAGCTGTGCCGGACTTTTCAGTTATTTAGTTTTTGGTCTTTTCGGTGAAAGAATTTAACAAGTTGAAGTCATGTTTCAAATCGCGCTTCGGGATCGGGAAAATGGTAAATATATTCGTAATTGTAAAAAAAAAGTGGTTTCCAGAATAACTGCAGAATACGACAATATATGCAAATATACTTTTTGCTTTTCTGTGTGCTATATGAATCTGAAATACTCAATCTATACTACAAAAAGGCTAATAGTGAAGTGAAAATTATTATAAATCCGTTTAACTAATACTTCGTTTATCATAAGTCTTATATTTTATTTCCCTTTGCAGCCAAAAGAACCAGTTGAGTCATCGATAACTTTGACATTGAAGGCAGACGTTCCTTTGACATACAACGTTCTTCTGCGAGCACTTCTTATATTACATTAACAAAACACTGTTTTGCTACGAGTTTTCTATTTTATTCTATTTAAAAACATATTCAATTTTTACAAATATTGAATTGGAATAATTTATTTCATTTGATGTATATGTTGTTTATGCATTTTTCCGAAATTGCCTTTTTATAAAGCAGAATCGTAATTTAAGACAAAATTGGAAAAGCTTTGTATTTTTGTGTTGAATTGTCCTATTTCATATACTTAACTATTCGAAGACTATTATTTAATATAAAAAAAAATGACATACTTTAAACTGTGCTCTATTTCTTCAATTTTCATATATATATTGTAGATAATAAAATATTTATTTTTTGTCATAAATTTATTGAATTTTTTTTTTCAAAAAAGATGATAGGTAGTTTTATGAATATTACAAATCGAAATCTCTATTTACTAGTGGTCTCAGATGGGGGGATAAAAATGTTGTAGGGAAGAACAAATGAATATTGTCCATAAATTAGTATCTTAAGATTTTCACAGTTTTAGGCTCGAATCCGTTGTCTTTTACGAGCTGTGTTGTTATCGTTAAAAATATCCAAATTTGGCTTAATATTGTATTGAATCTGAAGCCCACAAGAAATTTACTAACCGTTTAAACTGAAAAACTACTGAATTAAAGTTTGATTGAATTCAATTGTTGACTGTGGAATTCGGATTGAATCGAGCTCAGCCTGGTATTCTGCCTGTCTCTTCCCGGTTCAACATTTATTTCGCTATTCTGCTGCTCCAAGTCGCTTTCAGGTTAACGCGTTAGACGCTAAATGAAAAGAATGCTGGTTCTGGTTTACGTTCCAAACCATCACTCACAATGATGATTTCACATCACGATTTAATCCCAAAAACTATTCCGTTAATTTTTTTTTATCCCCGCAACATAGAGAAATTCTCACCATAACCTTAATAAACGGGGCACGTGGTAACAACTTTCATTTCAGAAAATGTTTATTCTGAGTTACGCTAAAAAATGAGATGCGATGAAATGTGTCGACTCGTTCGTGCTCATTGGAGGAATACATTTTCTATCGTTTGAAAAACGAGAGCGCATTGATTAGCCATTTTCAATAGTTGTTCAGTTTATCTTTTAAAGTTTGTTAACGACATCCGATGATACATATCACGAAAGACCACTTCTTTATATTTTTACACGAGTTAGTAAAATTTGTGAATTCAATTCTGGGGGATATTAGACTTATTTTAACTGATTGTAAACCAAGAAATCTGAACAATGTGCTGGTTTAAAACTAATACGATATTCACAGCGAGCATGTGATTAACATTTCAAAGTAGGAACTCGTATATACAGAATAATGAATGTATCCGGTACCACGTGGGAATATAAATACTTTTTTTGAATAATCGAGTGGTGTACAAAAGATGATATGACTATTATTTATATATCCCATGGGATTGGTTCTGAATTCTAAATTTTTCGTTTTCTAGAGATTGTAAACAAAGGTTAACCATTGATCTGAAACATATGTTCTATAGTCCCATTCATCTTCAAGAGATTTGGTTTGACCTTTGAGAGGATTCGTAGCAATTCCGCTGATCGATACTATCACGGTCGCAGGCGACGTCGACAAGATCTCAAAAATGTTTATGACGCAACAAGGATAGGAAAGGTTATATATTTCATGATCTATATTTGAATATTTCCATTTAAATACCCTTTATTCTTTGCTAGACATCGCTAAACCTCGTCAATAAACCGTTAAACTCGTGGACTGTCATCTCCGGATTTTTATTGCAATACATCAAATTTTATTGTAAAACATTACTGATCTTTGTGGCATCGGACATACACTGAGGGTTGCGCGTTCGAATAGATTTTCAAGGATCGAAGAACAGCCAGGTATTTCAGCACTTCCTTTTGCGACACCAGTATTAGCCAAATTAGGCTACATTGAAAACGTGTTGCAAATGGCTTAAAGTGATTGTGTCGGAAAGGTTTTGGGACTCCATCACAAACTATGTATGTATTATGTATTCCAATATCCGACATAGATTTTATTGTGTAGTTCGGCATGTATGGTGTGAATTAGATCGAGAAACACAAGAGTTAAAGATTAATTTAATATATACCCTAGATATTTTTGCACACATAAAAATTAAAAAAGTTGGAATAGAATATACGACACTAATAAATACATAAAAAGTAACAAGAACTGAAGAAAAAATGATTTTAAATAATGAAAAACATAAATAATATCAATAAACAGAAACAGTGCATCTTCCTGAAACAGTGATGTTGTTGTTCGTAGCCTTTTAAATAGAATTCACAGTCCAGATTTTTGTCAGATATGTTTTGCCGCAAGTCTCAGCCAATTGAGTTGAGAAGTTCCCAGTTATTAAGCGCAGCCCTTCCATTGGAATCAGCTTCTTCGGCATCCATTAATCCGCTTAGTAAATGCAATGGGAGGTCCAAACTGTTAACACTCCTTGGACTTTTTCTCCTCAGTTTACGAATTACAAACGGAGCTGTTGATGAAACAAATATACATTTCAAAATTCAAATATATATTTAGTTGGGCCGAGTCTAACCTTGTACAATTTCACCACAATTTCCTAACTTATAAACTCACGCAGAGCGCCGTACGAGTAATTTGCTGTTAGAATGAGACTCGGACTAGGATGAGACTGTTGAGATGAGCTCAAATGGTGATAAACCGAAATCGAAGTGTATTTGAAAGCGAGAATGACCTACACCACTCCTACTTTTCTTGTCCGACACAAGAACATAAGCCCCTTTTTCGTTCAGAATGATAAGCAAGGTACGAATTAATGTATACCTGAGAGTCTCCTGCTTCTATAGATTCGTCTCGATGTAGGTGTAGTGGATATTGAACGCCTTTTAATTTTCGATAAATTGCTCGTCAACTGAGATTTATGCACAGAAGTGAAATCAGAAGCCATGTTTCGAATGCCTATTATGTCAACACCAGCTGTAAAAAAACAAATACAAATTAGCATTATGAACTAAACAGTATTTATAGAAAAACGTAAGCATGTAATGTCCAAACTCTATGTTTGACGCGATTCCAAGTAAGAAGTAACTATTATTTATTTTTATTATACTATTATTATTGTTTGACAATTTAAAAATACATGCCTGAAAAAAAATTCACAGTACTTACGAGAAACGATGTTCTCTTTTTGATTTGTATTTGAAACGTCCCGATCGTTCGAATCAATTTTGTTTTCATATGCAGGAAAATTCGATGATTCGGTCGGGATAAGTCTGAATATTTGATTCAGCGGTGTACCGTTGGATTGCACCAACATTGCAAATGATAACAAAACGTAAAACGACATATTCAGGTGTATAGATTTAGTATTCATAGTATATATTTTTATTATCTGTTAATGAAAATTATACGTTGTTATGTCGTACAAATATATTCTAGCAAAACTCCATATATATATATATATGTACTCAAAAATTTTCGACAACCAGTATTCACAATGTAGTCGGGTTTATGACGAAACAAGATCATCATATATAGAAGACGAACATTTAGTTCAGTAATATTACCTATTTTGAAATATAAAAAATCTATTTATTAATTAAATCACGGTAGCGTGTAACTACCCTAACTACTAATGCTCTTTTGTCTGCATTTGTGTTTGGCTGCAAGGATTTTGTAATAAGAATCAAAACACTTGAACTGAGTGCTTGACTTATTCAATACCTTTTAACCACCTAAAAATTAATTTTGGTTTAATTTAGATCACAGAAGATAAGAATTCGTTGCTGTATTTTAATAAAATATTATAAGATAAATAAGACGTTAGAAAAATTATTAGAAATAAGGTAATAAGCGCACTTCTGCGTCAGTCATTGTAACGACACAGTCAACAAACTAATTGAATTCACCACTTGAATTGTGAAAAAAAAAAGAGTATTATTTTAAGGGATGGCATTGAATACAAGAAATTTCTGATCGACTCTGCTTGTAATTTGTTACTTTGATATAAATTTACACCGCATATCGTATGTAATCAACAACAAACGGGTTTTTCATCGTTGCCAAACGTTTTGTATGCCGCCGATTTTACTTTTAGCACTTTTTTATGTAAAGTTTCTCTCGTCCATATAATCCAATATGAAGAGATAAAATATCGAATTATAGATGGTTGCAATAACAAACTCATGAATTATAGCAAGCGAAAGAAGGCGTCCGCCGACCCGCATTCTACAAGCGAGACTGCGAACTGGTCGTCCTGAAGGAAGTATTGCCCTTTTATACATCTGAGCACGAAATATTCTGATGAAAAAATCCGCAAAAAACGTACGTCTAGACTTGCGTAATACGTAATGCCGTAGGAACTTGAAAATACCTCGCATTTCGTAAGTCTACTAACCTAAATCACATTTTCGTATATATTCGTGGATTTGGGGAATAAATATTGTCTTTATTAGTATGATACATATTATGAGTAAGCATAAATGACTTATACGGTACCACGTATAAAAAACAAAGTTCAATTTGCTAATTATATAAATTCACATTTTCCAGTTTCGACGACGTCAGATATTAACGTGAATGGAAAATTTGACCCATATTATATAAACAGGAAAATGGAGTGTAAAAATTATCTTTAAAACCTAAAGTCAGTTTGTTCTCAGCACAATTACCCTTCACATTTTCAGATATACCTCACCTTATTCATAATCGATGAAAGAATGTTTGAGTGCTTTGAATGTGTCATTGATCCTGTCGTTTATGATTTTGTCAAGAGAAAAAGGAAAATAGTCTACTTATGTATTCAGGCAAAACGCTTTTGGCACAGTGTATATTTGGTCCAATGAAATATATCCTATAGGTATTAAAATCAGAGATTTGACTCAAAAATTGGTTTGATTAACCAAGTTAATTGATGACTGTTTACTCGATCCAGGTTTGAGACATTCAACTCAGCTTAGGAACTAGTTTGCCCAAATCATAATTTGGCTCAAATTGATTAGAGTACCCTGCATTAATGACTTGGCTTCTATATATCCAAACGTCGATCAAAAATTTGATTGCATGATTTGATTTAATCTTGTTTTCAAAATAAAATATGCATGGGCTTATTTAATAACCATGCGATGGATAGATTTTGGAAGGTTCGATGTCGTTAAGAGTGGTGAGTTTTGACTATTTTGTTTTCAAAACAATTGGAAATGAATGAACTGGAAGAATATATAACCAATGGCAAAGTTATATAATTGAAGATCAAATTATTTATCATATAATAGTGACAAAGTCTGAACTCGAAAATAGATCACTCAACCCATACTTGCTAGATTGCCCACATATTTGAAGTATAATAAAGTAAATAATAAACCAAATGACAACATTTCAGTTTACAAAATTTGAAAAACTGATAATCGACCGTTACCTCTCTCTTTGAAAACATTTTTTTTTGAGAAGACCAAATTTAAAGAGTTAATCTCACTTCTAAATCAATTCTAAGTGTCTAGCTCCAGCCGATTTACTAAATACTCTGACTTCACTCAAGTCGTAAAATACGCCACGATCCGGAGTAATGAATTATTCGGTTCACCTTTATTGTTGGATTTTAAATAAATCACCTTTAACTCAACATGCAGATGTCAACGATAGCAAACCAATTTGGGCTTTATCATGGAATCAAATATGGCTATATCAAATATTTTCTGTGAAGGTTTCGGCTCCGGGTCCGTCCTGAACTGATAAAGTGAGTAAGAGGGAAGAATCAGTAATATTCAACGCTATGATTTGGTATTTCTTTATTGCAACTCAATTTTGCTCTCTAGATAAAAAATTTCAGGTTCGGATCCAGGTAGTCTTGATAAGTGGTCTTGTCTACAACTCCGAATAAAATTTAAATTTTAGTTGATCTTATGTTTTGCAGGATCGTCTTTTACAGACTAAACAGCATAACTCAAAAAATCTAATCAGACAATCATTACTTCTTGGTCTGCAGAAATGTCACTTTAAATTTATTATTTTTCAAGTTTTTGAAAACGTGTCAGTATGATTCACAAATGATGTATTAATGGCTCATCCGACAGTTAATACAAACAGATACAAAAATATGGCGCAAAGTTAATGAACTCATTGTCCACTCTTTTGTGTCGTCAACTCATGATCGGTTTAAGTATGGTAATTTCAAGGGCATATATTTAGAATCGAACGATAAATCTGATAGATAGTTGTATGTTCATTGTAAATAATGATAAATAGATTGTTTTTTGTCACGAAAAATCACAAACACTTTCCACTTTTGTAAATTTTTTTCTTTTTACCTTTTCCTTTATGACAATTATTTTAGGACTGAACAACGCCACGATTGTAAGAAAGGGAGATATAGAACTTCTGTACTGGTGCAATTTTAAAGTTATATAGTATATGTTGAAAAAAATAACGCGTATTAATACAATAGCAATGATAAAGATTAACAACATATCCATTCCGAAATATTCAACCATAAATCACACCACATTCCAAAATTCTGCATGAGTGAAGTCTTTTAGGAGCATTACTTGTTAAGAGACAATTACAGTAATCAGTTTTTACTGAATACCGTAATGTTATTCTCATTAGTGGATAATTTGTCGCTAATGAAGAAGGACTGCGTAGACAATTTAGACATTTCTGACAAAAATGTGGCATTCTTCCCATGCTACGTACTTCTGAATCTTTTATTTTTGATTAATCACAAACTTCGAAGGTCCATATTATTTCAAGACTGTTTTTTAGTCATGATTGCATTATATATTTATCTCATTATTATTATTCTTTCTTCCTCATTTTGGATTAATTTTTTCACTAGTTCACCACCCAAAGAATAATCCAGACCAGCAATTTTGAGATGAAGGCGTTCTAGCACATCAGAGTCTCTAAAATGAAATCCCGGTCTTGAACACTATGTAATGATATCATCAAACCATTTTGCTATTGATTATCCTTTTTATTTCGTAATTGCTTCACACTGTTGCAATATGATTGTAAAAAATAAGGATAATAATAATAAAAAAAAATTCTCGTCCTTTTGGCCCGAAAATTTCTAATTTTTGATTCGTTTGTTTTGACATTGTCACGTGGGGTATTTTTGATATATTCGTGATTTCTATTGATTACTTTATCCTTTTGTAAAGTCCTACAAACATCACAAACATCAAAAATGAACACGATGTTAGATTTGATTTCTTGATAAAGTTAATGAAGATTCTTTTCTTATTAAATCAACACCTGACGCATCAATTTAGTCTGATACCAAGATCATCGTTACAATATTCATCAGCAAGATCCTTATCGGTGACATAAATTTTTGTAACATTGTATTGAAAATGTGTAAAGTTAAGTGAAAATATATACGCTGCTGTGTGAAAAAATGATGATTATTCGCGTTGCGCCGATTCATTAATAATACTGAGATTATGGAAAGAGATTAAATGGCTGGAAAATGGCTAGTTCCAGTTGGTGTTTTCAAGTATTGCAATTCACCTTGATGACGTCATCAGTATTTCGACGTCATCGAGTAGACGATTCCATACGTGCTGTCAGAAATTATTTCGATATATATACGAAAAACTTATGCGAACTGTTTTTTTGCATTAACAACAGCTATGCGTCAATGAAACTACTATATCATACTTGTCGTTCACGCGATGTTGTGGTCTCTAAATTGCAAACCTCACGTCTCAGAACACCTTATCACTATCTCAAAAAGTTAAAATACCCGTTCCCGACGATCGTATATTTTTTATTTTTAGCAGATGAGAAAGTGATGATTATAAGAAATGTTATGATATTATTCTTTACCGAAAACTTATTACGGAAGATTACTTACCCGCTTATTTCGTCCCTGCAGCGCCATACTCAATAATATGGAGTGATCGAAAATATCTATTCATATTATGCATGTTTACTCGATTGTGGTGTAAAAGAAAGAATCGTTTTTATTAATATTCAAGCTAAATAAATATTTTAGCTTGAAGCGCACAGCTTGATTCCATAATGTGAATGCAAAAATTGTTCAAACCTTGCATAATTTTCCGAGATTGTTCCATACATGATCAATACGTATATATGTGTCACTGTGCAGATGGGTCATCCAAAATATTTTAAAATTATATCATTCATAGAACATGTAGAATATAAATATCATATACTTGTGATCATGCCATCATCCCCTGTCACTTTACCTTTGTGACACGACTACATTTCACTATTAATATTTGATTCTGGTAAATGTCCACATACCATATATTTAATCATAATGGCTATATTAGATGGAGAGACAAAATAATGATTATTTCTCTGACTTATTTATGGTACTGGTTTGAAGTCACGTTGTTATATTTGTTTCTTATTTGATGCATTCATTGTCATGATTCATTTAATAGAAGACAAGTGTCGCTGAATCATTAGTATTCCTTATATGTTTCCGGAGTTTCGAGAACATTAATCATTATTTTAAAGCTATTTCTCCCGAGTAAAAATGCCAAAAAGAAATTAAGAAAACCACTTCTAACATGTATAGAAATTAAACGAATGATCTAGCAAAGATGAAGTCATAGATAAGACAACAAGCTTTTAGATTCGTAGTATATGGGCTAGATTTTTATCTGATTTAGTTGAAAATAAACTGAATATGTATTAAATAGTTCATTCTTATTATTCAAAACTTTGCAGTTCAGAATTGATTATACTTCGCGAGATAGTTATTTCGCCTTAATATGAAAGTATTCTTTGATATAAATTGATTGACTCATACTTAGAACTGTGGAATTTTATTTGTGCGCTTCATACCAGCTAAATCAGTAGCCAATTAAAGAAAACTTCGAGTCCTGCTGAGCATAATATTTCATAGATGCGTTGAATGCAAAGTCACATAGAAGAAGGATAAGTAATTTGCCCACAGAACGCCAATTGAAAATATATATTCAACATTCAATCATAAAATATGTTATCACGATGCATATAAGGAGAAAGTGAAGGTATGGTCCCAAGCATAAATACTTGCTGTTTGTGATTATTAAAAATTTCATTATATACGTTTTTAGCTCTGTAAAATACACGATTTTTAAATTTGGAACACGTGGTACCTGAAGCGAAGATTTTTACATATTTGAGAGGTCACAAAAGCAAAATGAAATTCTAAAAGCTCACGTAACTTCCAATAGTGCAATCAAGTGCGAATAATATACATAGATTATGCTAAAAATTGAACATTTTCACCACAACGTCTCGACAAATCGTTCCGGTACTAGCTATTACCAGGTTTGGTGTAAATAAACAACTTTCGTCGAGTGTGTTTTATTGCACCATCTTGATAAATAACTGGTATTTAATTACTGATTATTATTCAATGATAAAAAAATTCACTATTCAAAAGTTAGACAAGAATCGAAAGTTTGTTATTTCTCCTAACCTAAAGTATATACATATTGTTACCATGTTCCTGTCAGTTACTAAAAACTAGTCCATTATCTTCTAGATACACCTCAACAGCATACATGTGCATACCAAAATTATTTTCTATTTTAATCGTGCAGTAACTATTGAGGTTACCCCGTACGTGATAGGTTCCATATTAAATCGTTTGAACCGAGTATTGTTGCAAAATAAACTTTGTCAAATAGTGCTGGTAACATGAGGTATTATATTTCAGGGCGCTGTGCGAACGTGAATCTCTTCAAACGTGAAATGACAAGTAGGGTGGCTCGAAACACCGACATGATAGCATTCTTTGGGTAAAACAAAAATATTTTGCCTCGTGTATAAAAAAACATAACATATTAGAATCAAATGACAAGATGAACTCATTTTTCAGAGATTAAATTTCAATTTAACTCTTTGATTTTTCAAATAATTAATATGCTCATAAACGCAATTTTTCATTGCATCAAAAGTAAATAAAAAATCGAGAAAATTGCTGAAAAGAAAAATTATTCCCGAGAAAAAAAATCAAAACTCTCAACCGATTTAGTTCTTATGGACAGTTTTCTTTCTTCTTGTACTTTTATCCTCGGCGGGATGGATCTAGAAAAGACGAAATATGACTCAATATTTTTAATAATGTATATGCTAAATCATTCTGTGATATATTCAATAATCTATAAATAAATCTGAATATATATATATATATAATTGATATAATATCATAATTTTAATACGAGGGTTTTTTACCTAAAATCGAAACAGTTCGACTTTCAAATCTTGCGTGCGGTCGCGGAAATTATTTTAATTTTTAGTTTTGTGGAAATCAATTTTTAATTTCGATGATGCCACCACACAAAACGCCAAATAGAGAAACGAATTCCACACAGTTTACAGGAAGTTTTGAAATAAAAAAAAGTAATGGCCTTCTATCGTCAACAACAATCGTTAAGTACTGGAAATTTTAAAGCAATTGATCCAATGGTTAATAAGAAAAGCATTTTAAGGTAGAATTCATTAAAGTTTATAACGATAAATGGTGCAGAGGATGGTTGCGTCAACGAAGACAAGCGAAAAACTCATATCCACACAATTAGCGGTATAGTCCTTCACTGCTAATAATAATAAGCGAAAGTTTAGATTTATCTTCAAAACTGTCTTTGAATCAACGCAAATGGCTCTATCCATAAGTTACAAAATAGGTGACTCAGCATGATTGTTTCAAAGAAAATAAATCATTTTGGATGACAACATCATCATTTTCGAATATTGCATCAGGAAGATCGTTGGTGATGAGAAAATTTTCTCCCCTGCAAAACTAATCGGCTAATAGTTTTCAAATTTTCATTACTTGAAGTTGGTTAAAGCCGCTAATGGGATATCACGTTTATTTTTTCGTATTTATTATTTCTACGAATATTGCGCCAACATATGCCATTGCGGTAGAACAGTGCGGCAACTTGCGGTACTCACTGCTCAGCTGCGGTCTTACCGGTACCAATGCGAATCGATACGGCGGTGGAACTTTACTGTAGCTGTCGCCTGAAAGCTATTTTTTATTCATTTCAAAAAATTCGTGGGCTCTGTGATGGTATTCATTTTCCACATTGAAGTTTGATGTTGTGACGTTTTCAAATTTGAAAATTCCTCACCGCGCGGCGGTTCGACGATCCCGTTTCCGCGATTTTGATAATGAAGACTACCGTAGAAGTCTACTGCAGTACTACTACAGTATACTGTAAAAGTTTTAGTACTACTTTGTTTTGGCTTTCATGTTCACATATTTGAGTATTGCTTTCTTGTTATATCGTGATGAATTGAATAATACGCCTTTCATGTTACCTGAACTAAGTCTTCTTCCGGTCCGTTTTGGAAACTGACTGCATTTGCCCTTTCAGTCGCCTTCTTTGCTCTTCTTCTTGTTTAATCGCTGGATTGGCCATCTTTTCCTCGCGTAGTTGGATTCGTCTTTCCTGTAATGCATAATGCAGTAAGATGTTAATCAATTCAAGATAAAGTTTCCGAATACGCCAAAAGAATAAAGCGATAGAAACCACATCTGAGAAATTGCAGTCAAAACAGAAGATCTTCAAGCACTGATACGATCAACCTATTTTGCTCTTTCTATCAAACGTCACCTCATAATGTGATATTAGAACAAGATTAACAAGAGTTCTTACAATAATATGACCTACTCCGACCAAATCTTGAGTTAAAAGTGCAAGTTTGGTGGGAGGGAATGATGTCCATGCATCATTTAAATCCTTTGAATGTTTTCTCGTACTTGAACTTGTAACCCATAACGTAAGTCTAAATCAGATATATGACTGACTTAATAATTGGACTAATTATTTAAATTTGAATCCCGCGCAGCACAAAATGAAATATATACTGTATTTTTTACTTTAATTTAGGAGAATCTACTGCGATTCTTTGCACAAGACTGTATTTCAGTGTGATATAGTGATTTAGGTGCACGCAATAATTTCATGATATTGTCGGCCTGCATTGCACTTGATGAAGTGGTATGTTTGGGTTTACCACTAAACTGTGAAGGTCTCATACCCAATTGAAAGATATCCGTGTCATCATAGAATATCCAGTACCGCAAGTACGGAATCATCGAAAGTACTTGCCAATAAAACGAATGAATAACAACACACAATGTAAGTATGACAGTTTTCAAACACTAGTTCTCGTCCATGTTAACAAATGGAATTCATCGTAACGTGCAAAGAAATATTTAAAGGCAATATTTACCTTGTCAATTGTTTTTTGTACTTCTTGTACTTTATCTGGATGGATAGAATCAACTTCTTCTAATAACTCGTCCATTTGATATTCAAGACAAGTTAACATCACCAATGCATCAACGGTTACTATCGATTGACTAAATACTGACTTGTAGACCTTGAGGTGATATAAGGAGGAGACACTTTTTGATATATGGAAACGATTGAAAATTCAACCACAAAACGTAGTCAAAAAATATTTATTAGAAGACATGTATTGAACTCCAAAACTGTAAAAACATCAGTAAACGAAATAAAGTTAACATCGCAATCTGATTTTCCCTATACAACACGTGCATAAAATCACGTTTCGATCAACCAATGGGACCACAAAAGGGACCCATTCCACGACTCTGTTACTTTGAAGTTTTGACATGGGTTTCTTCCCTCTTTTGTGCCAAATAGTCTGCAAACTCGAATCGTATTATCGACTTAGTAATTGTTCGATCATATTATCTGACTTTTTACTAGGAGGCATTGCATTCAATACATCACGATCTTGTGAATTTATGGCGAAGAAGAAAAAATCGTAAATGATTTCAATGTGAATTCAAATCTGTTGCTATTTTTGTGGTATTTCCAATTTTACCTTTGCAACGTTCACTGTCAATTCTGCCAAAGCCTGTTTTGAATCTCGCTCTCTGCTGCCCCCACTCAGAATAGTGCACATAACGCTTAATTCATTTGCTTTATTTTCACAATTTGATATATTGTCCCTTATATCACGAACATGTCCAGATAACACTTTTGTTTCGGCAATAAGACGCTTTTTAACTGATTGTGCGGAATTCTGAATAAAATAAAATATAAATATGAATTTAAAAAGAATAACAATTCTTTCATTTCAACCTGAAACATCTCTTCGATATAAAGGAACAAATAATTTTTTATTATATTCAAACTCAATGTGCAAAATATATCATGTTTGTACTTCAGGTTGGAAAAAACCTAAACATAAATTTTAGTGCCTACAATTCAAATCTTGAATGAGGAAGTAAGAAATTTTACCAGTGAAAAATGGTGAAAATGCTTACTGCTCATAGAGTTAATAATTGGAAACAATTTTGCCTAAAACAAAGTATCAGTACAGCCTGCGCCGACCATTAGTAAAATCTGTTGAGCGGTTAAAGGTTATACGCAGTGACAAGATTCAAAATCTCCAGAATGGCTTTTCTTTTGTATCGAACTAACTAACAACGGGTTCCCTCATTTAAAAAAAAACATTTGCTGCGGTCGTCTGACGTTTAATACACAAAACAAGAACGGGTTCGATAATATCACGACATTCCAAGAACAGGTTCCCGCAAACCCCTTGCATCTCACCACTGGTTAGGAATATTTATGATGACAAGTATAGATTGCAAAGACTCCGGTGCACGACATTTATAAATTTATATTTCATTATTAGTACCATCCGCCAAAACTAAGGGACATCTTTATTAGGTCTTAATGTACTACCTGTTTCTGTACCACTTAGTGACATCTTACCTTCATATCTTCCAACTCTTCCTCAGTTTGCTGATATTTGTAAATTAATTTCAAATTTTTTTCTTCCAAATCATGAATAATGTCAAGAAGTTGCTCGGGGTTTTCAAAGGGCAAAACAGCAGGAACATCATCAACTGTAGAAATGACATTAGTGGTAAAGAATTACTGGTTAAGAATGTGATGAATCGTGATACTGGAATTAATACGAAATATATCAAATAAAGACCAATTCGGATCAAATAAAATGTAAATAAATCATTCGAGTTACTGAAATCAAACGCAAAACAAAAACTAACTGATTAAAGCATCTGCCTTATGTTGTTTCGTGTTAAATAATACCAGAGAGGCGGGGAGCTGAATTTGGCTCTTCGGCATTTGTATTTGCTCGTCTATTTCCTTTTCCCTGTTGTCTTGCTAATGAAACATCATGATCCCATTCTTCTGGAAACATGATCTTTGAAAATGCTTGTTTGCTATCTACTCTAGAAATTGCACGTTCTTCTGTCGGAGCTTTTCTGGATGCTCGCCTACGAGAAACAAAAGAAGTATGGATGATATAAACGTTCTTGGGTATTTATCTGAATTTTCTTCGAGAAGGGCTGGTTTTTGACTTTATATGTATTGAAATATTTGCGCAGCTGACAACGCATTAATTTGATAAATCAATTATAATGTCATTTTACGCATTGACTTGTTGGTATCTAATCAATTCACGGTTTTTAGAACGGTGTCTCAAAAATGTTGTGTTCCACCTTGCCACAATTGCTCCACTTGAAGTAACAGCGTGACACGTATGAGGCACTGATATTTTCGAGACACTCTTTTTGAGCAACTCGTGGATGAGGGGCCATAGCAGGATAATTGACCATCTCATCAGGCATGACTTTCTGATGAATTGTCATTGCTTGGAATAGTCTGAAGGAGATATAAAAAGAGTCAATAATCCAAATATACCAATTTACCTGAAAGTATTTCTCCTACTCAAAAATTTGTCTTTTTGTTTACTATCTGTCGTACTTTTCCGAGATGCAGCTCTACTTTGAAGCAACTTGATTCTTTCTGCTTCCCTTCTAGCTGACCATTCATCTGTGCCGATGGGCAATGAATCTTTTCTCAAAGCATTTTCATGGACTCGTGTCAGGAAAATTTTGCAGCTGTAAAATTCTTTTTTCGTTATTCCATTTTTTTTTTCTAAACGTGGCAACGAGTTTTGATATATATATTGTTCACATATATATACTGTACATAATATCAATAATTATTTTACATTAATTTTTTCATTGTAAAGGAAATTAATATGGGGAAAGTAAAATATAAACAATACTTCAAGTATTCGGTTAGTATTTCATCCTTCTTCGATATTTCGCTTTTCAGTGCTGTCATGCGACTCGAACACTTCTTGAATTCAGCTACCTGCAATTCGTTTATTTATTTTTACATGAAAAAATAATCCTCAGGCAGTATGAGAAATATTGGAAGACCTTTGAAAGTAATAGTATCTTTTCAGCTAGAGCATAATTCCATTTTTAACTGCTGAGGGAATGATCTAGTCTTGTTATTTTTTGTGATTTTTTGTCCAGCAATAATATGACAGGCATGTAGAATAAAAAAAGCCGTTTTCAAGTTTTCAAATGTAGCAGTAGAAATAGATGGATGAAGGCGGACGAGAGTAACCATAAACTCACTCGTTCTAATTTTAATCTTGTTTCTCTTTCTGCTATTTTCATTGCTTCAACTGCAGCATCATCAGTAGCTTTTAGGAAGTCATCAAATAATACTGCATCTTCGTGTAATCTATTCATCTGTCGAATAACCTTCGCAAAACATTTTTTGGATTCAATTCAATGGTTTGTCAATTTGTGAGTTCTTTGAGATCGAAATTCATTATCGTTTTAAGTAAAACACTGGTAGTTGACTATTCACATATGCAACTTAATATATTATTCAATATTTTGACAATCGCATACGCAAATGATTTAATTTTTTTAAAATTTTATGGTATTATATTTTATTTATAAACCTTGTTTCATTTATGAATTAGATTGCGATATGGTAAAACCAAAAGAGATGTTTTCGAAGCCGCTCATTTCTTAATAAAGTTCATACTAAAATGCCCTCTTAGTTCAGATCTTCCGACCAAATCAGTCATACGAAGAAATACGATTGGTTCACGAAAAAATGGGTTCAATAAAATGATCCATTTTTAAGAGCACCACAAATGTAATCAACCTCTTTCTCGCCAGCTAGAGCAAGAGCTTTGAATTTTTCGACTTCATGTCGTTTGGTTTGCAACGCAAACTCCATCAGAAAAATATTTCTCTTTTTTTGAATGAAATCGTGTGTGAATTCCCTTTCAACTGGCCGAACTTGTAGCTTTCTTGTCGTTTTCAAGACACTCTCTGAATCTTTTTTCATTCTGGCAGCCTGAAGAGAGAATGACAAAGTTTGAGATGTAAAAGTCCTTCATAATTATACATGTGAAATTTCCCTGCAAAATTAAAAACTAATTACAATGCAAGCAAATTTTGGTTTTGGTGAAAACTTGATAGAAGATATCATGATATTAGCATTTTTATTTTAAATGTAGGTAATACAGCTTGATGTTTTGGACAGATAATGCTTTAATTGTAACTCTTTCATCAAGAATCAATTCTTATATAGTCTTTTAATGCTTGTTCGACAACAGAATCCTTGTCGAAGGTTGGATCTTATACTCCTTCCCCTTTTTCGCTATGATGAAAGCTAGGAAGGACGATATTTCGGATACCTCTTCCATATCTATATTCTTGCACATTTGTCGTATTGCTGGCAGGGTTGAATATGCACTTCTCGTTGAAAATGTGTGTTTGAGGTGGACCTTACATTTTCTTTCTGTTTTTCTGATTTCATTTTGCGTTTCTTTTTCAGCCTGAAAGTAATTTAGAGAGCTTCACTTTGTTTTGCAATTAGTCAGATGAAAATTTATTGCTATTGGTATGGACCTAGGTACACAAAAAACGAGGGGGGGAGTCATCACAAAACTCTCGTTAATCTTGTCCTGCCGAACGAGTCATTGTAGACTGTAGAGTAGCAGAAATCCGTCATTTCATTGCTACTAAAACTTATCCAATTATCCAAATTAATCCAATACTACGAATGGCATAATATCGATCTTTAAACAAAATCATAATACTAACTTTCCATGCATTAATCCAAGAATTTGCAGAAGGAAGAACAAATGGGTTTCTTTGCTTCTTATCTGATAATAACGTATGTGACGCATCTATTGGTGGAAGTTTCACCTAAATAAAAATATCATTGCGGATTCCAAACAAAGTTCTACTATAGTTACATTTGAGTCATGGTTATAAAAAACTTGACTTGACTATCGAATCATTTTAAATTCCGTTACTCGACAGTTTGTTTAAGAAAGACCCGAGGTTACTCAAATTATGAACATCCCCACCACTGCATTGAAACCCTGTCAGGATCGTAAATTACAGTTTAATGATGACGTGCATTTCAGCATTATAACATTATATTTATCGGAAAAATCTGCTTTGAACTCCAAGAAATAAGTAATTTAGTAAATTAGGTACAGTTGGTGTCGAAACCTTTGTGCTTTGAACTTTTGTGTTCAAATTACTATCCCACCGTTTTCAATTGCAAATCTAGCTACCGGTACTCAATAACTTTATAATTGGATGACAAATGGCCTAAAATATTTATTTCCTAAGCTGATACTTTCCGAACGAATATTTAACCGGGAGCATTAGCATTACTACTTTGTATTATTTTATCCATTCCGAAACTTTTTTTCAATACTTCATTCATTATCTACTTAATAGCATGAATAGTAATACTACCACACAATACTGTTAATGAAGGATTTGATCCGACCCCAAAACACAAATAAATTTACAGGTTTTAAAATATAGATAGATACGTGCTTTAATATACTTCTGGGGAAAATAATATGGCGACGTATGATATGAGAATAGTCGCGAAATAGCTATTAATATCTCACGAATTGGAATAAATAACGTTTTATGAATATTATGTTTAATTCTTAAAACTCACGTCACTTTTCTCATCTTTCTTTTTCTCAGTTTTTAAGAATTCGCGAAGTCCATTACGATAAGGTAGAGTGCTAGACAACATTGCCAGTGCTCAGATTTCCTAAATTCCACAAAAATGACCTTTTACTATCATGCAGATTTAATTTTGCCTGGAAAACCCAAATGATTCGTCAATAGTGACGTCACAATGTATCCCGAAATTATGTATTAAATCCAGTTTTTCATTTTCTGTAACGTCTTTATTTGTCGGGCCCAAAAAAAAGAAGAATGATGAAGGAAGAAGGCGCTAAAGTTTATGAAGGTACAAGGGGTGTTCCAGCAGTGACTACGCCAAACAAAAATAAACCGAGAACATCGGCTTCCAGTGGTGTTGTGGAGACTGTGAAATTACGCCCCTCCATGTATCCTTAACAAATTTGACGAATGCATGCCACAAACTACAGGAAATGTGAACGCAAGACTTAGTAGAACTTCTTCGCATTCTATTAGAAGATCAATTTCATCAGGCAGTCATCGAACAACCAGATCTCAGTCTCTAGTTCACGGATCCAAAGTTGCGCTTGGTGGAAGACATAAGATGTCCAGTGGTGATCTTACAAACGCGAGTGATAAAGTTTCGGCTATACATCCTATGACGGTCAGATTTTCTTTAAAACCACTCACAGTAGGAATCTTCCTTTCAGTATTACGATGTAAAATGTGTCACTTGAAATGCAGGTAGCTCCAAAAAAACTGGGGTATGTAACTGAATCTTTCCATATAATACAACTATAGCCTACCTTCGATTACTTACACCTTGAGAGAGAAAATGGACTTGAGTTAAACAGATATCGATTGAACACAGTACACACTTTGGAGTTAAAGTCAATATGCCCAGGGAAAATGACTTGGTGCTGCAAAAACAATCCATTGGCATTTGATTGAATCATTTTTGTTCCGACAAATAAGCATGTTACTCTGGTTTCATGAGATGATCCAATTGATATTTTATCAGATAATGTTAGTAATCTTATATATATATAAATATATTATAACAGACTATTATTGACGAAGATGATAGGCTTTCAGAACGTCGACGAAGTATTCTTGAAAACGAAATATCAAATACAAGTTATGTAAAAATACAGGAATTAGCGTTACTCGCCGTTTGCTTGATTACAGGTAACTAAGTTGCAGCGATATAATGTTACTCTACTGGTGTAGCAAGTGAGACTTATCATGTACCGAAGAACACATTAAATATAAGAGATACCTAAATCGGCTATAAATATTAGAAGTTCAACGTGAGATTCTGGTTAAATCCATAATTTTCCAGGGCCAGTTAGTAAAGGAATTGCAAATATTAAAATAGCTTTATGCATTGAAGTGTCAGTATATTCACATGTTTTGACCAGCCAAATGTGATTGTATCCTGTGAATGGAACCTATACTGCCTGATGGTTCCATTACATTTGAACCCACGACGATTGCACCTGCATACTATTGCACCTATGAATTTTTTTGTGTTTTATGGATATTTGAACCCATACTTACCCTAACCCATAGGTTTCAGCACCCGCATATAGATTGAACCCGCGGATATACACATGGGTTCAAATGTACGTAGGTTCAAATGTACGGTAACCTCCCTGAGATATGAATACAGATTTAACTTCCTAATTTCAGGAACGGCTCTCATCGTTGTGGGATTTGTTATCGGAACGACCAATGTACTTGTAGGAATAATCGGAATTGTGGTTTTTATCATGGGATTGATAGGAACCGGAAGAACAATTTTCAAATATCATGTTGTCAGATCGTCAAATGAGGTACGGTCGAAAGTGAATCTATCATGCCCCCCCCTCCCCCAACCCCCAAATAAGATTTGGCCCCAAATTATATACTTACTTTTTCTATTATGTCAAAATTGCTTGTCCTTGATATTTAACATCTCGATGTACGAATCACGATAATGGGTGCGATTGTCTAGCCTAGCGGTTACCGCGTTGAGCCTAACTTTGTTAACGTCCCGGCCAGCAGGCGACAAATTTTGTGTGTTTACCCGCTGCTTAGTCGACCCCAGAATGCAACAAAATGCGGAAGCTGTGCTTTGATGGAATATAGCCAGCCTTTCTGAATGCACTTCTTGAGTTTTTTAGAAAAAAGTTCTTCTAGAAAATGTTTTTCGATATTTAATTTTTTTTTCTGTTGACATCTTGGACGTAATAGTGCGTGTTTTATAACACTCTCGTACTCATTCCCAGTACACAGTGTTGACACTATTGGCCGAGTTTTCGTCTGTACAAACTTTCACTTTATCCTAAGTTTTAAACATTGCGGCTAAATTTAGTAAACATAAACTCTCATTTAGTCTTGGTGAATTTCCCTTCGCCAGCTTATTGTGAAATTTCTTCCTCTGCTGACACCGTCTTAAAACGCCACTGCGCAAATATCATAAACGTAATGCCAATGATCACGTATAGATAATTTTGATGGTCGCTAACAAATTATAGTAAATATTTGAAAAACTATCATTTATTACTAATTTATATTTTATATTTAGGCGGGTTCAACCAGAGAAAAGAAGGGAAGCTATACAACAATTCCGAACTCATCAAACATAGATGCAGATCAAATGACAGAAACTTTGTTATCATCATTTATGAAAAAATAAAATATATATATATACTTATATACGATTCTATTGTTAATAAATGTTTGAAATGTTTGGTTTCTGGAGTGTTTTTCTGGCATACAAAAAATGTTTTTAGTCGAATCGTTTTAGGTATACATTTTTATTCTCACCAGATAGTGCTACACAGTGGGCTCCCAATCCATTTTTTTTCTAATTTAGGGCGTGGTAAATATTTTGCTGTTATCGAAACATATATTTATGTATTTGATTATTTGACCGGCCATCTGTACGGAACCACTTTCTGGATATTCAAATGCAATTATATTTGAGCAAAGTAATATATATCTTCTCATTCAGTATCATCAGGGTTATCGGTTATCCAATTGTTATTACTATTCCGTGTGATACGGGATGTGTTCGTTGACAAAGGGACGAAATTACCTAAAAATTCATCAAAAGGTTCGAACATGCGTGCGTGCTTCACTTGCATAAATTATCGTTGGGATTTTGAAAATGGAAATAGGTCGATGTCATATACAGGAAAGCCACTTCCCCTTGTTATATCTATCTATCTTGCCACTTCTTAGATCTATGACGCTTCATTCATTCCAAATGTTATCGTCGAATAATTGAGTCTCAATCCAACCGCCGCCCAGTAGTTTTAGCAGCTAAAATACTAATGTTTGGTTCAACTTTGTCAGAGATGTTTCGAATCTCGTTTCCAGATACATCAAATAAAAACAGCTACGCAACACACCGAGAAAATTAAAAAGAACGTGATATATTGTTGCTATATATATATATATATGTATGAATGTGTGTACATTGTGCTATATTATTGAGTGAAATTTAAGTTTTCAATGAATAACAGACATATTGAATCAAGAATCGCAGACATAAGTGAGAAGAAATTCTCAGGTGTGTCCTTGTTGTTAATTAACCAGAAATTGCGTCACAATGTAGACAACAATACAGATGAGCACGGGAATTGTTGCTAAGTATTTTTGTCTAGGCCGCCGAGTAGAAAGTAAACATCAGAAATGCACTGTTTAAATAAACTTTATACTTTGTGCAATAGATCGCGTATCTTTTATTTGCCATTTTAGTAGAGATATAATAAGAGAATGAAATTTGATCCTATCGAAAGAAAGAATTCGTTTTATTTTTAGTTTGAATTTTTCAAATCGTCGTCCGAAAAAGTCTCCGCGTAAGCAGAATGTTATGTTTTGGAATGACAAGGGCTGTTTATCAAGTTCGAAACAAACCCGTTTACCTGCAACGTTATGCCCAAACTAATTTTTATCAAGTAAGAGTCATAAATATAGCGCACCTGGTTACAGACTCAGTATATGGATCATACTCGAGCTTGTATAATTTGCAATTATTTTTTTATGGCGGTGCTATCGTGACAAAAGTTTTTATTTGTTTATTTTCAAAATGTATTACGAATTGCGTCACTCAGTCAAGTATCAGTATCAAATTAGACAATGATTAACCAATTTATGTGTAATGGATTCACATGCTCTTTTGAAAGCATGATTTTTCCAAGGACCTTACATGAAAACTTGTGATGTGTTATTTTAGTGCTTAAAATTTGATAACTTGCGTTATCAATGTTTACTCACCTAATACAGTATCATAAAATGTATTTACACACAGGGGAGCAATGTTTGACTTCTATAATTCTTCCTCCTTTGTGCAGCACGCGGGTAGGGCTTACCAGTGCTTTATAATTACATCGTTCTGCCATTGTGAAAGATAGATGGAATTTTACCATGGAGTTATTGAATAGGTGAAAGAATAAAATTAGCACGAAACTTCTATAGAACTGGGAAATAGCTATATTGTATATATTGATAAAAATCAGCACGACATTGGATAACGAAAATGTTCGTTGGAAAATGAAATTATCTGTGTGTTCAGATACGAAGATTGTAGAAAAGCAACGTTTTCTTGGAGTACCATTTGTCGCCTGCTAAAAGAGTGTGTTGGCGCTACAAGTGCAGTTTGTTTGAGTATAATTTGAAAATCTAAGCGCGATATTGCGGATAGAGCTCTCGTCCCGCGCTCTGGATAGCATAGTACAATACTAACGCATGGGCAGTACGAAAAATTCCTTCAGAAGGTATAGTATGTTATTAAATTTCGTTGAAACTTACGTTCAATAAGTGAGTAGAATGAACATCAGGCATATAATTTATAATTAGAACATTTCTATCCATTTTTTTGCGATTTTCTAGTCTCAATCATAACCCAAAAATTCACTTCATCATTTTACGTTTTTGAAAAAGTACTTGCTTAGAGCGAATGAATGTTTATACAAAATTAGAGTAATTCATACAGTTGTTAATAATTCATTTGAAGATGTAATGGTTAGGGTGTTGCCCAATCATATTGTCCTTGGCCAATTGTGATGAGACAAGTGTTGTCTCGTGTTCACACTATATGCTAACTGTACTAAATTTAGGTACTCCCGTAGTATGTGTACCAGGTTAGGGGTTAAATAAAAAAATTTATCGCAAGCACATAGCTCCAAGGTTTCGAATTATAATTAAAATTAAACTTGGGACACTTGAAAATAGTAAAATAAAACGCCAATCAAGGGGCGAGTAATAATATAAACTTAAGAAAAAGAGTGATTGTTAAATTTAAATATTATATGACGTTGGAATGAAAATTATTATTAAATAATAATTCTTAGATGAGTCTACAGTCTATTTCTCCCGTGAACTGCTTGTCTGAGGAAGTCTGACTCTGGTCGGACGAAACGTTACAGAAATACATTTGTGTTAGTGTGCAGCTGGACTCTTTAATTGAATAGAATAATTTTAGAGTGTTTGTATTTTGATTAGACGAAGATTAAATACGGAATTTGTGAAGCTATACTAATACAATCTAAATGACTTTCTGCTAGCAAAAGTCAGTAAATTTAATAACTGCTTTGTGTAATTGCAGTTGTGTTTGTAATTCTGCGAAATAGCGTGTACGAAAGTCACGTAAATCCACGTTTTTTTTTTTCAATACTACTTAACATATTACGCATAATATTATAATTTTTGTATTAAAAATGCTGTCATCATCACTGACCATCGAAGCACTCGAAGTCTGGTTTCCATAGTAACAAGTGCTTAACTTGGTTCTTAACAACACTTGTAACATCTAATGATGTTTGTCGCATTCCAAACGTGAGGCAAAACGTGTATTTGGTGGTTAGAAAGCTTGTACGATACCCAACTTTTGCAGTTTAAGCTGTGCTATAAATTTAGTAGTAGGTCAGAAGAAGAAAAACATCAAGATCTACACATAGAATTTAGGATCATATAATCAATACATTTCGAACAGTACTGACATGCTATTTGCCTCCAGAGAGGATTATGAAGTTTCCACAGCAGTATGGTTTGTTATTCGGGATACCATATAAACCATGCTTTTTGTCAATTGTAGGTATTGTACCATCAAATGTTCGATCGCTTGCGGATATTTTGTCCATACAAGGTGGCTGAACGCAAAATTGTTGAGTATTTCAATTTATTTATGCACGATTGTGTTTTCTTTTCAAAGCAAAAGATGAACTCAACATATTCATATTAAATAATTAATTAGCTTCTAAGTGATGGTACAATATACCAGTATTATCGCTATTCTTGCTTGACTATATAACCATAAGTGTTGTGAATAAATTCGGTTACTTATACATTTCCAAGCTTATGAAAGTTGGAATTATTGTTGAACTGATTCACTCAAATATGGTACACAAGGCAGATATATTCAAAAAATATTAATAATGAAGTAAATTGTACATGTCTTTTTAGTTTCCTATCTTTTTGAACATATTTTATCATACACATTATGACTATTCAACTGATTTAACAAAACAATTCCCATATTAAATTTAACTTTCTGTTTTATATTTGGCATGTTCTGTTCTGTAAATTATATAGAGTATTTTATTCAAAGTGTTTTATTTGTTCAATGGATTGAAAAGTATAGGATTTTCATATTTATCTCTGGAATAGCTAGAACAAAGCTAATGATAATAAAACGCATTAAAAGATCATTAAATACAAGCTAATGACATAGCAAAATTATATTGATTTTTTGTAGTTTTCACTATCATTTATGTCTTATATTTCATGATGATATGTCAATGTCTTGTGACCAATTAGTTGACAGAGTTCTGCTTCTAATGATTCTGTTCTAACTTCTGATTTTGTCATCAGTCATCCCTTATTTACCCGTCCTCCCCTTGTGTGCATTAACACACACATTGAATATTAATGGTTTATTTATTTTAACAACCCAGTGTGAGTTGTTTTCTTTCGTATATAGAGCTTGATAAGTCTTGATATCCATTGATAAAATTTCAAGTAGTAGCCTATCAGGATAGCTCAGTCTTTTCTGGATATTAAAAACTACTTTTGTACTCATGATTTAGTTTATAGTGCTCTTGACTTTTTAGAGTACCGTATATTGTATGTATATTCCATATATAGATATCTGTTTCTAGCTGTGGTTTTAATCATTTTAACATAGTCGAGAAATATTGAATAGTCAAATTCATAATTTTATTCTCTACATCTCATTATTAAAGGAGAATTTACCAATTGATTTCGAAAATGAAACGCATCATACTGATGTATTTTATTTATTTCTTATTGCATATTGGTTTTGCACAATGAAAACAAATATCTCAATCTGGTATTTTGTTAGCTCAATGAATGATTCAATGAATGGTCCTAGATTCTAGAATATAAACAAGAATTTAAATTTGTATTTGTTTTGACTATGCCATATGGCATATTTACAGTTCTTAAATGTGAAACTTATTAGAAGCAGTTTTCTTAATTGATTGTTTGATTAAATTGAGAAAGACTTAAAATATGCATTCAGCTAAAAACAATATGTAATTATGGATTTCTGTAATTATTCAAATATGTAACATAATAGCCAGAAACCAATCAGAGAACTGAAGAGAGCTATCCTAAGTATTTGATATTTTGAGAAATTGTAGCTTCATTGGCTGAAGGATTAGATCTCAACTCACTAAAACATAAAAACATAGTTGTCATTACTACTGAAACATAGTTGTCATCACTACTGATTTACTTGTATGAGTCTGAATTTTTGGATTCGGTAGAGGATAAAAATGTGTTTGAGTATTACTGGATTCCCTGCCATTGAAAGATGATTGGCATTACTGCTGGTCATTATTCCAAATGCTTAAAATTTTTAATGGCTTACTGGGAGAAATAACTAAGAATAGAACTTTTAAGACACCAGGAAAATATTCAATTCCAATGTGGTTGATATAATTATTTAAATTGATCCATAAGGTGGGGCTGAAATTTTAATCCAAGTTACATTTATTTTATTACTGATGGAATCTCTTAAAAGGCCACGTATGAAAACTTAAATTGATATATATTCAATAATCCATGTGACGTTAACTTCATTTCAGTTTAGAAATCATATCTTATGTTTGAATGTATTTTATTATCAAATTCGCTTTCTATATAATTAATTATCAGACCCATATTTAACAATTACATTTGTTGCAATGGTGGACATAACCTCATATTATCTTAGTCCAACTGTTTTTCATACAACATTTCCATGAGATTAGCAGATTAGAAAATGGAAGGTGATTCAGGAAGTGTTGTTTGTTTCTAATTTTTTATTGCTCAGATTGTATTATATATTTTAGATTAAAAGTTATTATATGGATTAATAGTTTAGAAATACATGATGAAAGTGTTGCTGGTTTTCATTTTATCAAGTTGTGCTTTGGTGAATATTAAAGTTCAGGCAGCAGGTTTGTATTTGTATTTTTTATATTTTCAAGATTATGATAAAACTAATTAGTGGAGTAGTTTTCAAATTTTTTCAGTTCTATGGGCACTTTTGATGATTTCCCTAAAAGTTTTAAACCCAAATCAATATTATGTCTACTAAAAACGTTTGAGCTTTAAAGCAAAAAGCATCATTTATATATATGAGCAAAATCTTGTGTTACACAGTGTTCTTGTGCTGTTAATTTGTTGTTGTGAACATAACCAAAATAGTTTTGTTTAGCTCTAAAAACTCAGATTGTCTTTTATTCCAAATATCATTGCTCCAAAGCTCAGAATTTTTACATTGAGTTACCCAGTAAACAACGTTTCAAAATCTTTTTTATTTTGCATAGTTATATTTGTGAAAGATTTTATAGAGTAATTATCAACACATTAATACCCATTCTAAACCATATTGGAAGTAAGTTTTCAAAAAGTATGGAAAAATATAAAATAATTTATAATTTTTTACTTATTTTTCTATTATATGTATTATCTTCACCAATTAAAATGCTTGTATTCAAGGCATATTATGCATTTATTCACATAAAAACGTTTGAATATGAAATTATTTGATTGTTAACATGCCTGGTTATCTTTATCAATTTTTTTACTAATTTTTAATTGTATCTTACGCTTAGTTTCATGGGTTACGGGCAAGGACATGGATGGGCAAAGTTATTGTGAAAACACATCAGTTGGAACTCATGTGTATACATTAGAGGCAAATGGCGCGATTTTATATTACATCGATAATAAAGCAAATGTGCCATTTGACATATGCGGAAGTGGAGGTGGAAACGTGTGTTTGACAGCAGCTCTAAACAGAGAAGTATTGACATTTACGAATCTTTGCTTCACAAATTTCAAACCCTTCAATTCCCTAAAAATCAGGTTGTGCTGTCACCAACATTTCTCAGATTTGTCGATTTCAAATTTGTTGTAAAAGTTTTAATATGAATGAAGCACTAATTTTGTCAATAATTAGAACAGAATTGTTTTCAGTCATTTCCATTCGCCCCCAAAGAAGGGTGTAGCAAAAGAGCAATTTCAAGAACAAAATTAAAGATTACGGTAATTCCATTTCATTCCCGCGATTGTTCATCACAGAAAACCAATCAGCATCATTCAGAGCTGATTTTTCCATTCAAAACTTTTCCACCATCAAGGCTTAATTTTCCCATAAAGGTTTACATAAAATTTGCAGGTTAGAAAACAATTAACATAACTTTACTTTTGATGCAATGCTGTAATAGTTTCATTAAAACTGTGTTATACAATTGGCAGCCCCAACAAGTGTTTTTATTAACAGAGTTCCAGTAAACATACAGTTGAAGTTTGTGCAAGTGATAACGTTGTGAGTATTTGTTTATTTGTCTAGCTATTTTATTCATATATTTATATTCATGTTAAGTTATTTTCATCTTTGTTGACTGCTCAATACCTACAGAATTACATGGATGAATAAAAATTAGGAAGCCTCTTTTCATGCTCATGATATTACTGTCTATATAAAAAAGTTGCATGCGGCAGAAAAATCTCCAGAGCACTCAAAATTTCAAGAATTTATATTAGATGATGACTAGTTTTCATTGTGATTTTTCACAGAATCCCCCAGTTTGTACAAGCTCTGATGTCTTCGTTCAAGATGAGAATGACAATCCTCCTCAATTTTTAAATTCACCATATATTTACAACGTTTTGGAGGTATGAGTCATTTTTTTGTTATTTCCATATTGATGCATTGAGATATTTCTCATCATCAAGTTCACTTGGTACAAAACTTTTAGTCCAGCAGATAAGGGGCCTTTTTGGGCCCAACCTTGTTTTCAGACATAAATTTTTTTTTATTTGTGATTATTCATCTTCGGGTCTTGGCCCATCATTTCTACATGGGTGTGGAGTTTGCAGCCTTGAGCAATTTTTTTTACGGCTTGATATTTATAATAGTGTTTTTCATCAAATCTTTGCACCATAACGGCGCACAGCTTGATCCCTAACCTGGTTTACATACTATGTTCAGGTTGTGCGCCATCTTTGTGTACAAACTACGGAAGCACCAAATTTACTAGGAAATAAAATCAATAACTTTTAGGTATTTGTTGAACCCAGCTTTGGGTCGCAACCCATATATAGGGAAATACTGTTGAAACATGCGCGTAAAAAAGAAAGAGTACTATTTCAAAATACCCGCTATTGTTGCAATTAACAATACAAGCCTGCTAATGCATTTGGCAGTGGTCCAAGTGGATATACACCCGGTAGAGAACAGTTAATTTTTTGCTAGCAAAGATTGTTATTAGGGGTGGGCATTTCGAATCGAATATTCGAATCGAATCGAATAGTAAATTATTCGAATCGGTTCAGAGCTAAATTTCGAATCGCCGCCATCTTGTTTTTATCTTTCCACTAATGGTCGAGGTGAATTCCCCAATTTTATTTTCATTGGAGTCATATTTTTTCAACGAAATTCTAACATATGACTTTTTTCTGTAGTGAGTTATTGATAAAACGTGTTTGTTATTCTGTGTGAGCGCTCAGTAATCTATCTGGGTGATTTATTCTATATCTTCGGTAATTCATTTGTTGAGAAAACCAATTACTATAATAAAATCGCTTACAATTATATATTTTCAAGTATTCGAGATTCGATTCGATTCGAAAAATATTATTCGATTCGATTCTGAAATCACAAGGTATTCGAAAATGCCCAGCCCTAATTGTTATGCAGCGGAATGATCACGACAATGCAGTGTAAGATAATGCTATCACGAGAACATGAATGAGAAAATTGCTACATCTTATAGTATATCCCTGGGAAAGAATGTAGTTCATGCTTATGTTCCATGCCAATGCTTTTCAAATTACTAAAGACTCTCAACACTTTCGCTTCTTCTCTTCTATAAAAATACATTGATATTATATATTGGCATTTCCATCTATTCCTCAAACTAAAAGAGGTGATCGTGCTTCTCTTGCCTGTTGTCATGCTGGCCATCAAATTCAGCTTCATGTAACTTGACTGTTTGACAGAGCCTAACTACAAATATCAAAATGTGAAGCCAAAAAAGTTACACTACAACATAGTCAAATGTGCTGTATTTGCGATAGATAACAGGTTCACCAAGAAGCATTACATGAAAAATGGTAAAAAAAAATGTGCGCGTTACTATGTACAACCGAAGCACGCAGGAGGAAGTGTGTGATGCTCTGTTGATCAAAATGTTTGACTCAACTATGTTGGTGTACATCTCGGTTTCGCATACGCATACCTTCTATCTCCACAAGGATATATTAATTTGGCCAAAGTCAATGCTGCACCTGAAAGGTTCCGGTTCTTCCAAAAGAAAACAAGTTACACATCGTTAGATACCAGTGGTTGGTTTTACATGTGCTTGTTTGGAGTGAATGACGAGTTCGAATACTCCAATCCCTTTCAACTAATGAAATATTTCCCAAGTCCCTAACCTTTAAGCAGAAAAACAAAACGCCCGCGGCAACACAAATGTAGTTCGAAGAGTGCAAAAGAAAGTGGCTAGATGCTGTCGATGGCTCTTGGCTCATATTAGTGAAATAAACTACCATTTATTCTACTAAAATTAAATTTCTGACATTGTAAGGAGATTCAATGTTACTATGTATTCAATACTAACCCATGTTGTTATGAAATATTCTTTATATTATCAAAAAGGTGCTCCCGAAATATTCGTAAAAAGATGGCGCACAACCTGAACATTGTATTGTACCATGTGGATGTGCTTCATCTTGGTCCGAATACTCAAAATCCACTTAGAAAAAATTGCTCAACATTATATACTCCCCACCCACCTGGGTATCATTATTTATGTCATCGACATTACGGTATATCTAAACAATAAAAAAAAACTTCATGTCCCAAAACAATGTTAAGGCCCGATTCTGTCGTACTATTTCATTCAATTCATCATGCGTAATTTCCATGTTATATTGATTTCTCATATCATATAAAAAGTGTAGTTGCATGAAGCATTTTTCATTGACGAACATAGAATGTTGAATGAATGTAATATACATGTAACGTTCCCTAAGCTATCCAATAATAGATAATTCCTGTCAGTCACATCATATAGCTTTTCATGTGGTTGAGCATGTCCAAAGCAAAAGCATACACACTTCTCAATCCCACTCTCAAGAAAAACAAAAAGGAGAAAAGCTGATCTGTGAATGTGGCTGTTACAATTATTGTTATACTATTATGTCAAAATGGTTATGTTTTTGAAGTTCTTTTCTTTGAAGTTCATTTCTGTTAAAATGTTGAATTGAAAGCACAGATTATGCATGATAATTTGTACTTAGTTTTATATATTATAGACTTTCATGTTAATCTAAAACACTGATATGTACGGTATTTGGTATTCCTAAAGGTAATAAATTAATAACAGGGTAAAACAAATGGAAACTATGTTTTCACTTCTATTGCTGGAGATGCAGATGATGGAAAGTCTGGAAATGTGGATTTCTCACTGGAGGTTTGTTTATTGTAAAATTTTTTGGAAAAGGAGTTTTGTTATTGAGATATCACAAGGATTGATTTGCTGTCTCTTACTTAAAATAGGTTTCAGTTTTTATTCTTACAATAGGCCCAATTTCCACATAAATACTGTTTCTGTTCTTTACAATGTTAATTAAATTAGAGTTAAATTTTTGTAAGAAGGTCCCAACTTGATTGTGATATCTTGAATAATTATTTTATACAATTTTGTCATATTTGCTGTGAAAAAATTGACCCAAACTGTAAAATGAATGTAAATTACTCACCAAAACATATTTATCTTTTAAGGGAAAAGAATCAGACAAATTTACACTTTCTTCCAAAACTAGTGTTGAGCGAACTTTTCATGTAGATGTTTCTCTCAATATGGATTTGGACTTTGAGATATCTCAAATTCATGTAGTAACCTTAATAGCAACGGTGAGTTTTTTGGTATGGATTCCAGATGTGTAGAAATCTGCAATACCTTATCATATTATAGTTCACAATGCAATTGAGTCAGGTATTATTTTATAAACTAATCCAATAAAAAGTCAGAATTAGGCTCGGCTGTGTGGCACATCGTGCTACACTCGGCAACGCACTTCTGATTACTTGCGTGGGTATACAGGTTCAAATCCTGTGGGATATAATTTGCGAAAGAAGCTCGCTGGATTCCTTGCCGCCTAGGGTGGTTCACGTAACCGTTAGTTGCTTGCGGCTTCCTTCGCCATCAAGTCCATGTATCTGAAACAGATAGTTGGCTAACTAACCCCATACCCAACATGGACCGGTGACCCGACGAGAGGCTGTGGTTCGCCATATGATTAAGCTATTTTGTTGACTTTTCTTTCCCCCAGAATAAATTTGTAAACCCTGTCCTAATAATACTGCTATCAGAACCACTGCATCAAATAGAATGCTCAGTAGAATTAGTTTGATGATATTCATTATGAAGCACTTTTGCAGTCATACTGTTTGCTGTAATAAAACTTTTCAACAGTCAGTACCATTTCCTTTGAGAAAAAATGAATAATCAAGTTTCTATACTGCAACAGGGTCAATTTTTTTATTTTGAAAAAACCAACCACAATCTACAAAAAAGGCACATAAAGGCAATGTAGCTTGACTGTGTCATAGGGGTAAACCATTCATTCAGCTTTCCATTTTTTTTAATATACTTGCCAGTAAGATGCGTTTCATAATTTTTCTCCCACCCAATGGTAAAAAAAGTTCAAATTTGTGAATAGTCAAAGTTATGATCATTTCAGATACGCATAGATTTGAATGGTGAGGAAGTCCTCATTAATCAGAAGTTAACTAAATGCAACCTTGCAACTGATTTAATAATCCTTAAATGTATAATTGTAATGTTCAAGCCCATTTTTTTCCAAGGACCAAGGCGACGGATGTGGAAACACTACAAAACTAAGTTCTACAGCTAATGTATATGTAAATGTGATTAATGGACCTGACCAACCTCCTGTGTTTACTCCATCATCAGAATATGTTACTAGTATGCAGGAGGATAGTACGGTATACAATTTGTTAATTAAACTTACAGTTTCTCAGGTAATACAAATTTGGCACAACAAATAATCACTGCTAATTTTTGAAAAATAAAAGTAATTCTCAGGTTTTTGTGGTAGTTTTCAAGTGAAAAAAAAAATTGTAAAGAATATTGAATTTTATTTTATTTTGCAAATGAAATATGACTTCAGAGTTACTGTAATTTGAGGATACTACTTTTATTTTTTGGTAACACAACACCTTGTCTGTTTGATTGCTTCCTCTAATTTGAAATTCTTTTTTATCTTTGTTGTTCAATTTTTTTTCTTGTTTTAAAAATATAGTATCCCTATAGCAATACTGCTTCTAGCCAAAGAAAGCCATATATTGTATGTGAATGTTTATCAATGCATTTGCTAATTTCAATAGAATATCAACTTTTCATATCTATGATATGCAATAAAAACTTTATTTAGACTTATGTTTTTATATTCTGATAGAATTTAACTGGTCTCAGCATATCCGCATCAGATGGTGATTACGGTTTAGACTGGAACATAAAATATACCTTACATGGTGGTGACTCGGTTTTCAGCATTGATGAAAGCACAGGTGTTATAAGTGTAATTGGAATTGTTGATCGAGAGTCAGAACAAACAGAAAATGGATACTTTTCATTAATAGTAACGGTAACGGTCTGCTAGAATCCTTTTTGACTTTTTTACATTTATCTTCAGTACATACAATCTCTCGTAATTGAGAAATAATTGGATATTCAAATAATATTTTCTCAAATATTTCCATTTCTAGTACTGGAAAATATTTGCTAGCTTGTTGTACATTCTATTTAGGATATAAAATTTAAAATGATTTATAAAATATGGTAATTTGAAAATGCTATCTTGTAATTACCGTTCTTCCAATTGTATATTACAAATAAAATCTCATATCTATTTGATCATGGAGTTGGAGTATTAGCATATTCAAAGATATGGAGACTCACAACCCATGAAACTTGGTGGGATGTTTAAAGTTTCAAGTGTTTATAAATAGCTTCCTCATTTAAAATTTTACAGTCAAAACAAAATTGTTCATTCTGTGACATAAAATCACTTTTATTTAATGGGCAACAATAACTTTAGGCAACCGAAGTGGTACCATCAACAGCTGCAGCAGAATTTTCTGGTTTTACCGGCAATCCGATGTCAAGTAATGCCACGGTGACTATCAATATTGTGGATATAAATGATAACCGGCCATTATTTTATAGGTGATCATTGCTTATTGTTTTATATCATAAAAATTAAGTCTACCTCTAATAAAATATATAATATGTTGATCTTGTTTTGTAATACAAACATGCAATTGCCTTGTGGTTGGTGCGATTGATCATTGAAGTTCAGCAGATTCTAAACATTTTGTCTTACTTGCACAAAAATCCAAAACCTTGATCAAAAGGGTAGTTTGGAATATCTCATTTAAAATCCTGATTGTTGAATAGGCAGAGATAGTGAAATCTATTCATAATGAAAACTAAATACAAAAAAAAGAACATGATTTAGTTAATGCATCTCCCAGCTTAACTTGATGATTTATATTAACTAGCCAGATGCTGTAGATTTTGATTTTTAAAATAATATATTCTTGTGAACATGCTAGCCAGATTCCATCAATGAGGTTTGTTTTATTTTGTCACATCGAACTGAAATAAGATTGATTGAAATAAAATTTACCTACATTCATCAACATTGAGAATTAAAAAATATGGGAACCATAGTAATATCGATTCGCATTCAGCTGAAAAAATAAGTAACTGACAGCAAATACACTATTGTATTTTTTTTTTTTCTATTTATTAACAGTTCATCAGATTACAAGACTAATGTTACTGAATACAAATCAAGTGTGCAAGAGAATTCTGTGAACGCTGTTCCAAATTTTTCAATCTATGTTCAAGACAAAGACCAGGTTTGATACTGACTTGCAATTTAAAAACTGTTTATATTCACTTTTTACTACACAAAACATGAAATATTTCTTTAGTTATTATAAAGTCTTACATAAATGGCTCAATCTTTGTTCATGAAGCACTCATTTTGTGAACATCATTTTCATCTGATTGATTTATATTCAAAAATATAGATACAGATACAAGCGCTGTATTGTATGTGTACCTGTCTGTCATGGTAAATAAATTTTTAGGGTTGCTTTTATTTGACTTATGACAATATAATCATTTTCAGGGCAAAAATGCTGAATTTGATCTGAAGTTGGAAGGAAGTGATGCAAAGTACTTTAGCTTGTCTCCGACAAAGGTGCAATCACAAGCAATAGTCACATTACTTGTTAATGATTCTTCAGGTTTGGATTATGAAAAGGTGAAGTCGTTGAACTTCGAGGTATGACATAGTTTATTGATATGTTTTATCTATATATAATAGGAGCAGTGGTAATTATATATTATAAAAATGGATTTTATATTGTGCCTAACATTGCTCAATTACATTAAAAACAATCTGGGCTAATAAAGCATGTAAAGTTTTCTGAATACAGTATAAGAACTACCAGTATTTGCATTGGTTAACATTTTGCTATATTTCCCATAATTTTGGCCTGAAAAATTCAACTACAGCTCTCTGATTTGCATAATAACACTAAATCAGGTAGATAACTTGTATGATACCTAGAGAATTTTAAGAATTAGGAACTATAAGAATTTTATGCATTTATTAAAATGGATCTGTCAAAATCTGATGTTGCTTGAATTTAAACTCACAACTGATTTAGTTCACTTTGATTGAATGAATCATCTGCATGAAATGGGAGTAAATTTTCTCATAAAAAGCATCCACTCAGTGCTTCCCAATATGTTTATACTGCTGGCATCACTTCAACATTCTGATCCAAGGGTTCACAAACTGGGATACATGTGTCCTCAGGGGTACATTTTGACTTTCCAAGAGTTCCATTAGATTAGGTATAAGGCTATTCTTTCCATACCTGCTAATCTGCCCTAATCTGCCCTCTGGTTTTTCTTAAAGCTTTCATGGCTTCATGAGTATGACTATCGTCGCAAATTTATTACATTCCACTCCCCACATTATCTTTGCATGAGGTTGTAGGTATTGGTCATTATCAACGTAATTGTTGAAAGAGAGTACAACAGCCCGAAAGTTTATTACTATCGTGTATTTTGTTTTTTAAGTTTGGCCCAAGCCTCATTTAATTGGGCTTGTGTTTTTGTGTGCGTGCTGGTGGGCAGGCACATGAGATACTTCATGTTTTAAACTTTTTTGTAGGTTTTGCTTGCCCTCCAGAATTCTCCATTTTAAATTTAGGTTTGTTATGGAGTTTTCGAAATAAACTATCTATCTATCTATCTAAATACTTTTTCATCACCTGATGTTACCTGATAAAAAAATACTCATGAAGTCGCATTTTCACCAGCAACTACCAAGTTTATATTCACAGTTAACATGACTTATTTTATCCAATCACAGCTTGCAAGAAAATTTTGGGGGTTCATGAGCAATCTATAAATTGTCCAAAGGGTACAAGCAAATAGAAGGTTTTGGAAAATCTGTTCTAAGCAATATTTTTTTTTTCTTGGTTTTCCCTTAAATTCATGCTAATGCTGTTAATTTGTGTACACCAACGATTTAAATAAATGTTTTGTAAACATTGACACAAAACCAAGTCTAATGTCAATCTTTTAGATTGTGGCAACTGATTCATCAGGTATTGAAACAAGAGCTAACATTAACGTCGATCTTGAGGATGTTAATGACAACTATCCAGCATTTGATTCAAATAGTTATGAAGCATCGATTGATGAACATACACCACCTGGAACAAATGTCACTACTATAAAAGTACTGGTTCAATTCATCAATACTTCTGCTTACTAAATAAAATATGGAAGTTTGAAAACTTGCATTATGTAATAATTACTAAATATAAATTGACACAAAATAAAATATGCTATGTTGGACTTTTTCAGTACTATTAGTTGAGATTCTATACAATCATATGTTGCCAAGTTACTTGGAGGCTGGCTTCATTGCCAGTATTGAAATATTTTCTTAGTTTTGAATTAATCTTCCATATAAGTCACTTGTAACTGAATGCATTTACTGCATCAATTGCATCTAGAATGACCACTGTACATAACACTACTGCTGAGTATGGATGTTTCCCCAATCCTGGACCCCTGAAAGATTCTTCCTATGCTGTATCATTGCGAAATTTTTAACGCTGATTTTGTGAGTGATTTGGAGGGGTGGCGCTTACAAACTGGCTCACATATTCAAAACTATCATTTTTATTTAAAAAAATAACCTATGTGCCGCTCATAGGTACTGATAGCTAATTTTGGGCTAGTCAATCGCAGCGTTTGCTGTATTAATTTTTGGTTATTGTAACTAAACTAAAAGTACTCAGGAGACACAATGACAATTAAGTTATTCGATTTACAACTATTTTTTAAAAACATAACTAAACACTGAAAAATATCATCAAAAACTACCAAAAAGAGGCAATGTTTACAACCATGCTTGAATATCTGTCTGAGCGAAAAAAGTGTCTGAGTGGTGACATAAATTCCAATTCTTACGTCATTGTTAACTTATTGCTGATTTGTAATTCTTACTAAAATAAACAAGAAAATCGATGCTTGGGGAGACATCCATTGATTCATTGTGTGATATTTTTAAGATAACCATATAGCTTTAAACCTAGTTGTTTATAACATGTTTTTAATTTATATTAGGCAACTGATGTAGATTCAGGGCTATTTGGTGAAGTTAGTTACAGTTTACTTCAAACAGATTCGTAAGTTATATGTAATTATGCTTTGTGCTAGGAGACTTTTAACTATAATCATCTTGGCGATATCTTTTTTTTTTTTGTATATTTTTCTTTTCAGTAAGTAATATATTATTTGTTTCTCCTTTTTCTTTTCTCTTCTAATTTTATTATGTCTGTGTGATTGTATGTATGTGTGTGTGTTGTAATTAACTTAATTCCTTTGGGTGAACGAACCCGTACCAGTTCTTTTGACAACACCTTTCAATTTAAAATAGGTACGTTAAAAATCATACTAGGTTTTGTTAGCTTTCCTGATTCTGCAATCAGTCGTCCTTCATGCTGACTATGGAGTCAAAATAAACTTGAAAATAATGGTTGAAATTTTACTTGCTGCAAAATTGCAGTAATTGTATCAGAAGTGGAAACAATTTCTCAAAACACAGCTTATGCACCTTGAATAAAAATTAGAATATGATAATATTTTTATACTGAGAGGCCAGGGTTATAACATGTAATGTCAGCGTGATAAAACTAATCCAATATCTGTATACTTTTCATCATTTGATATAAACAGTGATTTTTTCTGTGCCTCACATGTGTAATACGAATACACAATTTCAAAAGTTATATCATGCAAATATTTTATATTCTTTTGATTGCTTTGAAGTAAACTAACATTTTCACTTTTGTTTTCAATCACATACAACATTTGTAGCAGAATAGGGGCTCTAAATTCTCATACTTAATTTCTGAAATTATTATTTGATGATATTTGGTTTCAATCTATGTCTGAGTAATTTTTTCTGTTTCATCTCTAAAATGATTCTGATCTAATAAAATTTTGGCTGAAAAATTATTGATAAATAACACTTTTCATGGTTTTCATGCTTAGCATTTTTTGACAACTGGATTTCAATTTTAGAATTTTTGCAATTACTGAAGATGGAACCGTTCAAGTAACAGCCGATACTAACCGTGAACAGCGCAGTGAATATTACTTGACAGTGAGAGCGGTAGATAAAGGAGGACTTGCAAATACGACTCAACTCACAATAACTATTACAGATATTAATGATAATGCACCAACGTAAGTAAATAAGTACAACCTCGTAACATTCTATTTTTAAAGTGATTCAAGTGAATTCTTGAATGTATTCTTACAATATCAGTGCTTTAGTACTATCATATATATATACCACAGCATCTTGATAATTCATTACTTGATTCACATTGCTTCGAACTTATTTGTATTTCAATTTTTAGATTTCAGCAAAACCAATATTCTGCTAATTGGGTTGAAAACGCCAATGTCAATGATGCTACTCCAGTCAGCATATATGTAAGTTTATTCTATTTCTTTTTTTATTTCATGATTAAAGCAATGAATTTTTCATATTTGAGCTTCTGTACTTGAGTGTACATATAGATCAATTTGTTATCATGTTGTTGTTGTTGTTCTTGTTGGTATTTTCCTTCTTATTGCTATGAAAAAATTACTTTTTCAATAAATACGAGACCAATTGCTTTTGAAATTTTCAGTGGTTAATAATTGTGTTTTTTGCTAGGGGGCTATTACTTTTATTTAATTTAATGATTGATTCAACTGTTTCTCGACTGTGTTTTTCATATTTATTACATAACTATCTCACACTGTGATAAAAAATTCATAAATGTTTTTAGGCACTTGACTTAGATGAAGCTGGGACTAATAATAGCAAGTTGACTTTAAAGTTTACAGATGTGGAATCAGAACTTAACTATACAATAACAAAAATATCAGGTAAAAATCAGGTTTGATTCTTTTTATGATATCTGTCAAAACTTTTTTCCCACATACAGCAATTTTTTCTGTTACAATATGAAATAATATTGCCCACATTAGAAACATTCCAAGTACAAGTCGAATCTGAATAAATTTCTCTATTGTTTTCGTTTGGATAGTTCTCTAATTTTTTTTTTTTTACTTTTTTTTGTGAACTTTAAAATACATTTTATAAACTTTGTTATATACTAAAATGCGTTCCCGGATCCAACAAACAATCTGAGTTTGGAATACAATATAGCAATAAACATAATATTTCATATTTAATATATAAGAAAACGAAATTGAGAAAATGAATTAAATTATGCTGTGAAGCTAAACTGATATATCTATCAACATCAAAGTAAATTCTGAGTTTTCCTTGTTAAGCTGAAGGAGGAGGAACAACATTTGAAGTAAGACCGAGTCATCCACTTGATGCAGAAGCCACTAATGGTACATGTGCAAATGGAGTCATTAAATCTTTGCTTGGTGTTACTGTGTTTGACAATGGCATCCCACAAAGAAATGACACAGCGGATATAGCTATCTATTTAGAGGTAAGTTGGGTTAGCTGTGAGTTGTCATTTTTTACTGCCAGTGTACAATTTCAGGAAGTGGAATTCACTACTTTATAGCTGTTTACCTGGCTGTATTGATTGAACTACTTCTTGTGTTGCGCTATCAATACTTGCGGACAATATTACACAACCATGAATCAGAACAGTCTGAATAACCTTTTGATATTTTGATAGTTGTTTTATGGTTTGCTCAGAAGTGTCTTCATTTTACTTTTGAGTGCCATTACCTTGTTTTGAGTGAATTCTCTTTATAAAGTAAATTATTCAAATTACCTATAGTATCGTAAATGACTTAGCTGATTTTGACTTAATTATGAGCATTATGACAATACCTAAGTTTTACATGGAAAAAATGCTGATTATAAAATTGAGATTACCGTAATTCTTTGAACAATGTGGAATCAATGTGGAAGAATTATTATCTGGGCCAATAAAGAATATACACTACCAGATTCTCCAAAATATTTTCGATTTATATTTATGAAAGTATTGGATATTACATTCAAGGGTATAAGGATTGATTCATTACACATTAATATATCGAAAATTATTAGACTATTCTATGTAATGAATATCGCTTTATTTACATTTTACAGGATGCCAACGATTTTACACCAGTCTTTGGGAAAACTGAATATTCAGGGGAAGTTGCCGAAGCATCAGGTATTGGAACAGTAATAGCAAATGTAAGTAGTTGCTTGTTTTTTTCATCTCAAGCCAGCAGGTTCTTCAGTGCACATAAATTAAATATTTTTTGCATGCAAACTTATTATTTTTTAAATAAATATACATGATATATTTTAATACATTTTTTTTATCAAGGTATCTGCTACAGATGGTGATATATGTGATCCTAACAATGACATTGTGTACACAGTTGATGATGCATTTACTGATAAATTTTCAATAATCACTAATAAGGATGAATCTTTGGGAACACTGCAGGTAATATCCGGCATGGAAAATATTTTACATATTAGTTTCATTGTAGCGAAAAAATTATTTACACTAAACTAATGATAAACACTACTTTGGAAACACTTCCAGTAACAATTCTGCTCTTCAAATGCTGAGTTTAACTGATAGTTCTGATTTTGTATAATACTGTTTTCAAATAACTCTAGCTAATTTGATGATAACCTAGTTGCTTTGTTAGAGTTTATCAAAAAATTTTAAAATGATATTTGATGTTTTAATTTAACTCCAGCTCAACATTTGAAGTGCTAGAATGCCATTGACTGTTTTTCTGGTATAAAATAAATTTAAGATTATATCTTGATTTATCTTGGAAATATTTTGAAATAAGCAATAGATTCTTATGACAAAACATCAATATGTTATCAGAATATATAGTTTGCTCTTAAAGTACAGTTTCATACCATACTCTTGATTGACCATTAAGCTGTTGTTTACATGATTTTCTAGATCAAAAGTGATCGTCTTGATCGAGATGATCAAGACAGTTATGATGTCATTGTTAAAGCAATAGATAATGGAAATCCAAGAAAAACTGGAACAGCAACTGTGAAAGTAACCATCGCGGATATAAACAATAAAAATCCTCTTTTTAACTCTTCTATCAGTAATGCAACTGCAACAATCAATGAAAACGAGGATGTCAATACAAGTATGAATGCTAGTTTTTTTATTACTGTGATTCATTCCCATGATAATACCCTATACATATCGCACACAGTTTCTGAAATAAATAGTTATACTAATATGGGATGTATGCAAGTCAAGTTAGTTCAACTAGAAATATACAAAGGAGTGTACGAAATTGTTCCTGTTGAAATACCTCAAATTGTGATTTGATAAACCTGTATTGTCTTATTTTATGATATAAAATGAATTCTTTATCTATTTTAATTTTTTTCACACAGTTGTGACAACTCTCACAGCAAATGATCTTGACACTGACTCAAATTTGATTTATAATATAACTGGAGTTTCTTGTGAAGATCAAAATGGCAACAAAGTTTTATCAACTAAATGTGATGAATGGTTCAAAGTTGTTACTTCTGATCAGGTGAATATCTATATTTTGATCACCATTTTGTTAAAGGAAGTGTAAACAGATGACAATCTGTCTACAACTAGTTACCAAATGTGAAACATTCAAATATAAGAAATTTTAAATTTTACCAAATTAGTACATTTGATATGTTCAAATTATTTCAAACAAAATACATTTTTATTGGTCAGTTGCATATTTATGTTCGATTTTTTACGTATGCTAACTTTCATTTTCAATGCAGAAAGGGAACATAGAAGTATCATCAAAATTAGATCGTGAATCTGTTGAAAAGGTGACTCTCTCGGTACAAGTTGAAGATGTAAATGCAAATGAAAATTATCCTAAACAGACAGATTCATGTAAGAAATTTAAGAAACAAGATATTCAAGAAACAAGAATTCCTTTTAATGCCTAACTGCAAATGTACTTTAATCATTGAACAAGCGTGACATCATGAGGTTGCATATGCCATTAAAAGCGTTCGAGGGAAATTGAATAAAACAGCAAAATTTTGGCGGAAATATTTAGTCCCATAAGACAATTTGATGAGAAATAAGAGTTATACCATGTACTGGTCGCTCTTTTCATGCTTATATAATAAAGATTTGAAATTGATTGATTCTTTAGCTACAGAGCAAACCAAATTTTTCTAAACAACGACAACAAGTAAAACCCAACTACAATACCAATAAAAATAATTTAACGATTTGTCATCATTGATAAATCTGAAAATATAAAATACACTTTTTTTATTCTTCATCCATTAAATTTAACCAAATTATATTCTTAAATTTTGTGGCATTCATGAGCTGTAACATTCTTTTATTATTTTCAGGGACTCTAGTAATCACTATTCTTGATTATAATGATAATCCACCTGAATTTGTCGAGATTCCAAAACTCAATGTTATTGAAGAAGTGGAAACTGGAACAGTAATAGAACAGGTTGGATATTTCCCTTCGTATTCTTTCATTTGGTGGTTGACGATTTGTTTGTATAAATTATTCTGAATAAAAAAACAGCAAAACCTTGCTATTATACATTAAACATGTATAGTAAAGATGCATAGTTGTCTAAAAATATATCAAATATTTTTGTGTGAACATAAGAGATGAATATGCACATGAAACAATCTTTTAAATCAATTTTAAGAACTATAATAAATTCCATTCCATTGATTAAGACAGACACTGAAAATACAGACAAGGAGCTTACTATGTATTTGGTGACCAAAAAAATAATTTGTATAATATTTTTATAGCTCTCTGCAACAGATAAAGACAAAGGCCAAACAATCGAATTTTCAACATCTAATGATTTTGTTGAAGTTACACCTACAGGTATCAGTTTGTTACATTAAAGTTTATATTACAGACAAAATACTGAAACGAAGTATTAATAAAATAATTCAGCTTGATTATGCAAAAGGATAAGACTTTAAAAGCAGGAAACATATAATATAAACATTTTCAATTGAATGTTTTTATGTATAAATGTTATAGAATTTACATAAATTCAAAACAAGAGCTACTTTAATTCAATAAACCCTAACTAAGAACAGTATATAATTTATCATTATGTCATTTCCGACAGCTATGAACTATTTAGTCTCATTTCATGATTGTTTGATTCACAAGAAATGCATTTTAATTATGCTCAAGTTTTAAGATGGCCCTAACAAATATAATTTAACAGATTTAATATTTTTTTCATCTAGGTCAATTGAGAGTCAGGGGTAGAATAGATCGAGAGGGAAATCCAGGAAGTTTTTTCACAGCAGTAATTTTTGCTACTGATAATGGTATACCAAGTTTAACCAGTAATGAAACTGTGAATTTCACTGTTAGTGACACAAACGACCATTCACCAAGTTTCAGTAACCAGGTATATATTTATTTATTTTTCACATTCAATATACACATGCTTGCTATTAAATAGTAGGGAAATAGAAAGAATATAATTGCAGTTTTATTGCAGAGTTTTTTGATCAGTTTGTGTGTATAATTATGAACCAATTAGGATATTAATAAAAAGGAACTGATTTTGTGGGTGATAGCAAAAGTAAAAACAAATTCCGATAATATTGTTTTCTGCATTTTGTAAAAAAATTAGTGATAAGTTTAGTTATACAACGTCAAATCACTGAGAATGTTCATGTATAGGAGACTTTCTGGACTTTTCAATCGCCATTGAAGCACTCTTGCACTTTCTAGTCAGTTACAGTCTTCAGATATACATGTAGAGCACTGAGCTCGAGTATTTTACCTTACTATGCACAATATTTTCACTAACCACTTTTCATATTTTCATTAATTCAGACATACAACTGCTCTATCAAGGAAAATTTAAGTGCAGTAAGTACATGAGATTTTATGCTAGAATTTTTATTTCTTTGTATTAATAAATAGGGACCTCCTGAAGTATGCGCACCAAGATGACGCACAACCTGAACTCAGGTTGTGTACTAGGTTAGGGTTCAGGTTATGTGACATCTTGGTGCGCATACTTCAGGAGCACCATAAATAGTGCTATAATATTTATAAACATCTATTTAAATGTCATTAAGTGCTTGATCAGTACCCAGTAAAATAAAATAAAAATTGAAGTGAATGCAGCAATAATTGAAATATAAATAAAATCATCTCTGTACTGCTCATCAGGGTGTAGTTGTGTGCAAGATTGAAGCAACTGATGAAGATATTGGACCTAATGCTGACATATCATATTCTATTCAACCGGTTGACTCGTTCAGTGTAGACAGCAGCAGTGGAAACATAAGCACAAAAGTGGTTTTCGATCAGGAAACCCAAAATGAATATCGGGTATTAATTTTATGTATGCAGTTTGTTTCTATTCAATTATGAATTGTAGTTTGTTCTTCTCTTAAATATTTTGACACCGGTGTTTTAAAAATGCATAATATGTATATGGTTCGATAATAACTATGACATCGAATGTTTTGATCAATGGCATTTATTAATGCCAATACCATGGTAAGTAACTGAAAATGAACTCATACTGTGGTAGCATTTCAACCCAATGCAAATGTATTGCTCTTAAATTCAATTCGAAAAACTTCAATAGTCCCAACCTAAAATTGTCCCACATCCTGTATTTAATTGAGCATAATTGTCCTCCCATCAATCCGTTTTCATATTTCAACTATTGTTGGACAGGAAGTGTACATATAGTTCTAGTTGCTGGGATTGGTTTTCTCTGCAACTAATGAATCACCTTTTTCCAATTTTAGTACTTATTAAAGATGGAAAAAGTCGCTAGACAGCTATTGTTTTTTTTTTTCAATTTCTTATTTATTTTACTCAAAATTTTGATGTTTATTTAATTTTGAGAAAAACTTTCTATTCTGTCATGCTCACCACCTCTGTCATGCCTGACTACCGTTTTTCTTAGCAACTCAAAATACAAGTCCTCATCATCATGTTGTATGGCCTTTGTTTCCATACATTTGAGCATTTTTTCTCTTGTTATTATCCAAACAGTGACTAACATAAATCGGACTATATAAATATTTTAAACAACTTCAGCATAATTTGTAAATAACGACTTTTGTTGGAATAATATCTAATGTCATAACTATTCATCTATAGTTGACATTGAAAGCCAGAGACAATGCTGGATCCCAATCAAGAGAAAATGAAGTTGATGTTGTTATTACTATCATTGATGAAGATGACAATGATCCAACTTATAAAGATTTTGTATGTATTAATTTAGAATTGACAAAAAAATGTTTTATAGATGTAATAGGCTTCGACAAACTCTGTTGGATTTGTTAGAGTCATTGACTCGACTCAAGTTTGACCATTAAACAGAGACTCAAAGTGTCTCATCCAGTTTGAAATGATACCCTGCTGACCGTCAGTGAGACTCGACTTCGGAATCGATCTTGACTCAAAATTCTGATGACCTGTGATTCGATTTGCCTTGCCACTCGAGGTTTATGAACTTCTACTCAGCACTGGAAATATTTATTGAAATTTATTAGAGTTGGGCCTTTTACTAAGTTAGAAAATGGTTACTATACTACAGTTTTCTTAAATGTTATTCAAGATACTTGGGGAAGTTAGCGATGTACCAGTAATCACTGGAAAAAAATTATTGTTTAGGCCACACAATTCATGACTATTTCCGAAGAAGAAGAACCTGAAGCATCTGTTGGTGATATAAAAATCTCTTTCGATGCAGATACTGAACAATATCAGAACAATTATTTTTTCTTAGTCTGTGAGTATAGGTTTTATGTACAATTTCAATTCTAACAAATGGTTTTAATGTCCATTGGCTTACGACAACATGCATCTGTGAATGTTTTAATTACAAAATAAATAGCACTGTTAATACCAAATCTACAAGGTATAAAACTTTTCAGACACTAATATGGAAGAACAATTATGTTGTATCAATCCCTTCAATTTGTAAAATAGTTGAGTGTTTAATTCATAAAAGACTTTTTTACTAAACATGATGTAATAAATAGATCTGAGTTTGGTTTCCAAAATAATCTTTCTACATCACATGGTATTTTGGATACAATAACTTTTGTTATCCAATTTTGCGGACTTCCGTTTTGTTCAACCTATTCAATAATTAACATACTGCAGTAATTCTCTATTGCACATCCCAATTCAACAGATGTGCAAAGGTGCAATTGCAGAGCTCTGAAATAAAATACCCACTTACTTTTTATTTGTTCATATCGCATTCATGTTTTGCACAATGAAAATAAATATCTGCATTTCTGAATCTTTCATTCAATTCACGGTCAAATTTAAAATCCAGCATTTGAATGAACCATCTAGGTCTTGCGATTAAATTATAGTTCTTTGAAGTCATATCCTATGTACAGTCATCATTATTCTATGATCAATCTTAACTGTATTGAATAAATTATTGTACTTGAAGTGTACATATGGGTCATTTTGTCAAATTGTTTTCATTGTTGTGAAACATCTTTTTTGACTGATAAACTTCACATTTTGAATACTTGGAGCCACTAGAAGGCTATTGCTTTAACTAACTTTTTTTCGAATATCTTCCGAGTCCAATTTTTAGCCTTTGGGTTCTTATATTTGAGCATTTCGCTCTTGCTTGCTATACATGCTATTTACATATTGTTGTGGTATGTATGTGGACTAGTCCATCAACATAATTTATGAAAATTATTTTATCAAATACCATTGTTCACATTAACTTATAATTGGCTTGAAAATATTAAACAATTTTCAGATAGAAATGATACAGAAAAAGGTATCTTCCGACTAGACAAAGATACAAGAAAGTTGTATGCAATACAAAAACTTGATCGCGAAACTAGAGGAGAATTTGATCTCTATGTTCTGGTATGTGTTCTAACTTGAAAAGTTATATTGCATAAGATTTGTGATAAGTGATTTTTTGTGTTTCAATTTATTGAATAAGTACATATGTATTCTATTCAATATTTTTGTTTTAGACGACTGGAAAATCAGAAATAACAAATGAAAGTTATTTTGCATATGAAGAAAATTCTATTCTCAATGTTGTGGTAACTGTACTTGACAAAAATGATAATGCACCCAAGTTTCAAACGGATATATATTCTGCAGGTTGGTAACCATTTTAACGATCTAGAGAAGTGTATTACTTTATTTAGATATTTTTTATATTTTCATTACAACAGATTGCTAGGTATTAGGCAACAATTTTCATCTAATTCAATATTTTACATTTTTTAAACATTTCAATTCATTTTAGATTTACAGAATGATGTGCAGACCAGTGCAAGCAATGCTATTTTGACTGTTTCTGCTACTGATGCAGATATCAGTGAAAATGCAGTACTTACTTATTCAATTGAATCTCAAACTTACTCGGGAACTGGGGAACAAGTTGATGTAAGTTTTTTATTTTTTAAAATAGATGCTATGTTAAATTAATTAGGACTTAGTAAGGACAGAGTCGAAAAAAAAACAGTGGCATACCAAACTTTTCTGCTGCCGGGGGCGAGTTTCATATAATGATGCCCCTTATATCTAACTTTAAAAATAATTCGGGGGATAAACAAATTATAGATGTTGTTATACATGAGAATGAATAAATTGAAGGCCAAGTAAGAATGAAATGTTTGTATTGTTTTATTAATAATTGAATCATCAAACTAAATAGTAAACTCACCCTAACAACGTGCTGCTCAGGGAGACTGCCCCTCTTTAGGCACGTTATATCCACATATCTAATATGTGTTTAGTCACATTAATTAATTTTTTCATTATTCTGAAAATTTTTGTAGAATTTTGTCATTGAAAAAGTGAATGAAAATGCCAATATATATCTTGTGAAGCCAATAGAACCTACCATTGGAGAATCATACTCACTGACAATAAAAGTAGAAGATGGGTAAGATCAAGAAATTTTCAACTGAACTATAATTTAACAAAACAATTCTCAAAATTGCCATTTTTTTAAAATTTTACAGGGGATCACCAAGACTTTCTGACACTGCTAAAGTGACTGTAAGAATATTTGATCTTACTGATGAATCTGTAGAAGCTCAGAGCAGCTATTCACCTGAATATCTAAATGACCATAGAATTGAATTGGAACAGTAAGAAAGAAATTTATCATATCAATTAGAGTATTCTGGGTAAAATGTATATAAAATTTCAACATTTTCAAACAATGAGACAAACATTTTAAATTGTAGTTCATGCTTAGTATATAGGGTTGTGATAAAGTTATATACTGTTCATTTCAGAGATCTGGAAAAACGACTTGAGGCCGATGTTGTGATTGACAGCATACTTGCACATAATTCAGAAACTGAACCAGAAGCAAGAGCAACTGATATCGCTAAATCGTAAGTAAAAAAGGAAATCTTTTTATGTGAGATCTCCAAGTTTTGACTAGTAATTAGTATATATTAGACCTAAATTCATACTACAAAAATCAAGGTTATCCAGGTTAGGTTTGAATTTTGTCTGGATGGAATATTGTACGAAGGAAGTTTTTCGAAGGAGAAATTTTTAAGTAAATCAAGGATCAACTGGCCATCATTAGCAAATCTAGGATCAACACTAAATTATTATTAAACCATAATGCAATTATACTGAAAGCATATCCAACTTAAATCATTTTTTAGTGATGTCAAATTTCATGCAACATCTTGGAACACTTCAACACTTGTTCCAGCAGAAGAAATAACAACGTATGTATTGAGCATATTTTGAGAATGAAATAGAATTGAAGAGGAGTTTGTATTTATATAATTATATTATATTTATCTTGATTGAGAGGAAATCCGGTAAGACGGCATTATCATATGGTGATTCACGGACTCTCATTCGATTACCAGTCCATGTCGAATATGGAATTAAATTATTCGTTTCAGATTCATGTCGACAAAAACATAACCGAGAATATCGGTCAGAGACCGAAGACTTATCGATCGAAAGTTAGGGGATCCCTCAAAACAGGGCTCTTACTTCATAGTGACACCTTGTGTCCCATCACTAATTAATTAATAACTCGCTAATTATCCGACATAATTCATCCAAAATCAATAGGCTTCTGGTACGACATATGATGAATGCACATGCAAAATCTAGAGCAGATTCAATCTCGCTTTCGTGAGATATCGCGTGCATCTAACAGACAAACAAACAGACAAATACCTATCAACATACTTACCAGTTAAATCGATAAGTAATAACCAGCAGTTACGCAAATTACTCGAGACTCCTCGCAATCCTTTTGCACATGATTATCCCCCATAGTATTTGACCCTGTGAACTCGCACAGAGTGATAAGAAGTGCATTTGCAAGCATGTTCTTATCGCTTAGGATATAGATCTTGGTGTTATCAAATTAGAGCTATTCATGAAAATTATTACCGTAATTTAACTTTTCAGGGTTTTGACAAATGATAACAATAACGATATATTGATCAAATGGTCGATTGTTTCTATCAGTAGTGGAAATGCAAATACTGTTGATCCCGCAACAGAAACAGATTTACTAAAGGTATATTTGAAACTGATTTAGTATAATGCAGATCCAACAAATTGAAAATTTTTGTTTGACATGGTTACATTTTCGACAATGCTGACTGGGCATTTGGAATATGCTCATCCTTACGATACTAAATATCAGAATATGCTACTGTTTGGATCAATATTTTAGGGTTGTTCACACAACCACTGACTGCTTCCGCCACTAACTATATCAGAGATGGATAATCTTTTTTAATGAATAGGTGAACAAATTTTTTTTTTTGCTGAAAAAAAGACTGTGAGTCATGAATATTCAATCAAAGTTTGCCCCAATTAGAAACTTGCTGTTGCATGTTTTTCGCAAATCTTCTAATCCTTGGCTGGTATTGTGTAGTTTTTTTAGTTTTGCACTCCACTTTGAGAGTAACCTCATTAAAGTCACCAGATCCTGCCGCATTTTTATTTAAGATGTCTGTAGTTGGAATTTTGGGTCAAAAATCTGTTTTCGAAACGGTGTTTTCTTAGATAATATAACTTTTATGTCTTCTTATACTGTTTGCAGCTATAGTCGATTGATATAAAAGCTCTAGATTCATTTACCACTACAATTTTCTAGGACAAAAAAACACCCCACATGGAATTACATGCAACGTGATCTTTTTTTAACTTGAACATTATTTAAAATGTTCTGATCAATGTTCATATTTCTGGTGCTATGATTGCTATCAATTCTAGGATATGTTTTTTGTGTTGTACAGCTTACAAAAACAACTTTTTAGTTCATTTCATTTCAACACATTCAAATTTCACTTTATGGCAATGATGATTTCCAATCTGTATTTACCTAATCTCATTTTTTAGGCTGTTCTTGTTGTAGCATGCTGCCTACTTGGCATTGTACTTGTGGTTTATACTACAGCATTCATTTTGATGAGGCGAAGGTAAGATGCTCATCAATTTCCTAACCTAATCTATGGATATATAACATTTATCTAGAAATATATATTTATAAAAGCAAATGATTATTTGTGAGTAATACAGAAAAATAAATTTACAGTGATGTTTCAATGAAATAACACTATGCAATATGGAAGATATGACAAACCAATTCAAAAAAAAAAAAAATTTCCAAAGAATACTAGGAAACACGTCTGATTTGCAATATTTTAATGTTTATATCTATTGTAAACTCTTTGAATCAGGCTGGTCCAAACCCAGGCGAATGGGCTACATGTGGCCCATGTCACATTTGCTAATAGAGGTAACTACTATTGATGGTACAGGGTAGCCAAAGAATAACACTTTGGTGTTATTTTATCATAAAAATAACCAGGAAAATCTATTGCCATATTTCTTACATCACTAGATCAATTATTGTTACGTGGATATTACCCTTCTGTACCTCACATGCCGAGATTTAGTAATCAATCATTTTGCAGTGATTTATAAGTTGTTTTGTAAACGTGAGTTTGGAAAGAAACTGACCAATTCAAATAGATATCTTTAAGTCAATATGGGACGAAAAGTGCTTGTTTGTGGAAAACAAGTTCAGCCATAATGCTTAGCATGTCTGCAAGTTTTCTCAGTTTGAATTTTGTTTTGTATTGTGAAGTTTACATACTCTTAGCACTAATGTGGCCTGCGAACAATACAAAAATAATATTGTGGATCGAGGTGCCTACAAACTTGTATTTTTATTTGTAGGATGTGCATTTATATCATAAAACTCATATTCATCCATAAATTGCAAAAGTCATTAAAAATACCATTCAATATATGATTCAAATCTTAACTGCAAAAAATACCATCACACAGTATTTGACCATCATTATAAATTGTGGCACTGTGGCAGTTAATAATATATTTTAATACACGTTTTATTTTTGTCATATCATGTCTAATTAAACAAATTTCAAAATCTATAGTTAGCTTTGTAGGGAGTAAAACACCATCTTTACCATTATCAATTCAGTTACAAACGAAAGCTCAAGGTTGAAGAGGCATCAGCAAAATCAGCAGCATCTCACGAAAGGAATGATGGAGGTGGAGCTCTCAATATTCCAAACACAAATCAAGCTGCAGCAGGGTAATTATTAAAGTCTGATATTGAAATCATTTATCCACTATTTTGTTTTTAAAAGTTTAGCATATTGTTTTTTTAATTTTTGTATTTTATATATGAAAATGCACTTCTATCAGTAGCATAACAATCTCTACTAAAAGTTTGGAACAATAAATTTGACCTCGTTGAATTGAAATTTGTTCAGTTTGAATTCCGTTGTTACATACTTTCTCTCACATTAACATTTCTGTAAATAGCAAATAATTTCTTCTCCTGTCATACTGATACACAACCTTAATGCTACTACTGACTTGTGAAACAATGTATCATTGGTAGTATTTTTCTTTCCAGTATGACATGCTTAGATTTATTTTACCACTACCAATGGGTATTATTGTTTTTTTTTTCCAATTTTTAAAGAAAAAGCAAATTATTTGAAGAGTATGAAAAAGGAAATGTAGATATGAATATCTGGAGAGAATCAAATGATGATGACTCAATTGATGACAATGCTGTTGACAGCCAAGACAGTGCCATTTCTACAGATCCCCGTGTAAGTAGAAATTTGACACAAGGTTGCATTGACAATAAAATCAGGAAACATGCAGGTGATTGGACCTAATAGCTTGAAGAAATGATGTAACGAATTCCTGAAATTATACATCGTGAAAACATAAATATTGTTTTGTCATTGTACAAGTTGCAGCATCATGTTTCTGAAGACATCACATGAAAATGTAGTTTGACATATGCAACTTATGAAGCATAAATCTGTGATTACCAAATATCATCAATTTATGTGTTTTCCATAATGCAAAAGCTTAGGATAGGATTTTCGTTTTTTATCTCGGGGCGAAAAAAGCAAATTTTATGGCGTACCGCAGCCTGTTGTTGAGTTACCATTCCATGCCGGGTATGGGATTAGTATTTGCTTCAGATGCATAGACTTATGGTGGAGTAAGCGTATTCCTAGCCCTTAACGCGATGCATCAACCTCAGAACCCTTTTTGAGTTATTGTACTTAGTGTATGCTACGCACCCAGGTAAGGTAGTGTTTTTCTTGATAAAAACATGAAATGTCCTTTTCCACGGCCGGTAAGATAATGTCAATCTCATAACAGGATCAAGAGGGATTGGGTCAGGAATATGATGAGTTGAATGACATTGATATTGACTTTGATGACTCAAATGATGCAGAAAATCTGGCTGCTGCACTCAATGCTGCAAAGAGAAAGAATGGGCAAGAAGAATTCGAATTTTCGTTTGATAATCCAGCAATGGAAAACACACCAATGTAAATTAATATAATTGCTCCTTTAAAATTTGCAAAGCAGTAAAATGTCATTTGCGTTTCACTATTAATTAACAATACTTGATCATACAGTCTAATAATGTATAATGCATTGTGGTTTGATAAATTATCATTGATGTACTGATTGGTTCAGCTCAATGTGTAGTTGCACTAAAATCGTACCCTGCTTTTTTATGGCGGACCAATATCCATACTGAATGTATTTGCACAATAACCATATGTCATCATCTCTCCAAACTATTAAATTGGGAAGTTAGATATTGTAAAAGTTTGAAACAATGGCAGTGATTCAAATTAGTGTCTGTCCGTCTTAGAATAAATTATTAAAGATATTTTTCATGGAGTTAATTTTTATTCTCCTCTTACATTACTTATACTTACATTTAGCATGTAATTTAGAAAATGAATGCCTACTTTAAATATCGCTTATTTTGGGATTAATTTCATCAGTGATTGTCATACTGTTCTGTTTTAAAGTGCCTTCTCCTCGTGCTCATATTTTATCTAGCTGTCTCTTCGCTCAATACTGCTTAATTTAATCATGTAAATAATTTTTTTTAAATTTAAGTGCACTTCAAGATGTTGAATTTTGTCCTATCGCATGTTTATTGAGGAATGTAAAAATATGGATTTGTTTTGATTCAATTCATGGGAATGAATTTCTTGGTAAAGATGAGCAAATGCCATTGACGTTTAGATTTTATTTTGCTGTTAAGATTTCGAAATTGTAATCAAATGTAAAATCCTTTGATTACCTTATAAAGTAATAATCCGAACCTACCCTATGAGAAAATGGTGATATTCGATATAAAATAGTTCTTTTAATCATATGACATTTTTTGGTACTCTTGAAGTATGCGCACCAACATTCCTGAACCCTAACCTGGTACACAACCTGATTTCAGGTTGTGCGCCATCTTGGTGCACATACTTCAGAGGTCCCATTTTTTATTGTAGTTTCATTTGTTCATTCTTTTCCGAATAGTAGATACAATTTCATTGTGATGGTGTCCGATCACTGTTCTTTATAATGATTCTAATAATTGTATATAACTTTCATTTTGCATTAAAATTTGAACAGCAATTATTTTCATTCTGGCACCTGAGTTGTTTATTTCAAATAGGGTTGAATGAAGATACATCATTAGCTATTTAAATGTTCCCAGATCAGCTGTAGGGTTCAAATCACTAATCCAAATAGGCTTGAGTTAATGTTATTACAACTTCAGGCATAAGCTAATGCATCTGTTACTTTAGCAAATCCTCGTGAATACCATTGGACCAGCACATCTGCATAAATGGGCCAAACACTCCTAAAGATATATGGTTATTGAATATCATTGGGCCAGTACATCTGCATAAATGGGCCACACACTCATGAAGATACATAGTTATTGAATATCATTGGGCCAGTACATCCGCATAAATGGGCCAAACACTCCTGGAGATATATATTTATTGAATATCATTGGGCCAGTACATCTGCATAAATGGGGAAAACACTCCTGAAGGTATATAGTCATTGAATATCATTGGGCCAGTACATCTGCATAAATGGGCCAAACACTCCTGAAGATATATAGTTATTGAATATCATTGGGCCAGTACATCTGCACAAATGCGGAAAACACTCCTGAAGGTATATAGCTATTGAATATCATTGGGCCAGTACATCTGCATAAATGGGGAAAACACTCCTGAAGATATATAGTTATTGAATATAATTGGGCCGGCACATCTCCATACATGGGCCAACCACAAAGAAAAACAGGGTTGAATTTATGTAGTGGTTCCAAATTTTTAAAACAGGTTCTCTGTTGTGTCGAACTCACTACCAACGGGTTTCCTCATTTTAGGAAAACGTTGCTGAACCTATGGCTCTGTAACTGGATGAGATGATTCAAACAAAATTTATTTTCTAATATGAATGAATGAAAATTGAATAAGTCGAGGCATAAAATACAATGAGAGCCTTTTCAAAAGAAAACATGAGAACAAGTGAAACAACTTTCACTCACTCAAAATCATATGGTCAGCAATACTGAAAACAAGTGTAACTGGGGGAATTGGCATAGTTTGGTTCAAAGACAATTGAAGTGGCCTAACTACTTTGATAAAAACATTTAAAAATTATATAAAATCAGACCTTAAGAAAAATGCACTTTATTTCAGTATTAATAAACAATACACAATTAAAAGTTTATACAAATTGAATGTAGTTGAAAAGGATAAATATTGTGACTGGGGTCTGTTCCGTGTGCCCCAACAATACCACATTCAAAATCTTTTATTTTAGTAAATTCCAAATGGCAACTTGATTGCAATCATATTCCTGGACTACTCTCTGCTGTAGCTTTTGATCATCAGCAACGTGGTTTCTCAGCCATGTTTTAGCATAAGGTGCGGCGTCCCATATCTCAAAAGGGAGGCCAATAAGGTTAATTGTCATCAAATTTGCTATATTTTCAACAACAAGGCTCTTATCTGAGCAAATATGATTCATACTGTAGAAGCCTCTTTCCAGTTCAGCAGAGCTGACAGCAATTGTGCTTACTATGGCTTTGGCTTTTTGAACACTTCGAGGAATTACAGGGTTTTTAAAATTTTGCAATACATTTTTCACGTAATCACGGAAATCATTGACAGGAATTTCATAATGAAAAATGTCAGTGAACCTGCACAGTTTTTCTTCAGCAGCAAGCCAGGGTACAACTACTTCCTGAGTATTCCAGGTGTCTGACTCTAACAAATTTACCACTTGATGAAATTCTGTGTTTTCCTGGTCATCACTTCCTGATGTCAAATGACCATTATCCATTAGTCTCTTTCTCATGTTTTCGATAATTTCTTCAAGCAGCTTTTTCCGAGGAAGGCATAAAAATTTGTGGTTTTCATTAAGCTGGACATCTTTAAATTCCTCAGAAGCAATTCTGTCGGTAATTTTGTTTTCAAATGTCCCTTTACCCTCTATTAGTAGTTCAAATGCTTTAATGGACTCAAGTATTAATTTTTCAGCTTGTGTCAAAGTTACACATCTGGCTTGAAGAGCTTCAGAAAGAAAGGACAATTCTTGCAGTATATCAATCATTAATGCTAAATCATCTAGAAAATATTTGTTCCCAAGACTAGCAACCATTCCTGAATGTTTGGTAAACTTAGAAAAATATTTCCACAAGGCAGGATAAGCATGCCATACAGCGAGTGCAGACTCTAAGCTGCAAGCAGACCATTTTGATCCAGAAACTCTACCAATCTCCACTATTTGCTGTCCAAGTTCTTCAGAAATTTTGAAAATTTCCATCTGGTTTTTATTTGTCTTACGAAAAATAGTGTGTATTTTATCCATGAAAATTCCCAAGTGATTCACTTGTTTTATATCAGTGATAGAGTCATCCAAAACTAGTTGCAGACGATGATTTAAACAATGCCAAAGAATAATATCAGGGAAATCATTTTTGAGTTTTATGCCTAATCCAGATCTACGACCGAGCATTACACTTGCTCCATCAGTACAGAAAGCGATTAGGTTTTTTTTCAAATATGCCTTATCGAATCCAACAAGATGCAAGCTATTTAATAAGGTTGCATATATTTCTTCTGCTCCATGCTGTTCCAATTCAGCTAAATCCAAAAATATCATCGGAGAAAAATTGCAATCTTCGACCTTTATGAATATTATAATGACGGGTTTACTAGACACAGTTGACGCTTCATCAATAATAACACAGATTTTAAGGTTTTTTTCAATGATTTTTGTGAATATTTCTTTTCTAATTTGTCCTGCAATGTGGTCTACTATTTTCATAGCAGTTTTGCGACAATGAGGTCCTGCGCCCATATCTACTCCATTTTTTATTTGCAGCGCGATTTCATCTTCAATATCAGATAATGGGCGACTTTTTTTCGCAAAACTGTATACTGTATTAAAGACTTTGATCGTAGAATTTATATAACTCTTATTTATATTATCAATGCAATCTGCAATAATATTTGGATAATCCCGCAACCCCATAACGCAAATATGGTGCGCCTTCGACGAAAAGTGTAAATTCATCTTTTTTCGCAGAGAAGCTTGCTGAACTTTTTTATTCTTTCCTGAAGCTGCAACTCGGCAATTAGCCCATTCCATTGACAAGTGAATGCCTTTAGAATTTACTAATTCAGATGGAAATCTACCACAGTAATCACAACCAAGTCTTTTATTGCGAAGTGTTAAACCATCATATTTTTGTTTAAAGTTATCAAATTGATTCATACTCCAGCAGTCTGGAATAGCTGACACTTCTTCATCCACCTCACAACTACTATTTTGCAAATCATTCATATTTTTGGTCGTAATATCATGATCCAATGCTTGTTGTCCATTTTGTTTTACACATGCTTTATCAAGTTCAGTTCTTGGAATTTTCCGGAAGCACTGTAAAATATTTTGTCGCCGTTTCATTTTTGGTTCCAGTCTTCTAGCTGTGAATTTAAAATACTAGTGGAGCATTTAAAAGAGGAATAACTCTTCTTGAACCAACCTGCAATAAATTTTATTTTGGCTTTAGTTTTTTTGTATTTTTAAGGGTAGAAGTTTTGGGTCTGGTATAGTTTAGTACCACATGTACTTCTAGTTGACCTGGCTCAACAATTTTTGCATATGTAAATCCCAACCCCCACCTGACTACGTCACCGAAAAATTACGTCATTTCGACGTCACAGTGGCGTAATAAGACCCACCGAAGTATGCGGATGGTCGTCCAAAACGCGCAGACGATCACCCGAAATCGAGCAAGCAATTTCTCTCGTTTTCTCGTCACAACGATCACGATAGGAGAGAGATCGACGGCTTTAGCAAGTTCGTTATCGGCGGCGCAGATGACATTTCGGGCGATCATAATTATACTTTGGGGGTTAGGAATAGCATATGCAAAATTCGTTATGCTACGCCCACCGGAAGTACTAGACCCGAAGTTTTCACATCAGCTTGAAATTAAAAGTTTTACATCAGTTGCTATAACACCTCTATGACAGTATGAATCTATGTCACCGGAAATCTATGCTAAAATTGTTGAGCCAGGTCTATTACAGTATTAGAATTGCATGCGGTACTAAACTATATCAGACCCTACAACCCTCTGATCTGACCTTGCAAGCAACTGAGCAATGATTACACTTAATTTTTGACTAATTTTTGTTTTGTCATGTTTTTGTGCGATCGTGCCTTTTTATTCATAACATACCGTAGCCTACCTACATCATAAAAAAAATCAAACTTCTAAACAAGCCAGAGCTGCCTACATGCGTGCGTTGCATTTGTGCAGAGATAGGTATTTCCCCGAACATCGATTTTCTGGTTTATTTCCGAAACAGTTACCAATCGGCAATAAGTCAATGATGACGAAGTCGTTTTATTCGAGATTCTGCGTGCTGTGTGTCAGCTTTCAGTTGCGTTCCAGAAACTTGATTGTAGATAAAATACCTTGTAATAGACCTTATTCATTAAAAACCCATCCTACGCGCAAAAAGAAAAGTGATGTAAAAATTTTTTTTTTAACATTAGCTCTTATGGGGAATGTGATCACCAGAGCAGAAATTTGCATTTTATGTCATTTTCTAGATATCTTTCATTGTATACGCGAGCAGTTTTGAGGATAGAATATTTTTTACATCTTTTTTGTTATTTTTATTATGATAAACATGGTCAAGATTTTTAATAATCGTTCATTGAAATTTTAATAAGCGCGGTGTTTCCGATGACGTCATTCTCACTAGATCATGAGATTCTGCCAACGCGCCGTGCTCTGTGGGATATGTGCTCCAACTGCTTATGGTAACAGAATACTGGAATACCGGTACCGGGATCACAACTGGCGTTCAACGAAAGACCTATTTTGGTTTTAATTGGATGTTCTGGTACACCTTTCAAAATCCAATGGCCTAACTCAGTTCATATGTTGACGGTACCTACCATGTACGGTATCTATCCCAAAATTGGTGATGTTCAGGGCTGGATTTAGATCATGAGAGGCCCCTTCATATTTTTGAGTTTAGAATTTCTCTCTAAACAACACCACATTTAATTGCTTAAAATTTAAAAATATGAAAGCATTAAACTTTTCATTCTCCCCATTCATGGGTGTGGCTTTCAATTTCTTTGATCAAACAACCGCTACAGCCATACTTTAACATGAAAACTTCCAGCAGAATGCGCATAATAATTTCCCTTATTATGACGCAAACGACGCAATAATGGCTGTTTACAATGTGGTTGAAACTAGTTGTGTACAGAATTTTCTACTCTGAAAAGCTTGATATATATATATATACTTTTTGTAGGGTTTAAACCTGTCAAGTTTTCAAAAGAATTACAAACTTTGAAACCGAATTTCGAGGGTCTAGGTTTCAGCCTGCCTAGCCTATTGGTAAATCCAGCCCTGGTTATGGTCTCTACAGCAAATTGGCCCTAATCACTCAGCAGATTGAAATAAATGGTTTTCAGCATTTATTAGCAAAGATAGATATTTTAATTAAACATATAGTTCAACTTAAAGCGTGTATAATGATATTATAAAAATAAGTCCCATTATTACTGCATTGTGAGAAGGCTTTCCACACTATCAAGTCTATAAGGTTTTAGCGTCTTCCAATGTCTCAGATGGAAACTTCAGTCTTCATTTCGCATATTCTTTTCATTAATGCCATTAGCATTTGAAGCTTGACTGATGTGCCTTGACTGTGTCCAATGTACCTTTTCCATTGTTGTTTAATGTAATATCCTAAACGTGACTTCAAATTTTTTTCTCACTTCAATCATCACATGTTTGAATACCCGAGCTGACTTCTACTGATTTGTTATTAATTTATATTTTTTTTTATAAATTAACTATCGTACTTGCTAAGTGTCCACTAAGCGAAAATCTACAAAAAAAAGCAGTGTTTAATAATAGACTACATTTTTAACCGAATCCAAAAATATTCCGTAACTTAGTCAACCCTTCCTCCGAGGAGTTTTTTAAAACATCTCAATTAACTGTTAATCTTGATAGCAAACATGGGGGGGGGGGGGCTGACTGTGATGGTCGTATCGCTCCCCAGTCTATACCGAATAACTGTGTGTTTTGTATATGATTTTTATTGATTCAATGCTTGTATTCTGGTTGACAAAATAAATCTCCCTCTCGTATTCAGTCATGTTTTTAACCTAGTTACGAGACCGGTATTGTACCATTATAGGTTGGAGATATTCATCTTTTTTGTATACCGGTACCGTACAACTTGTCCTGCCTATTGGCAAGATGGCCAACATTTTTGTTCGTAGGCCTATTTCAGTATTTACTAAATAATTTAGTTTTCACCTCTTGCAGCCTTGGTACGGTACCGGTAGTTTAAATAACACGTCAGCATGCCTTCAGTAAATGATTGCTAGCTGTACAGGTATAAATGCGTAAAACCAGTAAACAAACGTGATAGAAATGGTACGGGTTATAGAGTGTCAATGTTAAACGCGTCCAGTACCGGACGGCCAGCGCATATCCCACAGAGCACGGCGCGTTGGCAGAATCTCGTGGTCTAGTGAGAATGACGTCATCGGAAACACCGCGCTCATTAAAATTTTATTGAACGATTATCAAAAATATTGACCATGTTTATCATGATAAGAATATCAAGAAAGATGTAAAAAATGTTCTATCCTCAAAACTGCTCACGTATACAATGAAAGATATCTAGAAAATTACAAAAAATGCAAATTTCTGCTCTGGTGATCACATTTCCCATAAGAGCTAATGTTAAAAAATTTTTTTTTACATCACTTTTATTTTTTGCGCGTAGGATGGGTTTTTAATGAATAAGGTCTATTATGCCGTTTTTTGTGTCAAGGGTCAGGGAAAATAACTCAAATCGCCTTCCTCACGCTTTTTGATAAATATTCTTCTTTACTGTTCACTCTTGTTTACAAAATCGATATTGAGTTTGGCGACTGTTATAAAATTATTAATATGGTGTAAAAATACTTCATTTTGTTTAGGTTATTATTTTTGTTTATTATGTAATTTATCTCAAGTTTCTTGCGTTTTCTTTCTTCGATTGTGTCGTGTGTGTGTACGAGTGAAATAATTCAATACTCTAAGTTAGTGAAAACAACCCATTCCTTTTTGATAAAACCCCGCAACTTATATTCCAAACGTTTTGAACCTTACTTGAGGTTTTTCCAGCTCCGCAATGTGGCGCATCGTGCATCGTCATCGCACTTCGGATTACCCTGCGTGGGTTCACAGGTTCGATTCCCGTGGGGGATAATTATGTGTGAGAATATTGCTGGACTCCTCGCCGCCGTGAGGTGCTTAACGTAACCGCTCGTATGTTACAGCTTCCTCCACTATCAGGTCCATGCATCTGAAACAAATAACTGGATAACTAGTTTCACTGGCTACAACCGTTCTGGGGTGATGTAGAAATCTGTTTTCAGTGAATTCGATACAATAAAGAACCCATTTTTAATCCCGCTACTGGAAATTGTGTACCAATAGTAATTCGAATGGATTCATCAGAAAGACTCTTGGACTGCCTTATAGACAGTCGGTTTTATTTTGGGGCCAGTCAAACACAGCTACCGTTCTGTCATGACAAAGAATTTCATTTATCATGGCCAATGCCTACACGATTAGGCAGATAGTTAGGTAGTCGCTGCTCATGAACTTAGATGACGAAACTAGGTGATGACAGGAACCAGCCTGCAACGGCTGAGATTTCGGTTTTGACACATCATTTCCCATGAGAATCGAACTTGTGAATCCTTGTTGAGTTATTGAATATACACGATTGCCTTCTATTTGTGAAAACATTTTTTTCTATTTCTCCCTAGGATGTCAATATGTATATATGTTTGTAATGAACGAAAAAAACAAGAATTCATTTGAAAATAGAAACAAAACAAACAAGAAAATATGAATAAACATCTTTAATGATCATGAACGACACTTTAATAACCCAGCAAAACTTAAACTCGTCTAAACAGATATCATAAAATTTAATTCTTTTTGGATTCAGATAATGCAATAACAATTGCATCAAGTACGTTTCTGACAATATGATCATGTATCTCTTCTTTTTTCTTATGTTTTGCGTCTTTAACCATTGCTGTCATTTCTACAGGATTCGTTGTACTTTCAACCAAACCTGGTGTTGTTTGTTCTGTTGTAGAAGTTAGGCCTACAGTTGAGTTGCTTTCCGAAGTGCAATCTTGTACCGAGACGCAACTGAATGTTTATATACAGTATAAGGGAATGTTATATAACTTTAATGATGTTATGAGTGTAAAGAATTTGGAGTGTCATCACGGCAAATATATAGGATGTCCATAAAGTCTTAATTTTTTTTTTCAAATTGCAAAGAGAATTCATCGAAACCATAAGATTGTTTCGGCCCTCACTGATTTTAAATGAAGTAAAAATACAAATATTGATTAACAAACCTGATATATTGAGAACTGATCTCATAATGAATTTGAAATGTAGTAAAATGTAGTATGTTACTTTTAATAGCAAATTTTCACGCTAATTTTGCTTACCTTCCATCTTTGAAAATTGGTAGTTCAACAGGGCATGCGCAATCACCGAAGCAAGCTCGCGCGCAGAAAATGCTTACACCTAACTCATCTAGGTTGTCGCAAGATAGAACGCACCCATCGCCACAGCTGCCTTGCTCCATGTTGGTTGGGCAATCGCCTGGATTGAGTATTGTTATTAATACAAGAGAGTAATGCTTAAATATATAGACACGAATGCCACAGCGAAGTAGTATCAAATCCTTTACGGTATCGATAGTCTGACCACCAGATCACTGAGATGGGATCACGGAACCACAACACGAAATTTTTGATTTTGATGACTTCATCACACAGAACTTCGGAGTGGAAAACCAATCCTATAGAGCCCACAAATATTTTTAAAATTAATGAAAGTAATAGCTTTCTAGCGACAACAGCAAGCTTTAACCACTAAAAATAGCAATTGTTCCAGTAGTTAAAAAGAAAAGCGATCCATAAATCCGTTTCATGTCTCATAAATAACGGAATGTGTGCGCAATACCCACATTACATCAAATTCGGGCATTTGTTATTCCTTCGGTATGTTTGACCATCTACAAATCATTTTGTGTATCTATGGAAACTGAAAACTCTCTCTTTGGTGTGTAATTCGTACGCATAATGGCAATCATACAGAAAATCAATAATACAATCCACATTGAACCATTACAACTGATGATTGTTGAACTTTTGATTACTATTGTGGCACTGTACTGCAAGATATTGTTGGAATGTTTAACTATTACGATTACGAAGGGAGTAAACATCTACGTTTTTCATCATTGTTTCGTCAGCCAGAATCCACTAAAGCAGGGGTCGGCAACCTACGGCCCGCGGGCCAGATCCGGCCCGCGGAGCAATATAATCCGGCCCGCGACGCTTCACTGAATTATAGTAACAAAACGGCTGTTATGTCGATTATATTCTTTACGCAAAGGAATTTACGTGTAGACTAAATTATATTATAACGTTACAAGTATATAAGTCACAATTACTCGTTCAATGAGCCTATAATTTAGACAAATGGCAACAAAACGCCGAAAAGTTGATGCTAAGTGCAAATGGTTTAATGGCGCATAAAATATTCAAATGGACAGTCTTCGGTTCGGTTTTTAACATTCTGAAAATATGTGCGGCCCGCCAATGATCTGTATCCTTTAATTTTGACCCGCGAGCTACAAAAGGTTGCCGACCCCTGCACTAAAGGAAGCAGTAACGTGAAAACAAGGTCATCAAATTCAACTCTTGCTACCAGAGTTCTGATGACGGTTTAATAAACGTGATTTCAACATACTTAAATTCTTTTTGTTATATATATATATATATACTTACTTGGAATCAGTGAACCTCCTTCTAGTGTAGGCGTCAAAGAAATCGGTGGTTGGTTGTCGACTGAAAAATATTAATGGTGTGACAATCAATATCTTTCCGTGATATAATTTTAATAATACCAAAGAGTGAACACAAAAATGTTTTTGAATGAGAAGCATATTGTGTAAATAGCTGCTGTTGCAATTTATTCTTATCATTATGCTGACCGACCTTCAAGTGTTCTTTGTGGTTGATTACAGTCTCCTTCCGTTATGCTGATATCATCAATAGCCATATCAGACTTATAATTTGAACCACGCTTACCTTCAAATGTGATCTGTACAAAAATAGCAGCTGAAACACGCAGATATTTCTCTGGGAATCGGGAAAAAATAAAATGTGTTGTTGCTGTAGGGCTCACACCTTGCGAAGGTATTTATATTTAAACTCGAGGTCGATTATTTTAGGAATCCACGTTTTTGGACAAACATGCCTTTTCCATAGCATTAAAAAAGTTTATTCGTTTCCCTGGCGAAAAAATGTCTAAACATTTGATTTTAAACGAATATAACAGTTCAATATATAAGCATATATCTTCAACCGTATGAAACATTATTTACGAATCGCAAGCTTACTTCCGACGCGTTTTTTTTTTTTTAACAAAAACTCGTTTCTTGTGAAGCGCTTGCATTTAAATCCCTAACTTCAATGGGTCATCCTGGTTTGGGGTTTTCATTGAATACGAATGCATTTTTTGACCTAATAAAAAATAGTATGAAAAATTTGAAACTTGTCAAGTAAAATTTAATACCCAGCTCATTAGCGATTCCAGTGTAATGGTATATTCTCCTTCGAACCACATGTCTCCTTTATCTCCGGAAAAACTTGCCAATAGCGTCGGATTGCCTTCACCATCTTTGATGTAAACAGACAAAGAACCCATTCCTCCTTCTCCAAACATATGATACCAAAATCTTAAACATCTTTTGTCTTGGATCCCTTCTAAAATGGAAATGTTTCAAATAAAAGTAAGTTTAGGTAGTGCATTAATACCAACCAAAACTTGCGATGTGGGCGATGACACCCATTCTAAAATTCTCGTCGGTAATTTTACAACTTACATTTACGTCATAAGTTCTAGATATAACCTTGAAAATTTAAATAAATCAGTGTCGTTTCGATTAGTTCTCAGTTATTTTGATTGGATTTCTACCCGAACCCAGCACTACCAGAGTGAGAAAAAATATATTTTCGTAGTGGTCCGCAAACAGACACCAAATAACCTGAAATGAGACAATCATATTTTATAGCTTCCTGTACGAATATTCACAAAAACTAGAATGTTAATGAAATAAACGTTAACCCATTTCAAACTATATCTCCAACCGCTCTAAGCTTAGCTATGAATAAATTTATATATGTTGTAGCGACATAAACTGTTTTAAAAATGTTCTTGTCTAGTTGTCTGTATTCTATTTGAAATATTTTTTATCACACATTATTATTTGTAAATATATTTTTTAATCCAATTAGTGAATAATAGTCACAAATGTTTATTCATGCTCACTCGATATAATAGCAGGAGATTGTAATATCGCTGTAGAATCTTCATCGACTTTTGAAGCTTCAATGAACGCAAATCTACCACCTGCAATGAAAATAGAACTAACTCTCCTGGTCAGAGTTAACAGTTTTTGTGCATTTTGTTCGGATTATATGTTGACTGTGGGCTACATGTATTCTACCTCAAGACACTAAAATGCAATATTCTTACAATAAGCGGTGGCACCAGTATGGCTTATCGATTTGTAATCATTGCAGTTCGTGTCAATTTTTACAATTGTAATAAAATAAACTAATGACTTTCCGCATGGTATCAACATTTAAATGCACTTTACCTGAGCCTTCCGTCGTATGATCGGCTATTGGACCAGTATTGGCAGACGGAGTGTGCCCTCTAGTAAATAACCATTTATACTCCTTGTTTTCGTTTGTCCATCCTGAATTTAGATTAAAATAAAGTATAGAAAAGTTGCAGCTTACATTTCAGAGTTACAAAGTATCTGCAGCTGATTTTACTGATATAGTATCTGCAAATACTGTTGGTTGGCAGAGATTTCTCGAACTTGATAGCTTCTTACTAAATGACAAAACAGGGACATCAAAATTTATATTTAAACAAGTAGTTCATGGCATTCAAGCTGTATTATTTATTGATTGGTTTTTATAGCTTTTTTCGTTCAATTATATTCAGATTTAGCAGTCTATATACAACTTTTTTTTATAGGTGCTGTAAGTTGTAATTGCATATATATATATATATATGATAAAATTGTTCAAATACAAAATTATATTCATAACTTTCAAAGTTGTGGTATTTTTCCAAGAGTTAGTTGATTGACCATACATATGGTCAGAGTGGTTACCCACCTGCACAAAGTGGAATGCCGTCATCAAAATTACAGTTTAGCGTAATATCTCGATCTTCCGGATTTACTATTTTCCATTCTATTTTAAAACCTTCCAATTCAGTTGTGTAGTCAGACACAAACCATATACTGTAAAATTGTGGATGTGTACAATAAATATAAACGGTTTTTAATCTGTAAAAAACTTTAAGACTAGATAATTACTTAAGAAAAAGCATATCAAGAAAAGATACAGAAAAAAGTTTCCATCACACGTAAAAAATACTTTGACATATGGTAATGTGAAACCCCATACATATTATAGATAAGTTGACAATAGCTGAAGTGCATTTTGTTGTTAAAGGAAGAATGTGGGGCGCTCCCGTAGTATGTGAACCAAGATGGCGGACACCGGAACGTAGTATGTGTACCAGATTAGGGTTAGGGCATAATTTTATCCAATTTTTCTCATTTTACTTTTAGTACAACGACTATAGTCAAGTGACTCCCGTAGTATTTGTACCTGAAATTATGGCCTAACCTTAACCTGTTACACATACTACGTCCCGGTGTCCGCCATCTTGGTTCACATAATACATGAGTACCCAATGTGATAGATGTAAAGTATAAAATAGAAATTGAGATGTACGGTTCGTTAACGTAAATCGGACCAGTAAGATTACTAGATGCGAGTTCCCACTTACGTTAAAATTGGTGAAGTTGTAACGTTTGGATATATTGATTGTTGGCCACAGTATGTGTTTGAAACGTCATCCCCATCGTATACTCTAACGTAGTCATAAACACACAAAGCCGACGATGGATCCTGCTCCTCTACATTCATAAATGTGCTTTCATACTGGAATATTAAAAAATTACTGAACTGCATGAAAAGCTGTCAATCGATACTTCTTCACCGTTCATTCAATATAATTTTTTAAATAATTTTATCTACATTACGGTGTATAATTTTCACAAAATCCAAACGTTCTGTCAGATGCATCAAATATACGATATTATATTTATAAACTAAATTAATGAATCATAAATGTTAACTGAACGAAAAACATAAACATTTATTTACAGAAAACGTGCTTATATTCATCATAAACACAAAATATTTGTCTACCTCGATCACATGACCCGCCGGCGCTATTATAGTAAAGTTACATCTTGAGATAGGCGGGTATGTATCTGGAAAACTGGGACTCGTAATCACTCCTTCCGTTTTGTCAGTAACGATGCTTTCGCACTTTTGAGACAAAACATCGAGATCATCGACAATACCCAATTCCTCGTCTAGGAAAAGAAAAAGAATTGAAAAAGTATTCTAAATTTTATTTATTAAAATATTATTGCAATTAGGTAAATTAACAACTCAGGAAAGCAAGTTTAAAAAAGTCAATGCACTATGAAAACGACCACAAATACTGTAAAACATACCTGAATAACTAAAAACCACTGAAACAATGGAGTATTGTTGGAGTAAACGTAAAGTGATTTTTCGATCCCAGCGCGCCGTTTAAATTAATGATACAAAATAGCCATACGATTTTGGAGCAAATAAATATGATTTTCATATTCAAATATTATTTTATAGTTCGAAAATAGCTTGTGCATAGTTAGTATACACTGTTTTTATAAACATTATTTTGTTCAATGAATGCTGCCAGTGAATCATGTGACATACTTCTGGTCAATGTACATTCGCGCGATAAAATATAGATCCATACAGTTATCGAATGCATGCGTGATTCAACGTACGTGCTGTCTGAAATCCAATCCAATCGATTATTCCTAAAGGATTTCTAGTTATACCAGATTATTAGCCTTGTATAAATCGTGACTTACTGTGTATGCGTAACAATTCTGCTGTAGATAAGCCATTAAAAGCTTTCCTCGGGCCAATTGCGTGCAGATTAATAAAATTTAATATTCAAACGTCCATCATGAAAATATAAATTTATTCATAACTGTAAGCAGGGTGTTTATTTTATCAGTTGGTATTTTACCCAGATTATAGCCACAACTGCTGCTTTACATCCACCCTTAAAATGGAACTATTGGACATCGCTTTGGTCTGACAATATCGATACCGTATGGAATAAATATCGGATTAATGATTACCCCAGCTTTAAATACAAGATAATGCGGACGTCATTGAGCTTCGGCAGCCGTTTTCTAGTGCCTAGATTGGCGCGAAAGTATGATAGAACTTTTAACGATGAGGAACATTTGACTGTAATTAACCCGTCGCAGACTTCGAATGTGTAAGTAGAATTATTCATCAAACAATGTTCAGTTACATGTTGTGAATTTTTCTTTCGATCGTATGTCGGGTCGAGTATTGCTACAAAAAGTGACTTTTGACGTTTTGATTTCGATATTTTTCCAAGGAACTTTCTTTTCCATATAATATCTAGTTAAGCTCGTGGCTTAGTTAGAACCCTGACTATTTTTGTGCAGAGCAGTTAATTGCGATAAGAAGTTCATAAAAATGGTGCAACTGACTGAAACTCCACTCGTTTTACTTTGAGTAAACAGATAAGCACTAAAGGTAATTATTTAACAATGATGTTATAAAAATATCTTACCGCCAATTGTTAATAATTCCTGCGTGCTTCCGATCTTGACTAGAAGAAGTGCGATGATTATAAAGCGAGAATCCATGATTTGAAATAAGGCGTGCCACACTTTTTCACTAAAACTGTATAAACAAGTAAATATTGAATGTAAATTTCAGGGACTCTCAAAGGGTGTGTCCCAACTTTCCTACATCTAGATAAATGTACTCAAAATTGCACGCGAAACTTCTGCATGATATGGGGAATGCACGATAATAATTCAATTGAAAATGACTAATTTAGCGCCGCGGGCATGAGACATCATACAAAATATATTAAAAAAAACACACGAAAAGCAACAGATTTCTACACAAATGATTTAATACGATATCAAACTTTAGTTGAACTGAAGCCGAACATGTATCGATTATTTACGTAATTGATAATTAAACGGAAATTGAAATTCTTGGAATGCTGTGCAAAAATTACGTGAAAAAGCGCAGACGAATTGGCTTATACATTATGCTTCAAGCCTTGCAACATTTTGAACTATGATCAATCTTTAATTTCGAAAAAGAAAATTCACGTTTATTTTTAAATTTTTCACGCGGTCAACAGATTGTTACATGTTTTCCATGCTTCATTTTTTATGAAATCAGACACCACCCAAGTTATTGACATGAATATTATAAACACACTTTAGCGAATGATTTAGCCATATAATCTATTTCCAATATTCAATTAGTGACACAGAATGGTCTTTTTTACTTGTTTGATTGGCATTTATCCAATCTTGGGACTGTTTTAAACACATTTGAAATACATTATTGCGAATAATCGATCACAAAATTTACACCGCATTCAAATAAACAAGTAAGAAGACCATCAGTACTAACAACAAGCTAACTTGGAAGCTCAGAAACCATGCCTTACTTTTAATCAAATTGATATTTGATATTACGATTTACGTCTTTTTGGCAGTCTCCTTATAGCTATAGTATTATAAAGCAACTTAATTAAAATCTTTCGGCACTCTTACGATAGTAAAACTATAGTTCGTGGTATCGTTTTTATGCGTCACGATAATAAAATTTAGTGATATAAGCCGTCATAAAACTTTAGGGTGCCTTTGGCACAAAATTGTAAGTGTACTACCGCATAATCTTAACTGCGTAATGTAGATTACCGAATATGATCGATTACGTTATTTCTTAATTTCAAATAGAATGAATATCGAGGGCGTACAATTTGTATTTCTCGAATAACGAAACTGACTAAAATTGAAAACAAAAAACTATAAAAAAACATACTGATCCTTTTTCGTCGATTGGCATATATCTCGCGCAAACAATCCTTGTTCACTTTAGAATGTTCAATATAAAAGTTTTAAGCATTTGTTGCCTATAGCCAAAAGACTTGCAACTCAATTCACTCAAATAATACTTTAAACCTTTTGCATCGATCAAATATAACTTGCTATGCTAATTACTTTTGGATTTCGTGGTTTTACCGAAAAATCAAACTAATCAATATATGCAACGAGTCAGCCATTCATTAATTAAGGAACGTTTCGGTAGATCAAAGTAAAAATTGATACGCTATTTCTGGAGAATTCACTAAATTTAATTCTTCGTTATTTTAGCAGTCTGGAATTAAAAATTGCAAAGAAAAATGCCACAACGACTTACGCGTTGTTATAGAGTATACTATAATCTTTTTATCAATACCTATATATACAATACATATATATATATACCTATACAATACAATATATATACCAATACCTATATGATTTGTCTTAATTTGATCCATAGTGCCCTGTTAGTCTGGCACCCAGTGGGTTGCTGCGGGAACTGGGCTTCAAGCAATTTTTGGTACCCGTATAGTATGTGAACCAAGAGGGCGGATAGGATCGTAATAGAACTAAAATAAGAAAAATTAGAATAAACTTATGTCCCAACTTGGTCCACATACTACGTTCATGTGTCCGCTATCTTGGTCCACATACTGGGAGCGCCCAATTGTTGTGGCATCATTGAGCTTGCCTTAAAATACAGTCAGATATCTGTAAATAAATACACGAGCGCTTTCCGCGCAATATAACCTGCTGTATAAGGTAGAAATACGGATGGATATAAGGTTCCAGATATCGCCAAGCTGATTATGGTTGGAGTCTCGTAATGCCAAATTGCCCAATTGGAATTGTCAAGTTGTATGCACGAAGAGCTGGGATAGACCACTTCAGCACTTACCAAAGCCAAAACTAGCCAAATCAGAGTCAAGATTATACAAAATATTATCAATCAGTATGAATTATTATAATTAAACTGGTGTTTACAAACCATGCAAAAACACACTCAATTGCGGTCAAATCTTAGGAACGATCCACATGTTGGCCATTATGTAAATTTTACAGCAAAACCCTAACCATACGCAAAATTTCAGTTCACACAAAGCATAGAACACCACAGCAAATTAAATTATACCAGTGTGATTGTGAAATAATAATTTATGGGAAGAGAATTCCATAGTTTGAGTCCAGTATAACATAAGGCATGCCGACTCACTGATTTACTCGTGAAGGGTAGGAACAAATCGGAATTACTTCTTCGTTTCGGTTCGGTTCGGTAACGGCTTCGGTTCTTCGTCGTTTTTTTTTACAATTATGTCGTCAAATCAGTTTGGTTGCGCATAACTGTAAAAGTCAAGATCTAATGATAATATTTCAAATTTTGAGTAATGGCGTAAGTTTTCACGTCTTCTTTTTCGAAAAACAATTCTTGAAAAATGACTAGAAATACTTTGCAATTTTTACCCATGGAGCCATTCTGAGCAACTGTATCAGATGTAGCTAAGTGATAATGATTGAAACCTTGACAATAAAGATGATTGTCTAACACGCTGGGATGCAGAGGCGTAGCTTAGGGGGGGCAGTGGGGTACATATGTCCCCGGGCGCCAAGGTACAGGGGCGCCAAAATGGGGCTTGCAAAAATTTCACAAGGGTAAAAAATGGTCACAAGCAAGATCGCACCGGCGGCAGACATCTAGTCCTAGTACATGGCAAACTGCACACTTGGTCAGACCACTTACGACTGCCGACGTCATCACGCACATAGCTCGCTCACGGTCAGATTTCCATCGTAATTACATGGCCAAAAAATCTGGCCGGGAAACAAAGCAAAATTTGATTTGGTAACGTTAGGTAACAAAATGCACCCGTTAATTACGTGGTTCTGTATCGTTAAGTTCTTGCCTGCGCACTCCGATGTAAGTTGATATTAGTACTGTGCTGAAGACAAATGGAAACGGAATTTGGGTGAATGATGTTAATACAGGTTTTGAGTAATACGTGGTTTTGTATTTCGTTGTTGTCAAAGTACCGTACTTTGCGGCAGAGTTACATAAAATATATTATACTGTGCTAAAAGACCCTAATGCCGTTTTCGACAATTCGTCGAGAATGCACAGATTTTGTAAATTTCTACGACACGGACATCAATGGCCACGAACTTTTCACCGAAATTGGAGATTGCAGAATGCTGCTCAGTAACAAAACTGTAGGTCAACCAGAAACTCCTTTGGCTCTTCTTGGTTTTATTGTGTCTTTTGGAGACGACGTTTTACCTAATCTGCGAATCTCTCCACAAATTTTGTTAACAATACCAGTTTCAATTGCAAGCTGTGAACGGTCTTTAAGCAAATTGAAACTTATTTTGTCGTATTCGCGTGCATCAACGGGACAGGATCGTTGTTGAAAGAGAAACATTGGGGGAAAAAAACAGATTTTGATGACGTGTTAACCAGTTTACGACAGTGAAATTGAAAAAATGAACATTACATTTGAATTTACATATACATATATTTTTGAATAAATAATAAATATATAAATAAATATAAATTTGAATTCACTTATCGTCACGCTAAAAACCGAATTGCGTAAGTCATTTTTGGCGGTTTTGAGTTTTTTCATAAAATAGGTATTTATGTAATGCTGCGCACCTGTCTGTTTACTCAGATTTTATTTTAAGACTTCCAAAACCCATAAAAATAGAGATTTTGTATGATATGCAAATTTGTTCAATTGTTCCGTCATAATGAATTATCTTTGTTTAACGCAGGACTATTGTGACGTCACAAAGGCAAAATAACCTCGGCGAAGGATTTTCGAGCTATTTTGGATTGTTCGGTTTTCAGGACTGGTACATATAGTCAAGTTGCAAAATTGCGTATGTCCCCTAGTCCTAGACACATTTTTTCCTAAGTCACAGTGCGCCATTATGACGTCACATGACTGCGTCATACAAATTAACTTAAATCCGGCTACGATCAAAAAGTTGAACTATGGCAAATTAATGGCATAGCAGTATCATTAGGAAGTTTTTTTACGTTTTCCTCAAAACAGCTAAATATGACTTACGCAATTCGGTTATTAACGTGACGATATATAATTTGTTTTTACATATACAATTAAATGCAATAGAAAACATGATTAAACGTGGGGGTCGGGGCGCCAATTTTATATTTTGCCCCGGGCGCAAAATATCCTGGCTACGCCTCTGCTGGGATGCCCTGGCAGCAACTGCCAAGTTTTAATGTTTACTGATGACATGCGCAATTTATGATCTCCAAGAGAGATTTTCATCAAAGATATCATCTAAGAATTTTATTTCACTCAGTCTTTCAATTTCATTGCCATTGAGCACGAAAAGTTTTATACATTTTAAACATGGGTTTTATCGTAGTATAATATATTTACGGTTTTATACATTTAATTTCATGGTGGATAATTCGTCAAATCATTTTTGACTGTTGAATTTAGACATCCAAAACTATCGAGGCAATGCTTTATGCTGTCATGTGATATTATTACCTTATTTGGTATTTTGACATTGGGGACATTGGGGCCCTGTGACACTGTCGGTTCTGTTCCTTTGGGTGTGATGTGGTTGGTACCAGTACAGTGTGGTTGATTTTCGGTTGGATTCTGGTCATAAGTGTCTGTGGGAGTGCCTCTGGTCCCCGGTGGGTTATCAGGGGTGTTTGTTTGTGGTTTTGTGACTGCGGGATGGAGATTTGTTGGAAGTTTTTATTCTAGACAGTAGGCTGATATTATTGTTTCAGTACAGTGCCATTGTAGTTATTTTAGCGTTGTGTTTTTGATTGTTGTCAGGGAATTAGTTATCATCAGTACTGTTCAAAGTGTTTTTATAGTGTATATTCTGTTTTCTTGCATTGTGCCGCCTGGTACTTGTCGCTTTATTGTATGCTTGTCGTTTTATTGTATGCTTGTCGTTTTGTTTGGAGTATTTGGTTGTGTTGAGATTGTTAATTATTAAATAAATAGTATAACTTGAAGCGAATATTTATAGGAAACTTGACGTCAGACTATATTGGAAGATATTCTGAACTTGGATAATTATTTCATAGACTGCCGGTACGCGACATTTTTAATTTGCTTATGAATTCTTGATCATTTTAAAAAAACGAAATAGGTAACTACATCATGTGCAAATCAGTTTTGGTTGTTTATGCTTATATTGTTTTTATTCATGAAAGGTAACAGGTGTGATATTTGGCTTATATTTCAATTTTCCCTTCATGAGACCCTGCGTGGCATTTCATACTTGCTTACCTGCATATCTGGCAACAGTGGATAAAGATATTATTGCTCAGTTGAGTTTGATTCATTTTCCCGTCAATTGTGGCGATTGTGTGCCATCAATTGCCGGATTCTCAAAAGTTCTAGTGCTGGTTTAGATATGGATATGTGCAATTTAGTAGTTTGTAACTGTTTAGTGTGCCTTAACTCTTTGAACCCTAAAAGTCGGTGTTTCGGCTTTCCCGAGAACGTCTACCGACCCCGAAAGCCGGTTTCAGGCTTTGGCATCTCGCATGAGTTATGCAGCTTTGAAACATCATAACTCGCGAACCCTATATCATATTTAGACAAGTTTTATATTGTTTGAAAGACAATCTTCTTGAAAACTAATCATAATTTTGAAATGAAAATAAAATTTCGCGATTATCCTACAAAAATTGTAAAACGTGGAAATTTTTTGAAAATCTTTTGAATTACATAAACTTCATTTTGTTCTTGTTTTAACCTATTGCGATATCGACACATTTGTAGAAGTTAACGATAGCTTTTGAATGGTGCCATTATATTGAATCTATGATGCACCAGTAAAATCAGAAAATTGCATAAGCAATTTTATACAATGTTCTCCAATTCGTCACATTCAGTGTGTCTATGAAAATAATTTTTTTTCCCACTGTATTACAATATCAGATTTAGTTGGTAGTCACCAGCTATTGACATTTCAGATTCTAACAATCAAAAAACCATGCCTCTTCCTGCAGCACTAGCTGCTAAACTTGCAAAACGCGGAATCGTTCCAAAAGAAGTTGAGGAACCAGAAGAAGAGGTTATTGCAGAAGATTACGATACAAATAAGACTAATGATGAAGTTGAAGGACTTGATTCAAGGCTTGATGAATTTGGTAATTTCTTACACGAAGGTTGGGAAAAAGTTTGGGACCCGGAATACGAAACATGGTACTATTGGGACGTATCTCGTGATATGGTTAGCTGGCTACCACCTAGTGATCTTGAAGCTGTGATCACATATCCAGCAAATAGTACGAAAACTCATACAGAAGAAAAAAGAGAAAATGAACCAAAGCGAAGTAAACCTAAATCTAAATCAAGACAGGTATTTCTGTATGTGTATGTGCTCACCTTTTTTATACCAGTATATGAATTATTCAAGGTACCCTACAACTTGCTTGTGAGTTGTGACTGTTATGTACAGTACATTGTTATCTGAATTGTTACTTCTGCTTCTTTATCAGTTACTACTATTGAATTTTTATTGGTTGTAATATCCTTGATATTAATCAACCACAGTTTAGTCCTAGACCAATGTATCATGTCTGCCCACTGGATGTCACACTTCATTGATTCCTGTTGGAATTCATAATCATGAAAATAATGATATTTGATATGTGATTATATATGCATATCATGAAAATTTGATTGTATGATTCTCCTATTTCTAGTTGGATATGTTCAATATTTCAATTGGGTGGTTTAATGTACGGTACATGTTCGAAACACTGCTTTATATTTTATGGTTAATTGGTCACTGTTATGTGGAGTAAACGTTGGTTTTCATATCATCATCAATGCTAACCTGCTACAGGGTACGTCTAGTTCAATATTGATTCTAGTTCATTATCTATTCAATATTCAACACTAATCATCATGGATAATGTGAATATGAGGTCCTCAGTTTTCTTCTTATCCAGGATTGGTATTGGCAAGCCTATCGACATAGAGCAGTGGTGTTTTGTTGAAGCTGTAGCTAAACTTACCATATTAGATATGGCTATCAGAAATTTTGGTGGCTCCAGCTCCAAACGATATAATAAATCCACATTTAAAACTTTTTCAGATTTCATACAAATATGGTAATAAAATCTATTTCTCTTCAGCCTATATATTTATTTGAAATCCTTATATCATTGTTTCAAGTGCCTCTGTCATGAATATCCATTTGGACTGATTTCCATTTGGACCAACACTTGCCAATACCAGTAAAAGATATTCAAGATTTGTGTGCCAAAAACAACCTAATTACTTTTGATCTATGAATTAACTATTTCTTCACTGTCCAATTTGTACCTGTGATATTCTTCAATTCATGCAGCTTAATAAGTTCTCCACCCCTATGAAATAGGAAAATGCAGTTTCATGCAGCAAAGTGGTGTTTTCGACGGCTAATTTCCTTACTATGCGTAGTCAAAATTTTCAAATTTTTCAAGCCTTGTATGACCCTAATATCTATGTAACTTATCAGGTGCGATGGCAGAAACCGGCACCTGCTGATGATGAAATTGATCCAATGGATCCAAGTTCCTATTCTGATGCTCCTGTTGGTGATTGGAGAAGAGGACTTAAAAAATTAGATGATGCAAAGAGTGGAGTAGATTCTACTGCATCCGGTCCTTTATTTCAACAGAGACCATATCCTTCACCTGGTGAAGTTCTTAAAAGAAATAAGCAAGCTTTATCAATGACTGGTCCTCAAAAACCTCAATGATACTAGACTGGATTTACTTGCGTAATTATTGAAACAAAAGGCGCATGTGTAGCTGATGCTGGTAGTTCTCCATTTGGGTTGATGGAAGAGGTGCAATTTGATTACCAATGTGACACTGATAAGAAGATATCAAGTACACATATATGCTACTTCTATGCGATACATGGCTTTCATGAAATGCTTATATGTAGGAATTGTTGAATTCTAACAAATGAATTGCTTGTTTGATTGAAGCCCATCTCACTTATCATGTGCCCTTGTCACATGAATATTACAGGTGGGTTTATAACGAGTCCACATAACAGTGAAGAATCAATATTTTGCAAATGATATAGATACAATTCAACTTACGGTAACTATGATGGATTTTTATCAACTTTTAAAGCATTTGTCTTATATGTTAAGTTTGATGTTTAAAACTTTCACCTTAGGAAATTTTCAAACATTGTTTTTGGTTTCATCTGTTTTTCAAATACTAAAAAGCTTTTGTGCCACTCTTCGTATATTTGTTTATACCAGACAAGTTTTTAGATAAAATGCTCAAATAAAAAATTGAAATTTGATTTAATAAAAAATCCTACTTTTTCATCAAAACTTCCGTTGCCTTCAGAAAAGTTGGAATGAACCGGTTATATTGATATTCTGGATTATGGGCAAATTTTTTTTTTTCTCAACATGTCACACTGAAGTGCGTACGTGCGCAGTTTTCGTTGGATAAGGAATTTTTGCAATATGTTTATGATGACTCCATATTCCATTTTTAAATGCTATCTTTTAACGAGGTCTTTGAAGATTGGACCCGACAACGTTGGCATAGTTTATTCTAAAATCACTTGGTGTCGCATGATTGAATAGTCCATTTAGTCGACGACGCTGCTCTTCATCGTAAATATGTTTATTAGAAGGGATGGTTTTGAGCATGTAAACCAGTTTGTAAGCGCAAACTCTCCTAAACATTCTTAAAATAAGTATACAAAATTTTGCAATAGTAAAATGTAGGGATAAATTTTCTGGTTTTGGGGAAAGGTCCATTCAGTTTGCGGTTGGGCGTCTTCAGCAACTGCGACAACACGATCTTAGATGATGTCATGACATCGCACGCCATTAGTATGCTATATTGCGGAAAGCGTAACGCGCGAGTATTTTTTTTCTATTATGTCATATAAATATGTTAATATAGTGCTTCCAAACCTCTTTCATATCACGATCCACTTTTATTTTCCTTTTTTTGTGCGACCCGCAATGAGATGTCGATATATGACAAAAGAAACAACGTGCCCCCATGCAATTTGCTATTAATGCGAAACTTGGGTTTGGATATTATCAGATCAAATCGAAACTTGATTGGAGACACGCTCACACGCAACGTAGCATTTACTTGCTCTTGGCCCAAAGTCATTTCCTGGCTTGATGAAACCACATTTGATATAATCAGGGACATATTTTTCACTAGAACTTTTCGAGCTTACCTTTTTTTATTTTACTTCGTTACCTTTTATTTTTAAAATTGTCCATTTTGTAACTTACAAGAATCAAACAAAGTTGGCGTGTTAAAATAATGTATAGATTAATCCTGTTTATTCAGTATTTAAAATGCAACTCATTGGACATGAGTTTACCAATTACATAAACCGGTGTCTTTGGTAGTGCTCACACGAATTCGCCAAATTACTAATCTGGCCTACCTACACTTCCCAACATGTAGGGGCACACTGAAGATATATAATAACGAGACCACGATCCATAATTCTAATTGTTACATTGTTTTATAATTGTTACGCACGGCAATGACAATGCCACAAATTTGCTGGATCTAATCGGAAACTATGTAACATTTGGAAATACTTCGCGACCCACCAGTACCGAACCACTGGTTGGAAAGCGGTGTCTCCAAAATGTCGTGTCCCACTTGTACCACGTATCCAATTGTACTTTGTGATCTAAGATAAAGAATTCTATTACAAAAATAGCTGACACAAGAATGTTCTTGCTAGATTTCATATACTGTACACAAATACTAGAAATGATTCTTTTAGGTACTTATTTTATTGCCAAAGGAAATAGAAACAAAAAATAAAAGTAAACACAGAAACCACATGCATACACGACGAATTAATTGTAGTAAGAAATAAAATAAGACACGAGGGAAGTTTGCACCCGCCATTCACGCAGTACTTTCAACTTTTATCAATCGCCAAATTAGAATTTATGTTAAACATTTGAACTTGTTGTTCGATTGATAGGAGCCCCGGAAGATTCATGCAAAAGAAATATTTTCTACAAGAAGGAATTCGTAGCACGGTGCTGGAACTGGAAACTTGAACAGGCCTTGTCTTTGACTGAATGACTATGAGGACTGATTGCTCTGATCACTTTCAGAATCCCTGTCGCAGTCTTTGTTCATTTCTAATTTCTGTTTTCTCCACTTGATACGTCTGTTTTGAAACCAAACCTTTACTTGTGTTTCGGCAAGGTTCAGCTTCTTTGCCAAATGAAATCTGTCAGTTCCAACTAAGTAATGTTGCTTGGAGAATTCGTCTTCCATTTGCTCAAGTTGGTCTGGAGTAAAAACTGTTCGCAATCTTTTAGACTTCCTGTTGGCTTTGTTTTTTTCTTCGATGACAGCCGTAGGCGCATTTGACAGAGGAATTTGCATCCCATTACTGAAAAGGAACGCCGTATGTTTACCTTCCCCCAATGTATGATGGTTCATCGGTATCGCTCTGATATCACACGGAAAAGATGGCATCGGCCTATGTCTCATCTCTGGTGTAGAATGTAGGTTTGGTATACCAAATCGCATAGGAATAGGTGACGGATTATGGCCTCGATAGATTGCACTTGGTAACGTTGGAAGTTGCTGACGGTTGATAGAGGGTGGTGGTAGGAAAGGCGAGGCATGGTGGAACTTTCCATCTAGTCTCTGGATGGGAGACGTACGGGTAATGGGGCTCGAACTTATTGACTTTTCATCGTATACTTCTATGCTGTTTGTTTCTGATTCGTTGTTTGAGGTATCAGAATCGACGGATCCGGTAGAAGATATGCCGGAGTCTCGTGAGCGACCATCTTCGACTTTGCGTTCTGGAAGAGAGAACTCATCTGAATCTTTCCTAATTCGTTTGTTTGCACGACCTTCCTCTTGTTCTTTTTTGCCATCTTTATCGAGGATGGAGTCAATAGTAAAAAGTTTCCTTTTCTGTGGTCTGCTCTTCTCTGATTCATTTTTGGGTGACGAAGATTTATAAACAGGAATTAACTCCGTAAAACTTGGTCGTTGCACAAGAGAAGCATCGTACGCAATTCTTGTTGGAATTACTGTATTCCTGACTTTGTCTTCTTCTATGTAGTTCGTATAGTAATTTTGAGCTCCGAAAGTAAAACCCTGAAAGTTCATCAACGATTGATACGGGTGTCGGTATGAAATCATATTGCCTGATAATATGCTTGTAGTTCTGTAGCTTGCTGATGTTAGTCGAACAGCTGAATTATACTGAACTTGTACATTCCTGTTTTGCCGGAGAGTTTATATAGCATCAGCGAGATAAAAACCCTTTTTCCTTGTTGTTATCTCTTCAGAAGCTGCGGCTCAGTAATTAGTGTAAGACAACAGATTAATTCCGCGTGATACCCGAGGATCACACGATAACTACCGCCGTCGAAACGTTATCTCAAACTAACTTTCGGATTATGCGTTTGAACTGAGGTTCTACGTCACGGCGGGATCTCCTCGCACGTTGTTGAGAAATTTCTTGACCGACGTTTGTTCTTCTCTACTGGATAAATGTTTGGTCATTATGCTAAACAACACCCGACTTGAAATTGATCCCACTGTTTAAATTCCGCCCAAATATAATACCTATGTCCTATATTCTATCCTTTTAAATTTATCATAGCGGGTGGTAATACACTAGGACTAGAGTTACATTCTAGATACTGCTAAAATTTGCAGCATGGCTGTAATTGTATTGTCGACTTGTCAAGCAATTTAGCACGTACTATGATTTTCATTAACTTTTACCTTATTATATTCGATAAATACAATAAACAATACAAAACCTACATCTCTACTCACTGAGCAACAGTTGCTTATAGTCGAGCCAGTATTGGCACGTGTATCTTGAATGAACCTGCCTGAGCAGCGATCCGCATCCATGGCAAATAAATCACCTAATTCTCATAGAAGATTGATCCATTAGCAGTTTTGGTATTCAAACGATACACAATCCGTCAGTAATTGAATTGTAGTCTAATTTATTTACTCTTGTGAAACAATGTTTGGGTGAACTTTCGACATTCGCACCGTGCGGTGTATAACCAAGTCCAAAGCACACAATAAACATCCGTCCATTAGAATGTAAAGAATATAATCGGAGTTAATGAACTTCATTAAATTGAGGCAGAATCATATGAAATGGGAAGTAGGGTTCACAATTGCCGTGCACATAAAATTAAATATTTTACTATTTGTACATATTTTATACACTGCAATAGCATTCGTTTTTGTCGTCTTTAGTGTATTGGAGCCCAATTTCGATTGATTTGTATTCCCAACTCGAGCTTGAAATTTTTAACTTGTGTATGTTTTGGCAAAATTTTCAGAGGTTCGTTATTGTAATTGTGGTTCGTTTGCCGCGCATCTTATTGCTTATCTATTATTATACCAACGATGATAAAGTTATCATATAATATATGTATTAATATGATAATATTGTTTTAACGCCAGATAACATATCTTTAACTATGCAACCAATATAAATAGTGATTTTCTGATAAGGATAAGAAACTGTTACAAATAAAGATGTCTATGGATGTCATGCTGGGTTGGGGCTCGAATTGATATTATTTTTCAATTTAGATAAATTGATGGAGAATCTCCACTGTATTAAACATGTTTCAAAACATTTTCCTGTTTCATTCATCATAGATTCAGATATTTTTCGTCATAAACCTGGATTTCGTGCGATTCAACTGCTTTTGTGAGGGTGTGATTGAATTTATGGTCACTTAAGGGGGATGTTTTTTCAATTTATCTAACCAAACCAAGCCAATAGAGAATATCAAAATGTTCTATTTTTTCCGATTATTAAACATGCTTTTAATCCTCGCAATATCTCCTTATTCAGCACGCGCGCCCGCAGCGAGGGCTATGAATGGCACACGCCATCGGAGGTTTATCAAAGCGAGAATTATCTGTTTGTAATCCAAGCTTAAATAATTCGGTATTAATTGAAGTCAAAATTAAATTGATGTAATATTATTAAATCAGGGATCAAAAGTTGACGAGATTATTTATTGGTTCTTTATTCTATGACCCTGATTTACCTTCTCAAATTGAAGCTTTTTTAAAATTCAGAATCCTTATGCACGATAAGTCTTGAATGGTGAAGGTACCGCACACAAATCGAATAACTCATTTCTGAAACTATGAGAAAGCGAGCATTTCTCTCTTAGAAAACTGGACACGATATATCGTATTTTGGTTTTGTATACCATGTATTTGTCACTTTATGTTACTTCGACTTCGATTTTGCGTATTTCATACATTAACCGACAGTCCGACACCATATCTCGACAACATCGTCATGCTAATCACGCATCGAAATATGTTTTTGTCGTTTGTTTGGTTTCTCTTCACAAATACACGGAGATTTTGACGAGGAAATAACTTGAATATTTGCGTCTCATACGATAAATATGCATAAGAGCAACCTAGTTAAAATCCGTGTCAAAATCCTAATATTATTACGCCTCCTTCCATATTGAGGATCCTCATAATTATCATTGGTTGAAAAATAAAACATAAAAGCCGGAGGTTTTCGAATTGAACACAGGTGCGACATTGCCGTGGTAGAGTATTAATTTAGCCCCATTAATAAACATGAGTAAATAGGTATTCATGAATAATTGCTGGTTTAAGCAAGTGTAATTTATTTATCAGCAATGCCTGCTTTGTGTCGTACGATAACCTGTTGTAGCACCACGTATCTTGTTTGGTCCGCGATTGAACTTATATGCGATGGACATAATTAAAGTACTATAGTTTTGAAGTTTGACATTTTTTTAGCCTGTTTTTAAGTTAATTTTAGCTATTGCACGACTGTAGCCCCTTAGAAGACGTAATAGTTTCCCACAATCTTCCTCACAAGCATCAAGATTCCAAATACAGAGCATTCTTTTTCAGTCGACGCGACATTTTAGAATATAATGAAGAAAATTTTTTTTTTAACATTTACGTCGTACTAAATGGAAGTTTTATTTATAATTTTATTATAATATTAAATAATAATATAATTTGTTATAATATATTTATTATATAAACGAATTTTTATAATTTTACTTTGAATTGTAAATATAGCTCGGGTTCAGATTGACAACTATTGTTTGATCGCGATAAAATCACCAGAGGACATACACGCTGTTCTGCATGCTGGGCCGTAACTGTCATGTTCTTTGATGTTACTTTGTTATGGTGGAGTTTCAAACGATGAGTGGTTCATTGCAACAGAGAGCATCGTTTCAAACAGTCAACCTTGATAGTTAATGACCATAATCTATCTATGTTGATCTTCAATTATTGCTTTTATGTTTATTGTTTAAATTGCGTGAGATCCAACCAAATTGATGTGGTCAATCAACTAAGAAAAAACCTCCCACATTTTAAATTTTTACTATGACAATGCTGTTGCGATTATTCACCTAGCTTAAGTTAATTATGTTGTTAATGAACTGCCATGTTGTTATCAATTTTCTAGAGATTTCAGTAGCGAGTGATTTATTGTAAATATTATGAAAATCTTTAATGCATAATTATGCCGTAGACAGGTAAAACGCCGTGCATTTATTGTGGATTTTTTTCTTACTAACAGAGAATCTGTAACTGAAAATGTTCCTTCTAATGATATTGTGATTATAAGTGACGAAGTCAACTTTAATTTATCTGGTTTCGTCAAAAAGAAAACTTTCCAGGACTGGGCCGGAAGTAACCTTAGAGAGCTACATAACATGTGAGCTGCATTTAGTTGCTAATTTTGTAGTTTGGGTGCTTATTTTTCGAGAATGAAAAAAAGGCGGTTTAGGTTACTTCAGCTCGTTATATGCAGATTCTGTGCGATGTTAAAACTCAATTTTAGAAAAACATGCAACGGATTGGTTTCAACAAGCTCGAACAACTGCCTCTGAAAAAAACAATTAAATAGATGTTTTACGAGGACCATTTTCAACACATTTGATTTCTTTGTATTATGACATATTTTTAGCACTCAAAGTCTTGAAGAGTCTTATGAGACCCGTTATTTAATTAAACATATTGCTGTTTTATTTTAATCAATCGTGCTTGTCCACCTCCGCCATACTTGTCTTCGAGTCTTTACAACAAAGCAAACTCGGTGCTTTATGTTATGGTACATGTACCAGTGTCCAATGAGCGACTTTCACGTTCCCTCTAACACGGATGTGAGTTGCTGCGGCGATGGGGCTTTAATAGCAATTTTTATTTGAATAATCATATAACGGACTTCAGCGTGAGTTAAATAAGCTTGTTTTACCTGGAGTGTATATCTTTATAAAAAATGTGAAATGCGTTCTTAATTTCATGCCTGGCGTTATTGAAAAATGTTAATGATTTGTTCACTAAGTGCACGCTTTAGTTTAAAAAGCTTTATGCCAAGATAATTTGTATAATACTTAATCGCTGATAACAATGAATAAAACGATTAATTCCATCTAACTCGCTCGATCAAAAGTATTCATTTAACCAGCTAATGAACGACGCGTGTCGTTCAAACATTAATACGATCATTAATAACTTTATGTATTAATATATAAATATTATAATCCTAGCTTAAATAGAATAATATCGAATCATAATTGAAGTTGAAATTACAAAATGCATTGGTTTTATTTAGAGTTCTCATCAGAAAACTTGTTATCTATTGTTCTGTAATGTTAAATTGTAACGATGATTTTAATTGATATTCGTTTGGAATAATTATTTTGTTGATGTCGCGACGACCATCCAATTATGTATATATATATATACATAAAATATCTTTTTAATGAATTAGTTTTTTTGAATTCCCACACAAGTTATTCTTTGAAAATCTGTTATTTGAAAACAAAAGAGCTTAGCTAATCATGCAGTTGTCACATTCGTGGATTCATTCATCTTATTAAAACAGAAATATTTTGCTTTATTTTTGGTTTTGGAAGTTTTGCCGATTGTCTTAGAGACAATCTAGCAACCACATGTCATTATATTCGGACTTCTGTGGTGATAGATCAATTCGGAGAGTGAAGTACGATTCACAGTACCGGTACGGCACTGTGGTTTTTCCGACGTCGACTAACCACCAGAGCGCGTACGCAGAAACGCCACAAGGTGCGCAATTTCCAATTTTGATGACGTCTTCACATACACAAAACGAATTCCAGAGAGCCCACACAAATTTTTGAAATAGATAAAAGTCATATCCTCTTAGCAACAACAACAATCACTAATCACTGAAAATTTCAAAGCAATTGGTCAATTAATTGAAGAGTAAAGCGATTTTTTTCATAACAGCAGAAAAAGAATTCTATCAACAACAACATAATATCAAAACCAAAACGATATATACGTCTATTTCGTGCCCCAAAATGATTTAACATGCCATCCATTTATGTACTTTTCGCGAATTGATTCGTTGGGGTTGGATACCAGAAACTCCAATACTATTTCATACTGTGACGTAACAATACCGGTTTTTGGAATTGATAAAAAAAGCAATTTAAATAATAGACTTCGATTTGTAGTTGGCGTAGATATGAGGTTCCTTCGCAAAACTGTACAGTTTTTGTGTTCGAGATAGAGAGAAATGTTAAAAAACCTCAAGACGGAAAATTTGAAGTTACGCGAGAAACTCAAATTATTGCGCCAAGAAACAGACAGGTCACTAGACGAAACAGTAATCGGAGCGTTAACATCTTCTCCAACTTCTGAAAGATTGAAGTTCATTTTGGAAGACCAGGATACCGACATCGCAGGTACGATGCTTTCAGATAAAGCAAAAGTTGTCAGAGGAGAAGCTTCAAAGCGAATAGGAGTTCTATTACAGGACTGGCGTGAGTTTAAAGAAACATCTGAAAATGAACTTAGAAGACGACTCCGCACAGAACAAAATTTAAAGGAATTAATTGCACGAAAAGATAGAGAAATGGAAGAATTGTCTTACGAAATTTCGTCTTACCGATCATTGGCACTAGAACAGAAAAACACCATTGAAATTCTCCTAGAAGAAAAAGAAATTGGCGAGAAATGTAAAGTGAAATGTGCAGAGTTAGAAAGGTTGCTAGCGAAAGAGAGAAGATACAACGGCGAAGTCTCCGCGGAATTGAGGTCAAGGGATGATATTTTGCGACAAAGCGCTGCGGAAAAAGAAGCGCTCCTGGCACTGAACAACGAGTTAAGGTCAGCCAATATTGCTCAGAAAAAAAGACTTGAAATGTGCGAAAGAGATGTCACAGAAACCAGTCGCGAGCTAGAAATGCTGGAGGATATGGTAAAAGCTTTGCAAGATAGGAAATCATTTTTAGAACCGCATGCACCTTCGCCATCTTCAAAAATATTAGGACTTTCGAATGTGTCAGCTTCGATGCACCGTTCTTCACCAAACGGATCTTCAACTTCCAAAACAATTTCTTTTCGCCCACAGTTGAATTCCACACTTAAAGACGTGTCTGATAGTTCACCTGCCAGAAACCGCATCATTCCCATTTCACTGCAAGACGGGAATTCGCAGCTGCGACCTACAGACAGACCCAGTACTTCGTCAACTGGAAGTAGTGCAAACGGCAGATCAACGGACGGATCAAAGAACACAGACGACTCTTTCACCTCAAAAAAATCAGCCATGTCTGCTCTGGAATCGCTTCAGAAAGATCACAACAAGAAGTGCAACTTTCTTGCTGAACATATAAAGAAACTGAAAGAAGAAAATAAAGAAAAGGAGAGCCGACTGCGGCAACTGGAAAATCAACCCCCGACATAAATATAATATATTTCGAAGTTTCGAATAAATAGTGTTAATTTGGAAATTTTTGTTGCATTTATTCCTAAGTGTGATTCTATGCTTTTACGTGTTGATCTGAATTTTGTCGTTGCATAATAACTTGAGGACGACTTGATAGACATTTTTATTCCTGCTGAAACCGTAAGACGACGAACGTATTTTACCATGTTTTCTTGACCGTCGTTGAAAAAGTATTTATTGCTTCAATAGGGTAAACAATTTCCAACCACTCCCAAAATATCGCTTCCGTGTGCAATCATATCTCAAGCAATTAATGTCAAAGCCACGGTCTCAGTGTGACTGTATATTTATATAAATATATCCTTTTCGCAAAAACTGGCCAACAAAACTGGGGTTATTGGAGGCGGTCTGCGGTTCGTAAAATTCATTAAAGTATGCATATTATTTTTGACTAATATCCGCTTAAAATATGGTCCAATAACATATTATCCGAATATCGGTATCGGCTTTTTGAATATTAGCGTATCGGTATCGACATTTTTTCGTTGGTATCGGTTCCGGCGACAAAAGTGGTATCGGTACATCTCTAGTCTCAAGTAGTGAGTGTTTTCACATTGTCGATATATTAGAATGCTTCCTCATGTTCATAGTTGCCCGATTTGAAGTTTATTTGAAGTCTAAGTTCTAGTCACTAGAACTTAGATCTCTACAGACCCCGATTTGATTTCAGAGTTCTATTTTTCATCCTTTGTTAATTAATGATATTAGTTATTTAGATATTTGATTACAAACCCCCTTCTTGTACTTTGTAAAATCCCTTTCAGTAGTCATTGAAATTGATCTTCATATTCACATTGTGTTTCAATTGTTTTTCATAAACCAAAGTTAATCCTATTCTTCGTAAATCCAATATTTTAATTTTTTATTTTTTTTTTCATTTATATTCCTTTTCATTTACCATAATAACTATCCAAATACGCTCATTGGGTTCATATAACTACCACAGTTTGTTCTCCATATTAGTAATTCTCCAGACCCCTAGTAATTAATATGCATGGATCAATGATCATATGAGCGTGATAACTAACTTAAATCATTAGCCCCTCGTAATTGTGCTTTTTACAAATATTTAAGTGTATAATACTCTATAATTAGCTGTTACACACATAGCAGTATGTTCCCCAGTTTTTCATTTTAGGGGGGGTGTTTCGAAATTTAGGGGGTGATAAATAATTTGCTATTAGCGATAAAACTATTTGTATTCTTAAAAAGTTGGTATGTATTTAAGAAATGATGTACACGGGGGGTCCCCCAAGTTGATTGACGGCGAGCCAAAACACACAACATAATAAAATTGTAGGGCCAGAAAAAGGGAGCGATGTAAAGTGCGCGACGACACGGCTGGGGTTCAGGGCGCGCTACAAGCGCCCTGAGAAAATTTTGAGAAATAGGCACCAAAATAGGCTCTAAGCTTGATTTTAGATACACATAGCATGGCAGTTTGTTGAAATAATAATTATAATATTTAGCTGATAGAATTCTCGAGAAATAAATAACAAGCACGGCTTTCAGCAAGTAATTTGCAACTGATAGTGACTAATGAAGTTACTTGCTCATCTAGCATAATGACTACTTATGGCTTGTTTTGTTACACATTCCACATTATTTTGAACATGTTTGTTTGATATTTGTATGAATTAAACAATGAATTAAATTTTGAAATACGCGCGTCAACTGATTATAATGGCGCATAATGTTGTATTCCTTCAAAACTGAAATATTGGCATGGAAGACAAATTGCTGAAGTTTGATTCTTTTCAATAAAGAAATAAAAACGCTGCCATTCATATAAAAAACGTCTGTTTTCAGTGCCTAGTTTTCGTTTTGTGACATCTTTAAGCTTTCCTAATATACGGCTGATATCTAAAATACTGCAGTGTGTAATCCTAAAACCAATAGGTATACATAAGATACCGGTATAATTCAATTGTTACGAAATAAACTTGCTCAAACTGTGATAATGATGTAACGATAAACGGTATCTAAAACTCAAAAGGTATCTCATGAAGTGTTAAACTATTTTGGCGGGCCATTTTAAGTCGTTGCGCGGGCCGTAAGTGGCCAGAAGACTGCGGTCTGGAACCCCTCACCTACACTGATAAATATGCCATAGTCGTTATATTTGAATACAATTATACTAGAGTTAGGAATTACAGTGTGGAATCGCACCTCAAAATTAGGGGGGGTGTTTGAAATTTTAGGGAGGGTGTTCACCCCCTATAAGGGGGGTGTAGGGAAATCACTGACACATAGTCATCCATTACCTGTGAATCTTATGCATAACAGTGAATATGGGGGGAGCTGACTTGGATGACCGTATGTATGGTCGTATCGCCCCCTACCATAAACCATAAACAATCTTTACCATAAACATTGTTTATTTATTTGTATTTATGCTATCATATTTATATTTGTTTTGGTTGACGAATCAATAAATCTCTCTCTTTCTCATACGAAAATCAACAACTTTGACCTTTCATTCCTAAGCAACAATCCCTGACTGTCACAATGGTAATATACATAATGACGCCATAATATATGAAGGTTACCTATGGTTACCTACTGCCTGTCCATTAACTGGTATGCTTTTATTGTAGGTTATTGGAACACTAGTCTTTACCTATTTCAATTTATTGCTCAGTATTTTGCAGCAGCAACCAAATTAATTACTATTATTTTCCCCATCTAGATCTCTAACTTTCAGTTAGATTCTAGGTTTTGCGACGAATACATCTGAAATTATCCTACTAATACCTGGGAATGGGCTCCAATTGTTGTAAATTTAAAAGAGGGAAGACTTCGGGTGATAAATTCAATAGCAATGAATCACTTCATGGGAATAAGAAAAAGTGGAAACTGCGGAAACAAAAAAATGCGATGGCGAGACAGAACAGCACGGAAAACAACAAAACACCTTTAGACAAGCCTATGTCTATAGATTCCGCGAACCAAGATGGATTGGGTAGCGAGAAGAAAAGTGTCAGGACAAAACAACTCTCGCTTCTGTAAGTAGACTAATTGAATTTTTTAATGCAACTGACATATTCATGCGATGCAGGAACATTTGATTGAAAATTGAAGCAATAGTTCATTATATCTTTTTCAAAAAAAAATTTATCTGTTTTGGTAACGTTAATTCATATGTCCATTTATTTTTTAAGACATTGAGATGTTACTGTGTTCAGTATACTTTTAAAAATAGCAAGTCTACAGCTAGCTATATTGTCCATGGTCGTTAGAATACTATACAATTTATGCCGAACTGAGAAATTTCCAAATAACTTATTCAGATCAAAACGTAGTTTCGTTAACATATTTTATTTTTTTTTCATTTCACATTTCTTCTTTTTTAAATATCTCATATATATATATATATGTCACCGAATTATAATTCTACCTGATATTACGCAAACACATAAATCATCTTCCATGTACATAACCATCCATCCACCCAATTTCCATTCATGCATGCAACATATAGATTTTTCGTTCGGATATTGAGTCTAGTAAGGTGGACTACGACAATTGGTCGGACATATCCAAGCTCATAGACACCAACATTCAATAATGATATGGGAATGAAAATACAATCGATCATCGTTTTCTGATGGGAAATACGAGACTGAGGTTCCGGTCACATCGTCTTCTGCAAGGATCTGTTATGCAGGTCTTTTGTGAATTTCAACAAACTATTTTTAGTTGACTTCTTGTAATCTGAAAGCGATACCTTCGATAATCCGCAAATTCCGTAATGCAATTGTAATAAGCGGATTCTTCGTTTGACAAAAAAGATCGTCTCCATTTGAAAAGAAGAGCTGCTTTTATCGATCACAATTTCATTTACGAAGAAAGAGAAGCTTGTCTTTGGTTTTTGAAATTTCTCAACCTAGTATACTCTTTGATATTCATACTTGATCAAAGTTGGAAGATCTCATTTTTGAATTCCAGTATAATGCGGTTACGTTTCACCACAATTACTGCACACAACATTTTTAAATTTATATTTATTCAAATTTGCTATGAATGATATGAAATCCATCGATATTCTATTTTAGAACCGGAGCTTTCGCTGAAGCAAATTGGGTCCACGAATCGGAATTTGAAAAGAACATTAGAAGACGTAGACAGTAAGTGTGAATTGATATATTTGATAAAATATGGTGAATGAATATCAAATCTGAAAAATCTCACGTCTTTCTTCTCGTCCATCTAGGATGCGAGAAGCATTGCGAACGGCGAGAACACATATGGTTCTATGGGCTTCAAACGTTACATACTCGACGAGAGCGTTTGTTCCTGATTATATTTCGCAACTCTTGCGAGGACTCGTTGTTGGCATGTTTCGTGGAAATGTAAGTTATCAAATTACGTTTTCTTTTTTAGAATATCAGCAATATCTAATATATTATGACTTTTCCATTACGGCCAAAGTCCGGGAAATTTTTTTCGTGTTGAACGATATGAGTATAATTGTTGTTTACTTAACTGTATATTTTTTTAAATTAATTTTATTTTTGCAGAATGTAGTGATTAGAGGAGCAAATTATCTACAAACTTCTGTCGAGGAATCAACACTCGCCATAACTAGTCAGAACTTCGCTTCAAATAAACATAAGGTAATTTGAACTGTTTCAGAAACCGTGTTGTGCTTTGCATTTTAATTTTACTTCTGGGAGCGCCTAGTTTTCATCATATGTTTTTCTTATAGAAGATTTTATGTTTAGGAAACATCAAATTGGGATTCATTGTTGACGACTAGTTCCGTAGGACATCTAAGTGCAACAATAGAATCTGCACCCAGCAAGGTTGTAGCATATTTTTATATTATTAATAAGATGAAACCACACATTTATTTTGTGTGAAATCATTTATATTTTATTGTTCAGAAATCTAAAGATTGTGAAGAACAGACGTGAGTGTAACTATATTGGTTGATTGGCGAGCATACTTAATGTGATCAATAAAGCACAGTTTATAATACAGCCAATTAAGACTTCATCGAAGAATTTGATATAAATTGACAATGGGCAATAAGGAAATACTTATTACTCAAGAAATAAATTGATTTAATTTCGACAAAATTCATTTTAAGTTCCGTGAAATAACTAGAGAAAATACTATGAATGTCTATGACTATCGTTTAACGATTTTCATAACCTCTCTTTTCATTCGTAATTATAATAACGAATCAATATGAAATTAAATTTTAGTGAACTGGAAAAGTTACGAGCGGAAAATGCCGCGTTAAGAAAAACGAATGAAGTGAGTCCATCATACATTGGGTCTTAAATTTAAATTTCTTAAAAAACATTGACGAAAAACGAATATCAACTTAAATATTGTTTTATAGAAACTCCGAGAAAAATTATGGACGGCGAAGGATGCATTGGCGAAATTTTCCGAAGTCAGTATATTAGTTGTTTTGCTATATTTTTATGTTACCTGGATAATGTTGCGTACTAAGTTCTAAATTTGAAGTTTGATGTTCTTAATGGAAAACATCACTTAGAGTTGTCCGTTGAATTATTTCTTGATTTTATTATTTTCACCCAGCTGAGAATCCCAGCTAAAGGCGATGATAAAAGAATCAAAAATGTTACCAAGAAATTCCGGTTTGATAAATCAAACAGGCACATTCCTGACTCAGGAAGTTTTGAGAACAAGGCAAACAAGTAAGTTACTCTGTAAAGAAAGCATGCGACTCCGCAGTGTCCACCAGGGATTCCTATTTGAGATTTGAAGCAATGATTAGTATTAAATTATATTGTTCGTTTGCGAAGAAAATGTAAAACTACTCCCAAACTATAATAAATGAAACACAAATTTTAAAATAAATTTTTCTAATTCCAGGTTTTTCAATCAACGTCGGAAAAGCACTTCTGTTCGATCTTGTAATGTTAGTATTAATGAATACATGTTATGATAAAAATATTCCTTTAAGGTTTCTGTTTCATATACTGGATGTGGTACTTCCATAGTATATATATGCCTCAGAGCAAATACGGATTAGGGTTAGGTCATACTTTTATTCCGATATTTCTCAAGCTTTCCGGTTGAACTGGAAATATTTTAGTTCTATTAGGAGTTCGGAGACTGTCTGTGTTAGCCCCCTGTCCATAGGTTATAAAGTAGGCAAAGTAAAGTAAAGTAGGCGAACAAAATATTAGTTTACTTCCATATTGGTTACCTTTCTGTAGCACCCTGTATGTTACTTAGGTACCAAGCAAATCTGTAGTTTAGTTCAATACCTGGTCCGATAGAAAATAGCGAAGATTTCCGAATATTCTTCATGTTATGGTGAGCTAAAGACCACAATATTTGATTAATATTTTATGCAAGTAATCTTAATTTAAGTTTTATCAGATGTATTTATGAAAGATCAAATTTTTTTAGAACAATGTAAGAGAGGGAGGCATTGGCGAGAAGAGCAAAAGAAAATATCCAGCTCCTGTGTCTGACTATCGAGGAGTATTTCAAACCAAATTAGTAAGTGTGGTATACTCTGATGATAAATTACATTAAATACTGTAGTGATGTATGTTCATATTATAACGTATAAATATAAAATTGGCTTTATTAGACTGAGTTAGGGAGGAACATATCACAGATTAAGTTTTCTGAAGTTAATATTCTTTTTCATAGTTCCATGCCATTCTTGAGGGAGAACTCGAAAAACTACCGTATGAAGAAATTAAATTTGGTAAGATCTTCAAGGTTTTGTTGGTTAGAAAATCTGGTTGGGATCTGTTTATATCTTGCTTCTTTCTTCCATCGAATCATGAGCATGCACTGTAGCCGAATTCGATCTCAACCGTGTATTGCTACACTAATGAGAAGATTTACCCGGTCTTGATAAATTTTTTAATAAAACAGGAATGATTTGCATGGAAATTTATGGCGTCAAAATGAACTTGCTATTACAAAATAATTTGCAGGATATCCGCTCTCAATTTTTACATTTTATACTTGAACTTATTTTCAATAAAACAGGAATAATTTGAAGGGGAATTGTATGGCGACGAAATGAACCTGCTATTACAAAATATTTTGCAGGATATCCGCTCTCAATTTTTACATTTTATGCTTGAATCAAAATTATGAGAACCTTTTTTCATAATACTACTATTTTTTGAAATTTCAGGATATCACAACATTAGATGGCCCGGGATTGCCTGTTCTCCAGCTTCGCCTATTATTTCTTATTCTGATTAACTATTTTATCTCCTTAATTTATATATATGTATTAATTATATCTATTTATAATTCTATTTCCAGTATAATATACCATTTTAGTATTAAATATTTATGAAATATATATATATTCTATATGAACTATATTTTGTATTGTTGACTCTACACACGGTTCCGCGCTCGTTACGATCTGGTGGTGGCCAGTCAAAGTCGCGAAGACTATGCCCCCCCGTACCGGTATTAGAGAAGATTAGCAACCCGTACTACTTCGTTTTGGCTTTCGTGTCCTTATAATTCATCCTTGCTCTCTTGTTTCTTAAAGTTTTCTTTTAAAAACTTTCAAAATATGTATATATTATATATGAAGCATTTTTAACCATTTTGAAGTCTCCGACAAGCATCTTGTTGCTAAACATTAAGTTTTGTAGGTCGTCAGATTTTGACTGATGGGTTCAAAACAATTTTAAAAACTGTGGAGGCTAAGGAGTCGTTTTCGTCGTACATCAAGTTCTATGAATCGTTAAAATACGAACAGGAAAAAGATAATACTAACCATTAACGGCACACGTAATTCACTGCATACGAATATAAGAACAAATGACATTGTAGGATTTTTGCGGAGACATTTTACAGCGTCAAATTGACGTATCACTATAAAATCGACGAAAATTTCCCATAAGACTCCATTGTTTCGCGTTTCCTAAATATGGCACAAGATGGCGTCCATGAACTTGAAAAGTTTATTTTGAAAATATTTTCTATAATTTAACCTAATCATAATTCTGCCCGAAACCACGCAAAACCTCTCTTATACATACACGTAAGACGTAACCGTCGATTCGACGTAACCGTCGCAAATTTTTTGTTCGGATATCAAGTCTATTGCAATTGACTGGACATATATATATATCCAAGAGTATGGTAACCGAGGTAACTGATGTCACCTTTGGTACTTATGTGACTGAAATACACATGATCAATTATTTTTGATGGGGAAACGCAACTGAGGTTCCTATCTTCCTTGACTTCTGGATCTGTCGTGCAGGTCCCAAATGATTTACACCGAACTGTTTTATGCAGCAGTCTCGTAGTCAAGTATCTTAATAGTCTTTAAGCTAATGCAATTGTAATTCATGGACTTTTCTTCTGATATACAATTCAAGGTTGCTTCCCTTTCGATATATGAGATACTTTTATTGATCTTAATTGCCTCACAGAGATATAGCGTAAGAAGATTCGTTTCGTAGATTCATATTTTCAACCTGATATTTTTCTTGGCATTCATATTGGCTCAAAACTTACAAATATATATATATATATATGGCGTTCAACTTCTGTATAGTACGAATATAGTTCATGATATACATCTATAGTCTAACAATGATTTCAGCATACAGAAACACATTTAATCACTGCCCTTAAATTACGCCAATTAAATTTTAAATTGACTACGAATAATATATATATATTAAATGCTTTGATACCATTTTAGAATCGGAGCTTTTGCAAGCGCAAATTGGGTTCATGAATCACGTTTGAAAAACACTTAAGAAGACGTAGGTCGTAGAGAGTAAGTGTGCAATCATATATTTGATAAAATAAGCTACGGCGAAAACTAAACACGAATATCGTTTATCGTTCGTTTCATCATCATAGGATGCGGGCTGTGCAAACCGCTAGGATGCAGATATGTATGTTGGCCACGAGTGTGTCGAACTCAGCAAGAATGTACCTCCCATCTTGTTTTTCTCAAATTGTACGAGACTTTGTTAGAGACAGGCTTCATGGAAATGTAAGTTTTCAAATTTTTATTTTCCAATCAAATAATCTGCAGCATATAATATAATATGAATTTTATATTAGGACGCAATTCATATATTATATTAGGTCAAGGAAAGATTTTGTACGAGTATAATCGTTGTTACTTTCGCAGGATATATTTTTTATATGAATTTGATGTATTACAGAATAATGTAGTGATTGGAAGAGGAGAAAATTTTCTACAGAATTCCCGCGAGGAGTCAAGACTCGCTATAACTCAGGATAACATGCAATCAAATCAACTTAAGATAATCTGAATTGTCCCTCAAAATGTAAAATATTTTACTATATATTTCTATCACGATTTTTTTATCTAAGACTTTACGTTTAGAAAACACCTATTAGAAATGCAGTGTGGAAGAACAGTTTGGTAAACCATTCCGCTGAAACAAGTCAATCTGTCCCTCAAGTAAGTCAAGCGAGGTTGTTATGTATTTTCAAGTATAGTCAAGATGTAACTAAAGATGTTCTAAAAGCATAGTGATTGCCTGACATTACGCAAATATATGTTATTATTTTCTGTTCCACTCATTTCAATTTTTGCCGGTCCGCGAGTACATTTTTTTTTCTTCAGTTTCACCAGTAGAAAGGTTGGGGTCCACTGGTTTAGGCAATCATATCGACAAACCAACACCGCGCAAAAAAACGCAATTTAAAAACGTCACCAATGAATTCCTTTGATAAAAAATAATCCGATCTACCGGAAAAAACTTAGCATTCGAAAGTTTTAACAAAAAGTCGGATTTTCAAGGTCCTGTGATGATTCCGTTTTTTACGTGAATTGAAATACCAACCTGCCAACTGATTCAATTTACTACGGTATCATGACAGCACAGTCTAATTATATTGACACCAAGCAAAAAAATACTCACTGCAGTAGTTTACCACACCTTTGGCATTACCTGTAACCTCAAAAAACTTCCGAGTTCCGAGTAGGAACAATTTGTAGAATGAGCCGTCACGCTTGGCGGATTAAAAACCGTATTCCCATATTCAAAAAGTAATACAGCGAAATTTTATAGGAAATATTAGATCTCAAAAGATTCATAGGAAATTTAGAAATAAATAAAATTAATAGCCTTCTGAACTAACGTGTCCAATAAAGAGATATTCAATATTTCCGCAAATGACGCGGGACGCGAAAGACTATCGGAGTCATCGTGTCAGCGACACCGTGTTTGCTGAGTTCAGCAGCAGACGACGTCAAACAAACGTCAGATTAGGATAAGTAAACATTTATTTATTTTACCACCTATGGTAGCCAAATCCTAGGAGTTTTCCAATAGAACACCGACATTACTAGCGCCGGTGCACGATGCATCTGAATCAATTAATGCATCTGGATCACAAACATCAATTTCTCATTGTCTGAAATATTTATTTTTTAATCTGAAATAACGTACACTCTGAGTAATGCTCACAAACTATTGTTTCAAGCCGTGTGCCCTGCACACTTAACGAAATTATAACATAGTATTCGAATATTGGTATCGGCTTTTTGAAATATTAGCGTATCGGTATGGACATTTTTCCGTTGGTACCGGATCGGTATTGGTTTCGGCGACAAAAGTGGTATCGGTACATCTCTAGTCTCAAGTAGTGAGTGCTTTCATATTGTCGATATATTAGAATGCTTCCTCATGTTCATAGTTGCCCGATTTGAAGTTTATACGAAAGTCGAGAACTTTGACCTTTCATTCCCAAGCAACAATCCTTGACTGTCACAATGGTAATACATAATGACGCCATAATATATTAAGGTTACCCAGGTTACCTACTGCCTGTCCATAACTATTTGTTGCAATTTATCAAATAGAGATAGTTCTAGCTAATACTTCGGTTGTGCAGTTATAAAAGTCGAATGCTAGGTATGCTTTTATTGTAGGTACAATACAACACTAGTCTTTACCTATTTCAATTTATTGCTCAGTATTTTGAGGGCAGCAACCTAATTAATTACTAATATTTTCCCCATCTAGATCTCTAACTTTCAGTTAGATTACAGGTTTTGCGACGAATACATCTGAAATTATCCTACTAATACTTGAGAATGGGCTCGAATTGTTGTAAATTTAAAAGAGGAAAGACTTCGGGTGATAAATTTAATAGCAATGAATCACTTCATGGGAATAAGAGAAAGTGGAAACTGCGGAAACAAAAAAATGCGATGGCGGGACAGAACAGCACGGAAAACAACAAAACACCTTTAGACAAGCCTATGTCTATAGATTCCGCGAAGCGAGATGGATTGGGTAGCGAGAAGAAAAATGTCAGGACAAAACAACTCTCGCTTCTGTAAGTAGACTAATTGAATTATTTAATGCAACTGACATATTTATGCGATGCAGGAACATTTGATTGAAAATTGAAGCAATAGTTCATTATATCTTTTTAAAACATTATTTATCTGTTTTGGTAACGTTAATTCATATAACTGTTTATTTTTTAAAACATTGAGATGTTACTGTGTTCAGTATACTTTTAAAAATAGCAAGTCTACAGCTAGCTATATTGTTTATGGTCGTTAGAATACTATACAGTTTATGCCGAACTCACTGAGAAATTTCCAAATAACTTATTCAGATCAAAACGTAGTTTCGTTAACATATTTATTTTTTTTCATTTCACATTTTTTTTTTTAAATATCTCATACATATGTCACCGAATCATAATTCTACCTAATATTACGCAAACACATAAATCATCTTCCATGTACATAACCATTCATCCACCCATAAACCCTTTGCAATATATAGATTTTTCGTTCGGATATTGAGTCTAGTAAGGTGGACTACGACAATTGGTCGGACATATCCAAGCTCATAGACACCAACATTCAATAATGATATGGGAATGAAAATACAATCGATCATCGTTTTCTGATGGGAAATACGAGACTGAGGTTCCGGTCACATCGTCTTCTGCAAGGATCTGTTATGCAGGTCTTTTGTGAATTTCAACAAACTATTTTAAGTTGACTTCTTGTAATCTGAAAGCGATACCTTCGATAATCCGCAAATTCCGTAATGCAATTGTAATAAGCGGATTCTTCGTTTGACAAAAAAAGATCGTCTCCATTTGAAAAGAAGAGCTGCTTTTATCGATCACAATTTCATTTACGAAGAAAGAGAAGCTTGTCTTTGGTTTTTGAAATTTCTCAACCTAGTATACTTTTTGATATTCATACTTGATCAACGTTGGAAGATCTCACTTTTGAATTCCAGTATAATGCGGTTACATTTCACCACAATTACTGCACACAACATTTTTAAATTTATATTTATTTAAATTCACCATGAATGATATGAAATCCATCGATATTCTATTTTAGAACCGGAGCTTTCGCTGAAGCAAATTGGGTCCACGAATCGGAATTTGAAAAGAACATCAGAAGACGTAGACAGTGAGTGTGTATTGATATATTTATTAAAATATGGTGAATGAATATCAAATCTGAAAAATTCCACGTCTTTCTTCTCGTCCATCTAGGATGCGAGAAGCATTGCGAACGGCGAGAACACATATGGTTCTGTGGGCTTCAAACGTTACATACTCGACGAGAGCGTTTGTTCCCGATTATATTTCGCAACTCTTGCGAGGACTCGTTGTTGGCATGCTTCGTGGAAATGTAAGTTATCAAATAACGTTTTCTTTTTAGAATATCAGCAATATCTAATATAATATGACTTTTCACTTACGGCCAAAGTCCGGGAAAGTTTTTTTTTGTGTTGAACGATATGAGTATAATCGTTGTTTACGTTATTTTTTAAAATTAATTTTATTTTTGCAGAATGTAGTGATTAGAGGAGAAAATTATCTACAAACTTCTGGCGAGGAATCAACACTCGCCATAACTAGTCAGAACTTCGCTTCAAATAAACATAAGGTAATTTGAACTGTTTCAGAAACCGTGTTGTGCTTTGCATTTTAATTTTACTTCTGGGAGCGCCTAGTTTTCATCATATGTTTTTCTTATAGAAGATTTTATGTTTAGGAAACATCAAATTGGGATTCATTGTTGACGACTAGTTCCGTAGGACATCTAAGTGCAACAATAGAATCTGCACCCAGCAAGGTTGTAGCATATTTTTATATTATAAATAAGATGAAACCACACATTTATTTTGTGTGAAATCATTTTTTTTATTGTTCAGAAATCTAAAGATTGTGAAGAACAGACGTGAGTGTAACTATATTGGTTGATTGGCGAGCATACTTAATGTGATCAATAAAGCACAGTTTATATTACAGCCAATTAAGACTTCATCGAAGAATTTGATATAAATTGACAATGGGCAATAGGGAAATACTTATTACTCAAGAAATAAATTGTTTTCAATTTCGACAAAATTCATTTCAAGTTCCGTGAAATAACTAGAGAAAATACTATGAATGTCTATGACTATCGTTTAACGATTTTCATAACCTCTCTTTTCATTCGTAATTATAATAACGAATCAATATGAAATTAAATTTCAGTGAACTGGAAAAGTTACGAGCGGAAAATGCCGCGTTAAGAAAAACGAATGAAGTGAGTCCATCATACATTTGGTCTTAAATTTAAATTTCTTAAAAAACATTGACGAAAAACGAATATCAACTTAAATAATGTTTTATAGAAACTCCGAGAAAAATTATGGACGGCGAAGGATGCATTGGCGAAATTTTCCGAAGTCAGTATATTAGTTGTTTTGCTATATTTTTATGTTACCTGGATAATGTTGCGTACTAAGTTCTTGTTTTTTAAATTTGAAGTTTGATGTTCTTAATGGAAAACATCACTTAGAGTTGTCCGTTGAATTATTTCTTGATTTTATTATTTTCACCCAGCTGAGAATCCCAGCTAAAGGCGATGATAAAAGAATCAAAAATGTTACCAAGAAATTCCGAGTTGATAAATCAAACAAGCACATTCCTGAGTCAGGAAGTTTTGAGCACAAGGCAAACAAGTAAGTTACTCTGCAAATAAAGCATGCGACTCCGCAGTGTCCACCAGGGATTCTTATTTGAGATTTGAAGCAATGATTAGTATTAAATTATATTGTTCGTTTGCGAAGAAAATGTAAAACTACTCCCAAACTATAATACATGAAACATAAATTTTAAAATAAATTATTGTAATTCCAGGTTTTTCAATCAACGCCGGAAAAGCACTTCTGTTCGATCTTGTAATGTTAGTATTAATGAATACATGTTATGATGAAAATATTTCTTTAAGGTTTCTGTTTCATATACTGGATGTGGTACTCCCATAGTATATATATGTACCAGAGCAAATACGGATTAGGGTTAGGTCATACTTTTATTCCAAATTTTCTCAAGCTTTTCGGTTGAACTGAAAATAGTTTAATTCTATTAGGAGTTTGGAGACTGTCTGTGTTTAGCCCCCTGTCCATAGGTTGTAAAGTAGGCAAACAAAATGAGTTTACTCCATATTGGTTACCTTTCTGGAGCACCCTGGATGTTGCTTAGATACCAAGCAAATCTGTAGTTTAGTTCAATAACTGCTTCGATAGAAAATAGCGTAGATTACCGAATATTCTTCATGTTATGGTGAGCTAAAGACCACAATGTTTGATTAATATTATATGCAGATATTTTTTATTTAAGTTTTATCAGATGTATTTATGAAAGATCAATTTTTTTTAGAACAATGTAAGAGAGGGAGGCATTGGCGAGAAGAGCAAAAGAAAATATCCAGCTCCTGTGTCTGACTATCGAGGAGTATTTCAAACAAATTAGTAAGTGTGGTATACTCTGATGATAAATTACATTAAATACTGTAATGATGTATGTTCATATTATAACGTATAAATATAAAATTGTCATTATTAGACTGAGTTAGTGAGGAACATATCACAGATCAAAAGTTTTCTGATGTAAATATTCTTTTGCATAGTTCCATGCCATTCTTGAGGGAGAACTCGAAAAACTACCGTTTGAAGAAATTAAATTTGGTAAGATTTTCAAGGTTTTGTTGGTTAGAAAATCTGGTTGGGATCTGTTTATATCTTGCTTCTTTCTTGCAATCGAATCATGAGCACTACCGTGTATTGCTAAACTGATGAGAAGATTTACCCAGTCTTTATAATTATTTTAAATAAAACAGGAATGATTTGAAGGGAAATTGTATGGCGACAAAATGAACTTGCTATTACAAAATAATTTTCAGGATATCCGCTCTCAATTTTTACATTTTATGTTTGAATCAAAATCATGAGAACCTTTTTTCATAATACTACTATTTTTTAAAATTTCAGGATATCACAACATTAGATGGCCCGGAATTGGCTGTTCTCCAGCTTCGCCTATTATTTCTTATTCTGATTAACTATTTTATCTCCTTAATTTATATGTATTAATTATATCTATTTATAATTCTATTTCCAGTATAATATACCATTTTAGTATTAAATATTTATGAAATATATATATATAATCTATATGGACTATCTTTTGTATTGGTGACTCTACACATGATTCCGCGCTCGTTACGATATAGTGGTGGTCCGTCAAAGTCGCGAAGACTATGCAACCGTACCGGTATTAGAGAAGATTAGCAACCAGTACTACTTCGTTTTGGCTTTCGTGTCTCTATTATTCATCATTGCTCTCTTGTTTCTTAAAGTTTTCTTTTAAAAACTTTCAAAATATGTATATATTATATATGAAGCATTTTTAACCATTTTGAAGTCTCCGACAAGCATCTTGTTGCTAAACATTAAGTTTTGTAGGTCGTCAGATTTTGACTGATGGGTTCAAAACAATTTTAAAAACTGTCGAGGCTAAAGAGTCGTACATCAAGTTCTATGAATCGTTAAAATACGAACAGGAAAAAATCTACGAAAAAATGATCAAAAGTGGTTTTACCTTGTGTTTGTGGTCAAATTCAACGCATTAGATAGTTTTTTATTCTTAATTTTGTTATATATTTAGGTAGCATATAGCTTAAAGTTCAAAATCCACCCTTCGGCTTCATTCTCACCCTCATAACAGCTGACTTATCCGATTCGTTACAACAACACGACGAAAATTTCCCATAAGACTCTATTGTTTCGCGTTTCCTAAATATGGCACAAGATGGCGTCCATGAACTTGAAGTTTATTTTGAAAATATATTTTCTATAATTTAACCTAATCATAATTCTGCCCGAAACCACGCAAAACCTCTCTTATACATATACGTAACCGTCGATTCACCCATACGTCCTATGCGATATGCAGATTTTTTGTTCGGATATCAAGTCTATTGCAATTGACTGGACATATATATATATCCATGAGTATGGTAACTGATGTCACCTCTGGTACTTTGGTACTTATGTGACTGAAATACACATGATCAATTATTTTTGATGGGAAACGCAACTGAATTTCCTATCTTCCTTGACTGCTGGATCTGTCGTGCAGGTCGCAAATGATTTACACCGAACTATTTTATGCAGCAGTCTCGTAGTCATGTATCCTAATAACTTATCTGCTTCAATAAAAGTGGCCTAGGCCCTCACCGAGTATGCTCCAAGCTGTTATCCAATTTTTCAGTCATGGTCAGCTCATGTCTACAGCGATAATGAATTTAATTATTTATACCGACAACTTTGATAATTTATAGCAAAGTCAATCTTAGAAGCTCAATATTTTTTTTTTCGTTTAGAATAGTGCAAATGAAAACACCCAGTGCCTGTGTCGAAGAACCGAGGAGTATTTCAAACAAAATTAGTGAGTCTGTATACTGTGATAGTAAATTGTATCTAATTATACGAGCTTTTCAACACTGTAGGCATGCTGGTACAATTTTAAATTTTACATTTTTTCCGACTGATGATGTATAAGTATATATATTATATTCATATTCATCATATGAAACGATCATGATTCGCAAAACGTAATATTTAGGTTTAATCGAATTAGTTGTGAACGTATTACGGATGGAAGAGTTTTTTTGTGTAAAGCAAAGGGAGATGTCCATAAGATACCATATGAAGAAATCAAATTCGGTAAGATATTTGACGTATTTGTTGGATAGAATATCTGGTTGGGATCTGTTTATAGGCTATATATCTTTCTTTTTTGTCTGAGGTAAGTCATAATCAGGCAACTGCAGTCTAATTAGACATCAATTGCGTATTGCTACACTATTTACTTAATCTTTTTCAATACGATATGCGTCATCTGAGATGAAATTGTCCGTTTCTTATGTACAGTTTTTATGGCGACAAAATGAAATTATTAAGACGAAAAAATTTCTGCAGAAATGATTTAATTAAGAAGTATTTATTTACCTCATTTTTACATTTAAACCTTATTGGAAATTATGAGAACCTTTTTTTTATTATATTGCTAATAAAACTTTCTTTATTTTTATTTTAGGATACCATAACATTAGATGGCCCGGGCGCCTGTTCGTCAGCTTCCCCAATTGTGTCCTATTCTGCCTGACTATCTTATCGCTTCAATTCGTACTATGTATCTCTTATATAGATTTATATTTTTGTATCAGTATTCTATAGTATACCATTTTAGTATTAAATTTTTATAAAATATATATAATCTATATTGTCAAATGTCAATATTTTTGCATTGTTCGCTATGCGCACGGGGGTAATATGTGGGTATATTTTGTGATTCGACTGACACTTTTCAGTTCTTTCCGCTCTCATTACAATAGTAATTTCCTCTTTTCTATCTTCGAAACATATATCTTATACTGTTATTTATGTAGAACTCTTTCCCAATCTCTGACAAGCTTACTTTTATTTGGTGTTTAGTTTTGTAGGTCATCAGATTTTACCAAAGAGTGCGGGAAATAATTTATAAAAAAAGCACCGCTTTCTGTGTAGAATAGCAATTGATAAAACATAATATTTTGTCTAGTGAACTGTCCGTGACATGGAGTCTTTTTCGTCGTTTATTAAGATTCGTGAATAGCGAATCAGTATTTGTTTGTAATAATTTACCGTATTTTAGGAGCAGTAATTCGTGTATAACCACTGCTGCACAAATTTGCTCCATTACTAGATATGTATATATTTATAATACATATTGCTCTAGTCATTAATTAAATTCCATTAATGATTGTTAAATCGAAATCTTTTTCGTTCACATTCACAAGCCAGTACGAGTAACGCCAGAGGCGATAAAGGGTGTCATTCTAAAATCCAATTTCGATACGCATGACCGACAGTAGCTGCAACGTCACCACAACTGTAGACTTCTCTTTCGTCATATTTACCAGCGCACTCGCTAGCGTTCAGAATTTCGCGTCGATCTGTCACATTTCTCGCTACGTGTTAGTTGCTGTGCGTCCCTGTTGCCTGTACTATACTATAGCGAGTGATCAAAAGAATTTTTGTATTTTCTATTCAAGACAGCGAAAGAACTTTATAATATTTCAGAATGGATCAGGTATGCATTGGACTTAGACTATAACTGTATAATAGAATAGATTCTAAAATTATTTAACTTAGCACTAATCAGTTTTTGTGTTTTACGTGAATTTTTTTTCGCGAACTTGCATAGTTGCTCTGTAATTTCAACCATTATATAGTAAAAGTCAGAATGAATGTGATAATGCCCAAATTGGTTTCTAATTGCTGATTGATATCTGAACTATTTTCGTATTTGTCTCAACATACACTAAAAATAGGAATCAATATTACTACACTATGGATTATTTTAAGGATTGAATATAATCTTAACTAAGATTTCAATTTTTTCTGATTTCATAGAAAAGTTTGACTGTCAAAAAATTATAAGTGTTCAGCATTTATTTTGGTGAAATTATAACTATGTCATTTCTATGATTTGAGATTGTTTTCCAATCCATTGTTAGTGCATATAATATGCAGTTTTTTATTATTATATATACTCTCAATATCTCAATCTGTGCTAATAACAAAGCCAGACAATACCAAAATTGTTTATTAATACATTCATAATATTTTAACTACAGTTTTCAAACTCTATACTGTACAATCCCTGTATATCCATTTGTCAGCATCAATATAATAGCAAACACTCTTGTGTTATTAAGAATATGCTTAATAAAAATTCAATTTGAAAAATTTAAATTGACGTTTTTTAAATTTCTTCATACAGATTATGGTATATGTTGAACCTCTGAAGCAATTCAGCAAAGATTCAATCAGATTGGTAAAAAGATGTACCAAACCAGATAGGAAAGAATTTCAAAAGATCGCCTTGGCAACTGCGATTGGATTTGCAATAATGGGTTTTATTGGATTTTTTGTCAAACTCATCCACATTCCAATCAACAACATTATTGTCGGAAGCTAGTGGGTGTAACACAAGCAAGGACTGCGCTGCTTTATAAATATGACAAACTTTTTATTTCATAATATTGACTTGATGAGAACGATGATTGCAGTCGTTTGATATGAATTCGAACCAATACTGAGCTGAAACGTTTCATGGAAACTGACCAATTTTATCAACGGCTTTCATTGAGATATAAATAACACAAGAAATGTTATTTTGAGTGTTGGGAATCTTTACAATGTCTCGCCATTGACTTTTAGAACTACCATATAAACTTGTATAAAAAGATGAAATTGCAAGAAATTCCTCTGTGGTAAATTCAGTTATATTAGATATAATAAATCACTACTAGTAAATAAGGCTTGTTGGCACAATCTATTGTGATTGCATTCAGAACCTGAGACTCCATAGAAATGATTTGAAATGACCTGTTTAAATATAATATGTTGATAGTTATTGTAATTCACATTGGTTTATTCTATATTGTTTAGTTTCCATTTAGTAATTCAGAAGAAATGAATATATGATGACATAAACGCACTGATATCACTAATACATTGGTTTAACTGAGTGTTCAAAGTTTATTATACAACTGTAAATATTTCATATATTGGTCAAGAATAAATAAATTCATTCTCTGCTTTTGGTATATTGCATTTTGAAAATCGTTAAAATGTAATAATACCGTTCTTGGTAATGCCATTTGTCTTATCCGTTTTAAACATGAAAAAATATACTTGCTTCAATCCCAGTCATGGGTATATTGTCTGGAAAGTGCCAATATTGTATTAATAAATGGTTGTTCTGGTGTTCTACGTTGATTGTATAGATACTTGTTCAGTATGGGCTACACTTTGCTTCCAAGATTGTGACTAATTAATCTTTGAGGATCCAGTTATTCTACAGAGCAATGATTTCCAATATATAAGATTCTCAATTTTTTTTACATCTATTATAAAAAGTCTGTCCCTAACCTGTGTAATTTGAAAAGGAACGAAAATCAGTCAGCAACTATCTTTTAACTGGAGGTGACTGGTATTTCAATGCGGTCAAAGGGATTTGTGAGAATGTTTGCTATCTGGGTCTACTTGGGTTGGTAAAAAGTTTAACAAAATGTCGTTTGGAGCGTACAAATTGGCTTAGGTGATTGAAACTTATCCTGTGCACACCTGCCACCTAGTTTCATCAGAAAATATTACGACTGATGCGGTACATTGTTAGGGAAGTATCTATCTAAAGGTTTAGCAACAACGAAGAGGTGAATAAGGGACCATAGCTATGAATATCATTGACCTGGGCATTAGTGGGACAGCAGCGTAATCGATGGGATGAGTATGTTGTTCAATTACCTTCAAACACAAGAGAACGAACGATTCACTAGCTACAGCTACACTTTTCCTAGTGAAAAAAGGCTATGGTTGATGACTGTGCGAATGAGGGCGGAAGTTGATTCAAGCATGACTATGTTCTGATCAGATATTTCTGCAGGGATTTTGTCAAGATATTCAGCTATGTTAATCTAAAATATTTTCAAAACCTAGTTTGTTTTTGTATTTCTTAAAATATACCATATAAATACACTTTAAACGCCTAATTCTTTTGCCGATGAGTTGAAAAGGTATGAAGATAAACACACGTTGGCGCTCTAGCCTTGTGTCTTTCGTTTACAAAAACCCGACAGTTTTAAGTTGGCCCTCGTAAGCTCAAATTACGATTACAAAATAAATATCACCTCATTTCAAATTGGAGTATTTCCGCCAATACTCCAAATACTAACGAGCTGGCCTCGCCAATGTATGAGCTTGAATAGTGCATTTCTCCACTGCTAAAGAAGTTGTGAATTTTATTACGTTCAATTTTGATAAGAATAGTCCGCAATCAAATACCGAATATTTGAACAGTTACAATCGGAGTAAAAGGAGATCTAGGAGAGACCAATTGAAATTGCGCCATACTGTTGAACTGGGAAGCAGTTAACCAAGTAGCCCATATTTCAGAACGAAGCGAAAATATGAAAATTATTTTGTGGATTGCTATTGGTGAGTCTTGTCTAGATGTAGGCTCAATCGGTAATATCAATTTTTGTTTTCGAAAATATGCGAGAAGATATCAATTTGATGTCGTGTATATACTGCTAGGGCTGTTACTGTTAAAATTTCCTTGTTTTTAGACCACCGAGATTTAAAATTGAATTAAGAAATATGTACAAGTGTTTTTTAATTGTAATGAGCGAAATCCCACGGAAAAAGAGGGATAATCAATTTAAATAAATTTTTAAAAGCTCGTCCTAGAACTGTAGAAAAGTACCATTTTGCAGCAGTCCAGTCTGAGATGAAATCTGTATCTTTATTATGAAGACTGATTCTATTTAGGCCTACTTGATCAAATATTATTTGAAGTGTTTTTTATTTAGGAATATTTCTTTCTATTGGATGTTGTACTGGTCTAACACCAACGCGGCAAAATCGGCGACACGGTGTCAACAACCGTTTGTGTATTTAGGTAAGTTAACGTATTAGTGCTATCAGAATTATCAAAACTAGGTAGGTACGTCATGAACTTAAGCGATTAAAGCTGACTTTATTTTTATTGATAATATGCAGCTACTCAGGCAAAATAATATTATTAAACAAAAAAAATTATTATTTCAATTTTTTACATAGCAGAAGGGGCACGACTATAGTGATCTGCATCAATAGATGACAGTACAAGTTAACTGAGAAATATTTTATTTCCGGATAGCTTGTTCAAAGCGATTTACGCGCATCACTCACTTGACATAAATGAGACTCATCGTTGAGCAAAGTTACGATTAACCATTGAATGAGCTAGCTAGATTATTACCAAACCAATGTAATTCTTAATTAAATAAGTGACAATTTTAGGAAAGCCCATCATCGCTATTAGTTCGGAGAAGACTTCCAAGTTCATTTCGATCTCGTGAACAGTGGTTTTGAAAGTCAATTTTAGCACTGTTCGTACTTGACTGCTTCTATTCACTTGACCAAAACTATTTTAGCTGGCAGTGCTTTTGGTTCTACCGCGGTACTCAACCTGTGAACCGGAAGCAAGCGAGGTCCGAATGTAAGATTGCTGACGCCCGTCTTGCACAAATAACTGACGAATTGACACAAAAAGAACTCGTGAAATGGATAAATGGGTGAGTGCAAATAGACTTTAGGAGGGAAAATACCATACATTGTTTTAATTTGAGTAGAAGTATCTGAATTTTCCAACTAGAGCCTCTTATTTGCACCTCAAGGCATGAATATCGCCTGACGTCATACTGGATTGGCCTGAGTGATGCAGCGGGGAATGGGCGTTTTCGATGGGATTATGAAGATGATGACGTCACATTTACGTCATGGGGAGCAGGTGAAACATTTTTTATTACTATTATTAAAGCTTGTCACGCTTATAACTTCCGTGCGTTGTTTGGAGAAAATCCGATTGGAAGAAGTATTTGATTCCGACAAAAGTATCGAAGGTCAACAGTTCATTTATCGTCTTTCTAATAGATCAGCTAGGAATTTTCATAGAACATCCTGTATAATCAACTTATTTATTTTCAACTGCAGCCCAACCTGCCTCTGATAGGAATAGAAAATGTGTTACATTGTCGTCAAGTCGTGGACACATGTGGCAAAGTGTGTATTGTGATGACAGAAACCAATTTGTATGTGAAAAAGAAATTTTTATAAGGTGACACTTCTTGTGATCTAGGAATGAGTAATTCATGCTTAGCATAGATGATGAACAACAAAAGAAATGGAACCATTGATTAATATCGTTGCTGGAACAGATCCTTCATGTACTAAAATGGTATTATGATATCACATTTGTACATTTTAAGTTAGAATGCTTTCGATTAATGACGCAACACAACGACTCCTTTGGTCTCAAGCGCGAAATACCCAACGTGTAAATATAGGCGGCTTTAACGAGCGCGTGATCGTGGTGACTGTTACCGACGGCACTGAAAATTTCCGCTTTTGAACCCCCCGCCTCCCCTTTTAAAAATCCTGGCTGCGCGCGTGACTACACCCCATAGTCGTATTAGCCCGAATAGAATTCTGCAAAGTGACAGTTCAATGGTATTGCTAATTATACATTTAGAAATGATTACAAAGTCTTCCAGCTTGTAGTTATGAATTTTAATAAATTTAAAATATGATTCTGCCTGACAGCTCCCGATCTGTGTTGAGAAGTAAACCGAAGATTGAAGATATTTGCAAGGACCGTTCCACAGGTTATGTTGCAGATCCAACTGACTGTTCCAAATACATTCTCTGCTTCCGCTTGAGAGTGTTTGGATTTAGGTAGGAGAGCGTGTGTTTGGTAACAAAAAAAGATTGCATCAGTTTACTCGATATGATATATGATGATTTGTATGCCCTTATCAGTGATGATTCTACCGCTTAAATGTTGTTATGTAAGTTATTGCCATTATGACGGTTATGCATTTTTTATATATACATATAATCATTTGTCCCATTTCAGTTGCCCTGTGAATGAAATTTATAATGAAGAACGTGGAATGTGTGAACCGGGATCGCATACAGATTGCAATATGGAAGTTGAATCGACGCTGCCTCCAGTCACCACAACATCAGATCCGGCAGAAGACGAGTATGGTGAGGGATACGAAGGATATGATTATGGAGGTGAAGACGAAGGAGAATATTATACTGACGAGGAAGAGGATGTAAATGATGAGGATGAGAACGATGAAGGCGATTATCCTGACTATACATGTCAAGATTCAGATTATATAAAACTGGGAAAGAAATGCTATAGGGTAAAGCGTTTTAAGATTTCAAGCAATAATTATAAATATACTGGCTAAATGCAGGTCGTTATTTATAAGGGATAGCGTATTTTTTGGAAAATATTCTGCATTCCATAAAAGCTCAAAAGGGTTTAAAATTGTGTTTTTTTTTCCATAATTATTCCTGGATTCAGACATTTATTGCATTCATTTATAGTTGCTGAGGTATAATTGCGTACTTCCTTTTTAGATTTTCATCAACCCCGTTATGTGGAGTATGGCAAATCAAATATGTATAGGAGAAGAACGAGCTCAATTGGCAACTATAAAAAGCGAAAGAGTTCAGCTGTTTCTTGCTAAGAAACTGAAAGGACTAACAACTTTGGTGAGCATTCCAGTCTGTGTCACTCAAATAACATATTGGTAAATGAACTTGATTTTATACTGACGAAAAAGAGAATCTCACAGGAGAAAACTATCTATGCTTTTCTAATTTCAAACACGTAAATATCACCATATTAGTGATGCAGATGTTTTAAAATCGAGCGCATTATGAAACACTTATTATTGTGCATACACTCAGTTAACCTGACCAAAGCTGAAAATTTTTCAATGTTATTTGTGTTTCTGTTAAATTGAACAATTTACTAACAGACGCCATGTTTTATCCATTTCCAATTTGCCATGTTATTTTTAATTATACTCTTTGCATTGGTATATTCTAACAGTTTGTGTTACACGGAATATGAGTCGATGTTGCCAAAAAAAATTTCAGTTTATACTTTACAACAGAGATACAGGTTTATAGGTGAAAGATTTAGGAAAGGTTTCTCAAATTTGAATAGCCAATCACACATACATTAAAATACACATATAAATTATGATGTATGACAAATGTTTATGCTGCATGATATATCATCGAATAACTGAAACATATTTTGCTCAAGGTATACGATTACTGGATTGGATTAAACGACCAGAAAACTCCAGATAAATATGTATGGAGCGACGGAGAAACGTTATCTGACAGAGATTACCAGGTCAGAAAAAACATACCATATCCAGTATAGAAGGTTGATTTCTAGAGGTTTCAATCTATCATAATTAGGGCTGGGAATGGTTGACCGGTTAACCGATTTCAGATGGTTAACGGTTACAATTTATTTTAACCGTTAACTGACATCTCAGGTACAAATCATCTTCATACCTAACAATTTCTTCAAATATGATTACGTCATCGCCTATTTATCTTTTGTGGCATTTAATTCAAAAGAATATTACTAACCATGTGGGTAAGGAAGGACTCAATAAATGTGAAAAATGATGGAAGTACCAAGATTGCTTGTGGAAATTTGACAATGATGAATTCAGAATCAGTTTTCGGTCGATTTCGAAATATATTGTTAACGATTTCATTGCAAAATCGGATATTCAATGTCATACAACAAGTGCGCAGTTTATGCCGTTTTTCTTTATATAATATATATCTTGAAGTAAAATTTGCACATCGAACACTGATAGTTTGTCACATGAATTGCGTTTAACAAAGGAATCAGGTTTTCTAAAATACTTCCGCACGCCCGAACCTGGCTGCCTATCTCTTGCAGCAGAGCAATCATGAAACTATCTCGATTCGTGAATAATTTTAATCAGCGATACCGGGATAAGAACACGCAAAATTGCTTTATAAGAATTGTGACGTAACAAGCTGAAATTATAAATTATTACGTCAAACGTCACGCGGCGGTTAACCGGTTAATTTTACCCGGTTAACGGTTAAAGCGTTTTCCCTGAAATTCCCAGCCCTAATCATAATACTATGCTTCTTTTGTACCTAGTAGCTGCGAAGATCAAACTTTTTCATAATCTCATAATTGGATTGGTTTTTGACAAATTCGTATTTATAAATTTCTACTCATTCAATGAATCGAATAAGTCAGCACTAATTGTCGCGGTGTAGTAATTTATTGAAATTTTGTTTAGAATTGGTCTAGAAAAGCGAGAAAACGCCATAAAGAAATGAAAAAATGTGTTGAAATCACGATGCTATCAAAAGGTCGCTGGGTTGATGATATTTGTTCTAATGAAAACGGATATATATGCGAAAAAGGTATTTTATGTCATAACTTTGAATAGTGAATACTGTATAACCCATTCAAGAATTCATATTTTTCCAACTCATCCTTAAAAGCAAAAATGTAAAAAATGTTGGTATATGTCAGAACGTGATTTATTGGAAAAAAAAAAATTCACTGTGTTTTGCAAATTCTGTTTTCAACACTGAATCTAACTTTTTTTACATGTTTTCGTTTCAAAGATGCAATAAACCCGTTTGAAATAAACGAACCAGTAAAGCCGATAAAAGGTAAAGCTTTAATCATTGATGCACTCAGACCAAGAAATCTATACTGCGGGACAAACAGACGACCAGTTTCTCCTGAAGCTGTTGTGGGAGGTACAACTGCAGATATGGCGCAACATCCGTGGCAGGTTATTTGTTAATCTCTTCCTTTTCGATCTACCACCAAAGTTGAAAAAGTTAAATGTTTGAACATTAGTGTCGTCTGTTTAGGCCTATTTGAATTTTGAACCGCCAAAAGGGCGACAGGAGCTTATTCGACAAATGTAAAATAAATTATGTTACTTTGTTTTTGATGCGAGGACAATTTGTACGAAAATTTGAAACTCTGTTTGATTGTTCCACTGTTACGAAATTGACTGAAAGCCGTGAGAAGTTGTTCAAAATTGCAATTAAACTTACAACGTCACTGATAATGTAAAAAGACTTTCACGAGCTTCAACTTTAAGCAAGGGGCGAATCATAACTACTTGTTTTCGACCGTTTGCCGTATGTTAAGCTTTAATTAATAAATCTTTCATTCAATTCAGGAAGTTATTATGGGTCATACTGTTGCACGTTTTCACATTACAGTATGAACTCTATCGGGCAGTTTTGTAAAATAAATAATGTATATCGCGTAACTTTTATAGTTTATATTGCAGGCTTCACTTCGGAGTTTAGGTGAACATAGGTGTGGGGGAAGTCTCATTGATCGTTGCTGGGTTCTCACTGCTGCTCATTGTATTGACCCCAGGTTTGCAAAAATGTTATTTCTGTTTTTCTGTGGGTTCGATACCCGGGACGTTACTATTTTAAAATAAAATACCACATATTGCCGCCTGTGGATCGACAAATCTGGCACCTGAGCACAACTTACCCTATTATCTTCGTGCTCCGGAAAAAGAGTAAATTTGAATGTGGAAGCAATTCCGTATGTTCTTAAACACATACCGTTCACATGCCTCTGTAGCAGCAATATTATAACGAATAAAGACTAAGTCTAGGTTAATTAACTTACCATTGAAAACACGCTGTTCAGTAACAAATTGTCACGCGGTTTAACAGGTCAACTGGACATACCAAATTACCAACACTCGTTGTTCTTGGTGATTTTGATACCAGTTCCCCAGAAGGAACAGAGAAGTATTTGCCGATATCACAGATGATTTTACATCCTGATTGGTCACCAAAACCAGTTCCAACAAACGACATAGGATTGGTGAAGCTAGGAAGTATGAATTTATCTAAATATATACACATATTGAAAGTTATCCAGAACTTAGCTAGTAGACCTTGGGCATAACGTTTACGTTTCCCGACTTATCATTTGTTGCTATATACGAGTTTTGTAGAATAGTATTAGAATAAACATTATAATATCTTTGTAAATTTTACCATGGAACGAATATATCTTCAAACCTCGATACATGCAATAATAAGTAATGAAATACAACGCATTTGTTGTACATACGTTAAAAGGCGCGGGTTACATGCACAGAATAAAGCAAGAAAACTAAAAGAAATGTGCATATTGTTACGAATAATTGTTTTCTGGTATGTATTAAAAAGCTGTGTATCATTTTCATATGTATTCCATTAAACCAGAGGTGTGGAACCTTTGATACAGTTTAGCCAGATACAAATAACTAGATGAAATCGCGGGCTACACCTTCATTTATCATAGGCTTTCTAGTAGTTGTATAGGCACAAAAAGCATCGCACGTACCAGCTTAAACTAAGTTATAAACTCGTTTCGCGAGCCGCGCAATTTTTCCTTGTATTCCGCATTTGGCCGCGGCCCTCAGATTGCACACCCCTGCATTAAACCATTACAGAACTCAACAGGTTTTTTGAGTTGAATATTATATTACAAAGTAGGTTATATATAAAACATTTTATTTTAAATAAAAATGACATAAATATCTAATTCAGTGAAATTATTTGCATTAATGAAGTGAGTTCACTACTGAATATTTGTTATAAAATTCAACAGGGCGGTGTATAAGTTTGCATCAATGTCGTGAAAATAACCTCCTCTTGTCCATGTTATAACAAAGGTGAACTTTGTGAATGGTTTTTGTTAATAAAATTATTTTGAAGAGTGTGTCGACGACCTCAATCCCATATGTTTACCTGGAAGTGATTTCAATGACTTTTCTGCCGGAGATGAATGTAAAGTTGCTGGATGGGGCACTATGGATAGTTTGAGATTAAATTACCCCGCACGATTGCAGGTTTGTAGCCATTTGGTTTTGTAATTGATATATCGCCTGGTAAGTATTTTTTATATTATTATAGCGTTGTGAAATTGTATGGATCTTTATGAAAATGTATATACATTCTGTTGGACTAATAATATGATGAAAATTAAATTTAAAATTCTATGTAAATTTGAGTTCTTAAATTCATGATACGATATGATAGATGGAAGTCACGTTATCGGAATTCGGTAAATAACATGATAATACACAATACGGCTGATATTCATAATGTTTTAAAAAGTGTGATAACGGGTCGAACCTACTGTTAAACAAAATTATTGAACTGAGTGTAATTTTCACGCAATGGTCATTAATTTATGCCGACTTTTATAGACTTCAAGCGTATGCGAAAGATAGTCAAAGTTATAATTTGGCTCAGGCTTGTCATGAAGTTGATAAAACGGAAAGCTAGTGGTCACGATATAGATCGACGCACCTTTACGACAGATGTAGCATAAAAAAAAACATGAACTTTTCACATAACACCAGGCTTGTCCATGGGGATGGGATGGGACAACACACATTTGTATTTCCCATGGGACACGAAAACCGTATAATTTTCAGGGAAATGATGGTAAAAAATTTCGTTATGAATTTCGTGTCCATATATTTGAGCATAGCTCTCTTGTTAGTTAAAAAGAGCAAAATATATTTAGCATTATCAGTATAATTCGTGAAGGGGGTGATGGACACATGTATATTACTTATGAATATAAAGTTAACAGTTAAAGTCCGTGAATTTTGTTGTTTTGCATGTCTCGTCGTACATGTAGTCCTATTTAGTAGACGCTAAACCTAAATTTAATAATTTTTATTGAATTGTATTTCAATGGGAATGGGAATCCCATGGGATGGGATGGGACAGGCATATTTGCTACGGGATGGGATGGAACAGAAAAATATGTCCCATGGACAAGCCTGCAAAACACGGTTCCATTCTGCAGCAAAATATTAACGAATTTGGCATTTTACCATTTCGTTTTTTATATATATTCCATGATTTTTGTTGACAGGAAGCAGATCTACCTATCGTAGAACAAGAAGTTTGCAAAACTAAGTATGTGATCAAAGGTGTTTCCGTTATCCAAGACAATATGATATGTGCTGGCTTATTGGTAAGAACAATAATACTCGTAGTTATACAAAAGAATATAATGCACTTCAAATCCAGATACAAATAAGATAAGAATGAATAATCTGTAGTTTTCGCAAAGATGGTCCGTTTTTTGTCATAAGTGGCCAAACTTTTATTTTCAGGAAGGAGGTGTAGACGCCTGTCAAGGTGACAGTGGTGGACCTCTAGGATGCAAAGGTGTTAAATCAGGCAATCGTGCTGTGCAGTGGGGTATTGTCTCGTGGGGATTTGGATGTGCTCGTAGAGACAGGCCCGGAGTTTACACTAAGGTTGCGAGCTACATGGATTGGATCAGAAACCATACCAATATAAACTTTTAAATTTTGTTATCAACAAAATGATGCATTTGGGGCATGTAATTCAGTCACCCGTTGTTTTAATTTTAATCAATTATGAAATAAATTGAATTCCAGCAAGTGTAGAAAAAAATCGTGCCTTTTTGTATACTGTACATTTGGCGATTGTTTGGTGTAATAATGATTCCATGTGTTTGTGGTGCTATTTTCATTGTACATTTTCAAATAAACAGCATTTTAAGAACATGCCCAGTCAAATTTCATTTGGCCTTTTTACTAAATGAACAACTTGGTCCAGGCATCTTTTCCTGGGGATAAATACAATTTTAATATAATCTTAAATAATCATCTTACTTATCTATGAGTTTGCTAAGTGTATTCCGAGTTTATGTATATGTAAGCTCGTGCGCTTAATTTGTCGTCTAAATGTTTTATATTAGTTTTCTCCTCTTCAATATGTGCCGCGATGCTACAAGATTAGGACAGTTTATCGCTGTACATATGGACAATGTTGTTTCTATGAGTGGGTTGTGGAATTTATTCGGCTTCCTCACATCGCAGTTAACAAAATAACTGACAAACATCAACAATACTGGAAACAAGGAAACAACGCCCACATCGCATAGCATGAAAATTGGCAAATAAACGTATGCTTCGCAGTAGTGGATAACGAGCAAGTTTCGAGTCCCGAATATCAATAATACCATTTGTAATGTCGGAAAAAATGGCAGAAATGCTTAGATGTTAGGTCTTAGGCTTTTGTCGTATCGAGTAAAGGCGAGTGCACGCTGTATCTATCCACAACAACGCCCCGTCCTTGTCATGAGTATTGGTTAATTTAATAGTTTAGGTTCCGATTAAGATTTTCCCCACAGGTCAACAGGAAATACAGGGATGAATCGCACATTACCTATATTTTGGCAAACATTCCAAGTTCAACCAGCATGCTCTTAGTGTGGTAGATAAATCATACCGAAGACAAGTCTTTCCAACAGTTGATTCTGCGCCAATTACAATATTAGGAGGTACCACGTGGAATAGACCATCGATGGGGCTCAACTATCACTCTCAAACGTTATTGAATCCAAAATAAAAAAGTAAGTATAAAATAGCAGCTTGAGTCAAGGTGCATGGGTAAGTGAAAACACTAGGAAACTATTTTTGTCTTATATCTCTAAGTAAATGTAAACATCGGAAAACTTTCATAGGAAGGCATGCTTGGTTTTAGCCAACTAACTGGTTAGTCATATATATTTACTTTGACCGTTCAAAAATATGTAAATTTTGTTTCCCTTATTTCTAATATAGCCTACATTGCTTTCTCACCAAATTGGCGAAATGTTACGTGAGTATTGAGCAGAAAATATTTATTATATATAGCGGAATTTTTTACTCCTTATGAATGTGTTTTTACACGTCGGCTGGTGATTGCTATTCTGTTTTAATATATTCAAAAACCTACAATTATTTTATTGCGTAGTCATCGAGGATCTCGAAATTGCGTTATATCGAAATAATGGATTTGCACCATTTTAAAATACAGTATGACGTCATAAGGCCAATTTATATATTTACTCAAACAGAAAAATGTTCGATATGGACATGATACCCACACTTTTCATTCCAGTAAATTTAGAACTGACTCAAGTTTTAAAACAAATCAAGAAACTAAAAGCTATAATAAGACGCTATGACACTTGAAAAAAAGAAACTATAACACCAGTTACCGGTACTCGTCGCGAGGGAAGCATGAACCAGACATGCCCCTCTCCCTTTTATCCCCTCCGTACGCTGATGGTCGAAAACACTTTATATAAAAACAGACGCATTTTGGAATTAAAGTCTTGGAAAACACAAAATATGGAAACACAAAATATGTAAAAAAGTTTAAAAGTTCGATTGAACAATAAAAATCATACAAAGACAACTATGCAAACATTATATTCGGAAGTTCCCTATCGCTAGGGTGAAGTTAAAATCACATAAAAATTAACCATTTGTTTGGTATTTCCGAATCAAATGCACACCAACATAAACACACGCAATGTATGTATGTTTATTTGCCTCAAAAATGTAACAGTATCTGCATAATAGTTACACGGTATAAAAGAGACGGGATACATTTTCAAGACCTTACTGGTCTAAGACACAGATGTGCGACATGCACTCCAACATAACTGCAGTTTAGGACTGCTGCGTTATAGTAGGACAACAGACATGAAATATACAAATAAAACTCTTGCACAATACACAGGACAAAGAATTAAGTACGGCACCACGTTGATATGTAGGCCTACAAGTACAATAGGCAGTTTATGGCACGTTCATGTCCCAGGTTCTGATGTGAACGGATGGGAATAGGGTATAAATCGTATTTTTGTGTGTTTTACAGTAGTTTGAACGAAACAAGTAAAAATTCGTTCCAGACATGAACTTGCCAAAAACCAACGTTGGGTGGGACCACGACACAAAAGGATTAGGTTCTAAGAAGGTAAACAATAAAGGACATATGTAGAAATTCTTTGTTTACACTCGAGTTGTTAATCATAAATTGTATGCGACAAAAGTAATGAGAACAATAGAATAATGCAACAATAGAATGACCGGCATAAAATGCAGGTCAATTTCGTAGGCGCTATTGTGTGGAATTTATTGTCACCACGTCTCAGCATGATAAATTTAAATTTGTATAAGATGATCTTTTCATTAGCGACGATCCAACGAAGTAACTGCACAAAGCTAATAAACCATAAAAATATGCAGGAACTAGAGACAATAGATCAGTGGGTTGCCCGAGACTTGTTTCCTGAGCAATAGGAGTTGGTTGCATCCACGATGAAATAGTTAGTCAAACGAAGATATTTTTCATCTGCCACTCTTTTCTCAACTTTTTTTCATCAATCATCAAAGAGCCCTTTGTATCTGAAAAATAATGCCTGGAGAGTAGAATATCGCTACTGCACGAAAGCTAATATAATTCCAATAAATATTTTTTAAGTTTTGATCTAAATTCGGACGTCGCTTTTAAGCTTTTAATACTGTTAGGCAGTGGATTCCACAATCTAGGACCAAAACATGTGATCGATTCTTGTGCTATTAATTTTTTCACATACGGAACAAAAAATTTATCGTGACTTCTGCTATTTCGAATATTATTATTTACGAAAACGTGATCGAAGCAACTATAGGGAGTTGATCAGTAAAAACAGCAATGATAAGCAGATAAAAACACCAATGTGCAAATCTCAAGTATTAGTAAATCTTCAACACGTAGTAGTTTTTCACTTTTAAAGGCATAACATGCTGCTGTCAATAAATTAGGACAAACATCCACATTCCACATAGTATACACGGATTTTTACGATATAAATCCGAGTCAGCAAATCTGCAAAGGTGCCCTGTGGACTGTGCTCAGGTGCTTAGTAAGACAAGTTGGTTCTTGACGAAACAAAGCAAATGTGATCACAGTCAGCAACCAGCTTGCTGCGATGATCTACAATCTCGTTGTGACGTCACACGAGGTGTCTGGCGGAGGTTCAGTCTGCATTGAAGTCAGCACTGCAATGGGTTTCGGCGGACTGTCGATTGTTCGCTTGTAAGTCAGTTTATATGCCGACTACTGGACTGGGCAATCTATCATTTAAACATGCTGGTGCTACTATTTCTAGATTGTAATTTCGGTACCGGTATTTTCTGAATTAGACTAGGTATTGTCTGCACTCTGCAGGCCTGTGCACTGTTACCGTACCGGTACCGTATTAAGTGCAAATGCTGGAATCTTGAAGTGGCTAACGTTAATTTTGTCTGCATGTGACTGTAGTACCGGTAGGTCATCACAGCCAACGGTCTATCATCAAAAGATTTATAATGGAAGTTTTTAGTATATTAGGGTCCGGTATTACTCTATTCTGCTATTACTGCACGGTACGGTATGTTGTTTTTACAGTTTTACAGCATTATCTGATCATGCGTAATCCAATATCCATATATCTGTGAATCATATGTCTAACGTTAACAGTGAATATGGATGGACATGGCTGTAGCCTGTATGGGTGAAACTGACTTGGATATGATACGATAGGATTTACATATTAATCCGGGGGAGAAGGAAAGCCGATAAGACGGCCTCTCGTCCGGTTACCATTCCATGTCGGGTATCGTATGGGATTAGTTAGTTATTCATTTTTCGGAAGCATGGACTTGCAGTTTGGCACACTATCCAAATTCCAATTATTTTTCCCTCCATTTGGTTCAATAAAACAAACACTCCATGTGTCTCATACACAAGGGGTGTCTGGCAGTGGCACCACATCAGATGCGCCAGATCACACCATGCTTGTCTCAATAATAATCTAAATTAATCGCGGCCGTCATGTGACCAAAATTGCCGTTTTTTTGCTAAAAACTCGAAGGCCACGGTAAATTTTTTTTTTACTCTGTAAATCGGATTATTTTTTCCAGAGGAATTCAATGCTGACGTTATTAGATTGCACTTTTGTGTAGTATTTTGCGCAACTTCATTATACTGTATTTTTACCGATATTGAGGCACAGCAATGTCCAAAAGGGTCTTACTACTTACTGAATACAGCGCGAAACACCGCAAAGAGCGCGAAACACCGCAAAAGAGAGCGAAACACCGCAAAAGAGCGCGAAACACCGCAAAAGAGCGCGAAACAGCGCAAAACAGAGGAAACCAGCGCAAAACAAAAGGAAACCAGCGCAAAACAGAGGGAAACATCGCAAAACAGGAGACGCAGTCATTACCACCTCCTGCCACGAAAGAACCACAGCGCATCTTGCCATGGTTTTATGGCGCTATTTCCGGTATATTTACAAGGTTATGTACCGGATTATAGGTCATCATGCGAAATTTTATCTACCTTTTTGGTGCTCCAGAAGTATGTGCAGCAATATGTCGCACAACCTGAATCCGCTACACACACACACTTCCTAATCAGGTTGTGCGCCATCTTGGTGCACATACTTCTGGAGGTCCCTTTTTACCTAACCCTAACCCTAAAGCCAACCATATCCATATGGAAAATGTTCTAAATTATGGTACCCAAAATGTGTCACCAGCAGGGCCACCCTTGCCATTACAGCATTACTGGCTACATAT